CCTTGCCTTGGTGTGCATGCATTTCAATGACCTCTGAAGAATGCAAGCCAGCTGTGCACTTAAAACAAAAAACCAGAAACCAGCAGCCAGACCAGTCCCATCATGGGACAGATAGCGACCTTACAGTGGAAAATCTTCATGCTTTGAGTGGGCAATTTAGGATCAGTAAACCCAGCCGTGATTTTCTGTATCTGCCCATCATCTTCCATCATGAAATAAATAGCACTGAATTCAATGAAGTTTTCGTCACTGACAAATTTGCCTTCTTTTTTGTTTATTTGCCCAGAGATGCACATGAATACATGCGATTCAGTCTCCCTGGCAAGCTTTTCGGAGGAGTCAGACACTGAGGTGTGACATTCCTTTGTGGATACAACTTATTTGTTCTCTCTCAATAGAGCTTTCACGGAGCCAGCAACAGAAGAGAATTCTGTTTAAAAAAACCAGGGTTGTGCTTCTTAAAATCACCTTCAGGGAAATGTGCTGTGTCTAAGCGTGTCTTCTTTCCCTCGCAGCATTTGGCTTGGATGCTCTGGAACCTATACTTTACAAAGAATGCCATCCAAGAGCTTGAGTGATCGATTCCCTCTTTCCAGTTGAACTGAGGTTTGCTAGGTTCTGAATTCATTCATACCAGAGTAGTCATCTGGCTTTTTAAAAATTTTTGCAAGTTTGGCTCAGATCGATTTATTTATTTATTTAGGGCATATATAGGCCGTCCATCACTGTCATCTCTGGACGGCTTACAATATAATATAATTTAAATCCTAAACAAAATAAATTAGCTATACCATGACTGAATACATAAAATAGAGTAGTTAAAATAAATTAAATATTTATTTATTTTCCGATTTATATCCTGCCTTTTTCCTACAAAGGGCTCAAGGCAGGTTACCTCTCCTCTGCCATTTTATTCCCACAACAACAACCCTGTGAGGTAGGTTGGTCTGAGAGTCTGTGACTGGCCCAAAGTCACCCCAGTTGGCTCCATGGCTGAGCGGGGATTAGAACCCAGATTGTCTGAGTCCCAGTCCCAGGCTCTTAACCACTACACCACACTGGCTCTCACCAGTGGCTCTCCTTAATTTAAATATACAATTAAAATCAATTAACATTAAACTATTGGTAAAATAAAAAGGTCTTGACCTGGTGCCGGAAAGCATATAATGATGCCTTCTTTAGGACAGGCCTGATCACCGCCTCCTTTAACGAACCAGGGACCCAACCCTTCTTCAGTGAGGCATTAATAACCTCCTAGATCAAGGAGCCAATCCTGTGTTTGGCTTTGGTAAGTAGCCATGAAAGGCAAGGGTCAAGTAAGCAGCTGGTAGGACATACTTGTTCAAGCACCTTGTCCACATCATCTCTAGACCCATGTTTATGACCTGTCCCTCAAAGCCATAAAAAGATGCTAATTCTGCAGAGGTACCTGTTAGGCACTTGATAGCCCTGGGACCTTGAGTAGTTTTCGCCACCATCATTATTTTTTCACTAAAACTTCCCAATCATTATTGTGGTCCAGTAGTATGGCAGGCAGATCTTACCAGCCTTTCCTCAGGGATGTTCTTATGGCTTCAATAATGTCAAAGCAGCAAAAATTCCACAAATGAAGGCTTTCTCCTCTTTGTATTGCCACAGCAGGAAAAGCTGGACCTTTTCAAGCCATGCCTGTTAATAGAGGAGTTACACATGCTGGAATGCTTAAGGGAACAGTCATTCTCTGGGGAACAGCACAGAGTAACACAGACCCTTTCCAGAAAGCTTGATATGTTCATGTGTGTGTTACAACACTAAAGGCTTCTCTACATGGGAGTATGACCCACTGCAGGATAAAGGCTTCTTCTGTTTTTGTTGCAGAGGAAGAATACCTCTTTTATACAGGGCTTTTTCTGGCAGGTTGAATTTCTGATGCAGTGTAATCATAGTATAGCAGATTTTCCCCTTTCACAAGACTTGTTCCAGGTTGTCATGATTTGAAATTTAATTCCAGATTTTCGTTGCTTTTTTAAAAAACTGAAAAGACTGGAAAACTTGGGAAAGGCCCTGGAGGCCAGTGACGTTGTGAAAAAGCCCCAAAAACTTCCTTGAGTGAGTGATCACAAACCCACAAGAGCTGCTTTGTGTAGAGAAACCCTAAGAGACAGCAAGCAACCTTTCTCCCTCCTGATCAACCCACAGATTTAACTATCACAGCACAGAATGAATTGTGGTTTTGTGATACAGTTAAGTATGCCACTATTGCTCTGGACAATGCTTGAAGTATTGCATTTATTTAAGCCCTGTACGAAGATCAAAACCGGGCATTTCTGCTGTTGGAGGCTTGCAAAATGTTTGGGCAACCAGGACTCAAGAACTATGGAGCTATATTTTGCAGGGTTTTTGAGGCCCTGGATTTTTCAAGATTCTGTCATAAACCCTCCAACCTGCTGCCATCACCTGAAAAATTTGGATGAGGGACATGGAAAAGGAAATGGAAGCAGAAGGGAGGCTTGTAGTGATAATGTTGCTTGGCTTCAGTGCCCATGTTTCAAATGGAGCTGGGGCAATGCAGGGAAGTGTTGTGTGTTTTCTGTCTGGAGTGTAACCTCTGTTCACAAGGGGAAATGGTGAGACCAAGGCCTGGCCCCATTATCTGAATGTGTACCCTAAACGATGCTCCAGAATTAGATGAACCTCTGGAGACTAGTGAGCAGTCACCATATGTCTTTTCTACAGGAATGAATGTGTGCATGAAATCTGCTATTTTTTAATACTCTGTGTATCAATATGTGTGGGTAATTGCATTTTATTACGGTTTGTTTATATCCATTCTGATTAAAATGAAAAGATCGTCACTGATGGACATCAGAGTGCTTTTAAAAGCTGCAGTGCTGCTATTGAACAAGATTCTGAAAAAGACTGAACAAGACTGTGAGAATTTCTCTTTGTGAGAATGGGAGACTGGGCCATTGTCCTCAGCAATTTTCCCCAGATAAATGCTTACTTATATTGCATTTAATTATTAAATATGCAATTTAATAATTATGTTTGGAAAATGGGGTTATTCTCCTTTTGGCTGGGAATAACATTGCACACATTAAAGCAAAAGTGCTGCATTACTGAAAGGTAATATCCATTTTCTTTTCTTTTTCAAATGCAAGCTTTCATATATAATGGTTACATCTGATGAAAAAGCAAAAGCTGTTGAAGCAGTGTGTTTTGTCCTCAGATTCTTTCACAAGAATGGCCTCCTTTTATGCAGAAGTAGGCCTAGAATTCTCTAATGCAGAAGTTCATGTCTTACTCGAGCGATAATGTGGACTTTTTCTATGTAAGAGCTGGCGAACATTTTCCCCGTTGGATCTGCATTGCTTTAGACAAAGCCTGTTCATGTCCTCATTCCAGAGTGGGTGTGATCAGAACCAAAGGAATCAGGAATAAAATGGGCAGGGTCTGCAAATGGGCATACTGTACATGCACTCTTTGGCCCATGGATCCCCCTCCCTACCTTCATGTAAAGTCAGCTTATGTGGAATATCACAGTGCATCGTTACTGACTGACTTCCTCTGCTTCAACTTCATTTGCTACTTGGAACTATTTCACTGGGCATCGCATTTTTGGATGTAACTCTGCCAACCTTGAAAGCTTATAACCATTCTATGCCATGCATAGGATGAGGAGGGAAACCACGTGTTGGTGCAGATGTTTCAATGGTCAACGTACCCCCATGTGGCCATCTCATCTAAACAGCGAAATAGGTGGCACAGGGCATCACAGAAGGCTGCAGTGACTCCTTGTGTGATTAGAAAAACTGCAGTACGGCTGCTGGGATTGTTATGCCCCCACATCATACTGTACATTCCACCAAGTGATTTGGGCACACAGGTTGGCAGGATTAGCACTTCAAACTGCAGCTTGAGGTCATGTTTGGCAATGCTGCCCTGCATTAAAAATAGCTGGAAAGCCAATTGCGTGAGGTTTGTTTCCTTCCTCTCCTCTCTCATGGATGGCACACCTTACCTCATGTCATGAAATGATAATGCTGTCCAACCCACCCACCCGCAATGGCCTTATCCCAATTCTGTGCTACTGCTGACTGCTAGAGACACAACATGAAAGGAACACAGCCTCAGGTTCTATGGAATATCATCTCAAAGATGGAGATGAGGGGGGGATGAAAGAGACCGCTGCCATTCTTTGCCCTGGCACATTAGAGTGTTCCCCCTCAATCTGCCACTTTTCCACATGCAGGAAATATATGGAAGAATTCAAAATGGGACTCCCTGGATGTAGTTGGAAGTGGTTCCTTGCCAACTCCTTTTACTACCACATTAAGCCTGGCATGCAGAATGAGCATAGCCCCATGGAAACTGTGCCGTTCGTGTCTTCACATGCTCATCATTAGCAATTCCGAGATCCATGTTGGCATGCGAGACTGCATATTTAGAAGCAGATATATTGCGTATGCTGATATGCAATATGTTGATAGACACTGGAAACATGTCGGATGGTTATGAGCTTGTCTCTTTGTTTACTCCCTCATTTATCTTCCTTTTTATTTTTTGCATGTCTTGCATTATTTTTATGGATCTTTGCTAAATTACTCTCACTGGCAGGATCAGAAGGTAATTTTTAACAGTATATTGCTTTCAGACACATTTGGGCCTAAGGACATTAAGGAAACATAAGAGAAGCCTATTTATATAGTAAATGTCCAAGGTAATGTCTATAACAAACAGGGTAATCTTTGAAACATAAACCATGTCAGAAACCTCATTATTCAGTGAATCTCAGTTTCCGTCCTTGCCTTTTCATTATATTTGTGGTTATTTCACATCCATTTGGAAGCAAAGAAAATAAGCAAATCTTACTAATACATTCTGTGCTTTAATTTTCTTAACTTTTCCTGAGTAATACTTCCTTGAAGTAAGTAAAAGTTAAGAAAGAGCTTTGCAAACTGCTAATATAGCCCTTTACCATTAACCCTGGAATGCCTGGTGTTTTTCCTTTTGCAATTTAGTACGCAACTGAAGATTTAATCGAATATGACTATGATTATGGGGATTTTAAAGATTATAAAGACCTTGAAACTGTAACAGAGGGACCCCCGCTATACGACGAGACTATAGCACAACCTGAGGTAACAACATGTGATGTGTGTGTTGTCTGATGTCTCTGTCTTTATGTGGTTTGTTGTATGGTCTCTTGTGTTAATCAAGCTTTTCATCCCTTTCCTTCCTTTCCTGTTTGTCCCTGGAACTCATTTTACTTCAACAGCAGAAGACTGCAAGGTTGACCGCAATTCACAGTTATTGTTTTTTATTCATTTGTGGCCTTTGCTTACTCTGCTTCCTTTCATGTCTTGCTTCCGTGCCCCCTTTGTTTATTTATGTTTTCCCATTCCATCTTTCACCACCTTTTTTTAGAAAAAGAACAAAGCCCTAAAGAAGAAGAGGACAGTGGCAGCAAACTCAAAGAACAACCCCCAAAAGTTCACACTCAAAAAATCTGAAACATTTTCATCCAAGAAGAAGAAAAGCTATCGAGCTGCAGCAAAAGGCAAAATAGGGGTAAAGGTAGCCAAGAAATAATCAAGATCTTTCCTAGACCAAGCCTGGAAGATCTCTGATGATGAGAAATGAGTAGCTCTAACCCACAGTAGATAAATACACCTCTAGCTAATACTATAACCCAATTAAAGAAAGATTTCCCTTGAATATTTTTCCTCTGTGTTTAGCATCATATTTTGTCTTTCATATTAGGCTAATGTCATTGAGGAATATCATGAATATAATGTGGCTGAAACTGACTATGGAACCTCTGAGGGCTACCAGACAGCGACCCCCAGTCAAACAACAGGACCAAATGAGGTAATGAGGAATGGAAAAATATACAGGCAAGGATACTTCACAGTCTCTAGTCGATAATGAATTATTACCAAGCCATAATCCATTGACCTCATTTCATTCTAAGCGAGCTCCTAAAGACTGAACTGCCACACATTTCTAAGAGCTATAGTTTTGCTGCTGCACCATTTGATCAGGAAATGATTTCAAGGGATTGTTAAAATACATTCAGTAGGAATTCATCCAGTTGGGATATCAAGGAAGATGTTTAGTATAGCTCAGCGACAAGTATAGCACAAGATCTTTCAGACATGTGTGATTTCCTGGTGCAAGGTGCTCAGTAGGCCCTGAAGGTGAAGAAGATATGGTCCAAATGGGCCTATTATTTAAGGGAAAGGGATGCAGTGTATGGATAGCCAATGGCAATAGGGAATGCTCCTACCCAGTCTTTGGAGATGTATACTCTAATGCAACCCTGTGTTTTCCATCTTACTCATAACACTTTTAAATATATGGTCCTTAAATTCCAGACATAACAGTGTGCTCCAGACATAACTCAAAGAAAGTGGGCAGGATGCAGATTCCTGTGCATACTGTGATGTGAATGGAAACATGCACCCTATTCATACCATATGGTGAATGGAGGTCAATTTGATGCATGTATCACATCTGGATGTGGAACATAATATGGATAAGCATCCAGATACACATCCATCCACATCTGGGCTGGACACATGGTTGCCAATCTAGTGTAGGAATTCATATAAAGAAGATGCTTTCATATACTGATTTATCTGACTGAATCAAGGTGTCTGTGCCTAGATCTCTGTTGTGCAGAATCAAGTTGCATTTGAAAGCTGTACACTGGGATCTCAGATAAATCTTTTGTCTGACCATGAATAAAAAGGTTTATTGAAAACTGGCCTCTGTTTTCTATTGCTTAACTCTGCTAAGTTTTAATATGTATATCCAGGTGATATTTATGAATGTGGTTATTTCGCTTCATAAGTATAAGCATGCTAAAGTAGGTTTTTAAGCCATGATTTCCAAAGGTTTTGCTTTAATACTGAAGGTATATTTATTCTGAAGCCTGATTTGCTCCTCTTGTAAATAATCACGTTTCCAACTCCACTTGAAAAATATAAAGAATAAATGGAAATGGCATTAAAATTAGCACTTGAATAAAAATGAAAGCCTCTCCATTATTTTTAAACACACATATTTTTATACTTTTTGCCAAGTGATGGCAGTACAATAAAAATGGAAGAGGTATTTTAAGGTTTTGAACCAAGATGTAATGCTTATAAGATGTACAAAAATGTAAGATGTACATATCTTTTGGGTAAAGATACAGCCCAAGCAGATACAGCTTGAACCTATAAGGAAATCCTGAGCTTGCATATATGCAGTTTTATTTCTTACAGCAAAGCTCTGTGTGTGAATTTGTAGTACAAGGAGTGACCTCATTCAGGGCTTCTGTAATATATCAGTGAAGAACACACTGCTTAGAGTGAATTCTATTTCTGGGATACTCTATTTAGATCCAGAATGAGGAGCATATACCCTTCCAGATGTTGTTGGACTGAAAGTCCCCTCATACTTGTCAATCAAACACCTGGAAGGTATACAAGAACCCCACCCTGATTTAGTTCAGTGAGGACTGGATCCAGATTTAATCAGAGTAGACCCGTGGAAACCAATGTTACTCTTGATGAATTTAACCCCTCCTTGATTTTAGCAGGTTTGCCCTGAGTATGATTACATCTGGAACTAACCCTGACAGTTGTACAAAAGCACAGTCTCACTTCTGCTGCATTCTGAAACCTGTGGAATGCACCAGTGGGAGAATGGAGAGTCCCCACTTCTTATCACTTCTGATATCACAGTTCAACTTTTGTACAACTCCCTCCCATTTTTTCATCAAGATTTACATGGAAGGTATTCCAAGTGGCTCTTTCCACTTCCACTTTGATTATGGTCTTGCTATAATCAAAATCAATTTGCTCCCAAGCTTTTTAAAAAAAATTATTATTTTAGATGGGGACATTTAGATGGGGTCAGCAAAGGCAGTGTTAATAACTCAAAACTAGATAGCAATTTAAAGCACAGAATATGAATTCATGAGTCACTATAATGGACCACTTGACTTGTACTCTATGTGCAATTTTGAGCTATGGAACTGACATGCAAAAGTGTGAATCTAAGTATGAAAACTTAGATGTAACTCACAGACACAATATTATATCAGCTATACACACACACACACACCAGCTGTGCTTTATGTATGGCATATGCCCCAAAATTCAGTGAGTGCAATCCTGACTTAATGAGAATATGTCTAAATACCTCCATATCACAGGGAAGTGATAATTTTGAAAATAATATTAATAGAGAATGTAGCTTTATGAAAGCACTACTTTCATGCACCTTTGTATATGCTTTGGGTGATCTTTTAATACTTCTGAACCACGAGCTTTGCAGTCTTTCAGAAAGAAATTAAAAGATGCCACACTGTAGTACTGTTGGGCTATTTCACCAACCATTCTGTGCAAATCTAATGAATGCTTACCTTGCTTTACTAATAGTAATCTACATATTCGTCCTGTTCCCCAAACCTTTGCTGCTTATATGAATAGCAAATTCCCGGTGAAGAAGTATTTGCTGAAGAATACCTAACGGGAGAGGAATATAACTCAGAGACTAAAAAACCTGAGGAAACAGATTATGGAAGCAGAGGAGTTAACCCCAGTGAATCTGAACTGGTGGTAGATGGAGATTTAGGCGAATATGATTTTTATGAATATAAAGAATATGAAGAGAAGCCAACCAACCCTACTAATGAGGAGTTTGGGCCTGGTGTTCCAGCAGAGACTGATATGACAGAAGCAAGCGTAAGTTGGGCACATTCAAGATTCTCTTTCCATGTGCAGAGTGGTTAGTACCTCACAAAAGTGGTCTCCTTTTTCTGCCCTTTCCTATGATACAGGGGGCTTTTCAGCACAAGGTGTTTATCTTGTGCTTGTCATCCATGCTTATGATTTACAGATTGTCTAGACAATGTCATGACCCTCCAGACTCACTTCTGTATCTAAGCAACATTATTCAAGAGGTGACATTGCTTTGTGTTGCTTTGTTTCCAGCATTTCATTGTGAATGTGAAAGAAAGCACAATTTCCTCTTGTGCATTTGCTCCATTCCTTTCTCCTACAGTGCCACCTGGAGGTTAGGTAGTGGGAAAGCAGGAAAAGAAATGCTCCTCATGTGGTGCTCAGATGCCAATTCTGTGACAAAACCCAAAATAGATACTGTGGATTAACAGCCGATTAACAGCCTTGTGTAGAAAAGCTCAGAAGCACTGAAGCCATAGAAAGCCTTGTGTAGATTTAATAGCTTTGCCTTTCCTCTTCTATTATGTGGAAAGAGATGGAGCAGAAAAGTAGGATCCGTGTTGTGGTTCCCGACAATATCTTGTTAATTTCTGCTGATGAGAATTCACACGTGTGCATGCACACTAATTTATACTTGTGGCAATGCAAAGCAGTCCAAGTAGCACAACAGTTCTGGTGAAAAACGGTCAATGAGTGGACAGTGGAATGGAAGATGCTTGAGAATCTGCAAAACACAAATGGAACAGAATCCATACATCCCTGCCTGTAGCTAATTTGACGTGCTCTGTATTTCTACATTTTCTAGCAAGGAAAGTTCTTTCAGTCATTATAGAGTAAGGAACCTAAAATGGTACTCAAAAGTGGGTGGCAAATAGAAGTCTTTTTAAATTCAATTCTATCTATGTGGAAATTTGCTTTGCAATTCATCAGTACTATTGAAGGCTAGCTTTATTTTCTGCCAAGTTTTGAAGCCAGTTGAGATAAACTGTTTGTATCAGCGTAACCTAGTCAAACAGAGGAAAGAAATTGCCTATGTGAAGTGAAACTTCTCCCATACCTTTTTTAGGTATGCCTTTCTCCACCTGGAGATCCTATGGAAACAATCCAGATATCAAGGGAAAAAATTAAAATCCACTTTGATACATGCTCAGAATCTCTTGCCGATTTTATGTAGGCCAGTCCAAGAAAAGAAATACAGCTAGAGTTAGAACTAACCAGATTCAGGGTCCTTTCCCAAAATGCTCACAGGAGTGAATCAGATATTATGAGAGCTGTCCAGAAAGTCACTCAAAGAGTTTTAACACCTCCCTATCTGTAATTAATGATCCACACTATCAGACAATTCAGAACAATCTAGCATACCCCTACTTGTCTTAGAAGTAGGATCTTTAAGCCTGGCATACTTTCTGAACTATTTTCCTCTCTATTAACTCATCAGGTGAATGGCCACGTCGCTTATGGGGAAAAAGGACAGAAGGGAGAAGCAGCTGTGATTGAACCTGTAAGTATTTTAAAAGCTATTTCTCAAATGTTCTGTGGGTTGGTTCTCACCTGCATGGTTGTCACTTGATAAATCAAGCAGCAAGTGACTATTGTGACATGTGAAAGGAGAATGGGGGTTATTTGGGGGGGGTACTTTCCCTTGACCTTTTATATTGGGCAGCTTTCAGTCTGCCTTACCTTGTGCTTTGGGAAAGAGCTGTAACACAGTTGTGCAGTATGTCCTTCTCCAAGGAGGGCTAGGAAACATTCCTCCTTAAAAAGCTGAAGAGTTGTGGCCAATCAATATGGACACTATTCAGCTAGAAGGACCAAGACAGCTTCCTATCCTTTCTTTGAAGTAAACCATGCTGAGTCCCCCCAGATTAGTCCATGCGAAGTGCAGATTGGGGTCCCACCCTGCAGTATAGTCCTATGCAAGTTTATTTGGTATTGCACCCCTGGTCCGCTTATAGTCCCATGGAAGTCTGCATAGTTTGCACCCAGTTTTCTTCTGTATTGCTTAGTTGTTCATTCGCTTGCCGCCTTCTTACATTTGTATTCTCCTTCCCTATGTGGAATATGCACATATGCTAATGACAGAATGTACAGCTGTTTAGTATAACAGTATCAATCAAATAAATTGCATAGTGTTGCTGTTATCATATCATTCTAGCAGTGTTTATTCTTGTGGATTCTTAATTTCTTCCTTTAGGACACTCTGAAAAATTATTGTTGGCTTAAAGAGCAAGACTTGAAATGCTCAAAGAATCACATCTTATAACTATAAATACATTTATATAGCAGTACAATTCTTGTGTAGATTATAAAACACTAGCCATTTACACAGAGATTTTGTACCATGTGGGATAGATGTAGTCCCAATCTGTGTAGTAAAGATCAGATGACCACATGCTCATCTCCAGATGGAAATGTGGGGAAGCCAGTTGGTGACAACCATCTCCTTACCAGAATGTGTAAGGACTGATAGCAAAGGACTGATCCCTCCCTTCCTGGTTCTTGATCTGAAACTGGTTCTCTCTTTCCTCACTTCCATACATTCTTCCCCAGTCTTCTCCTTCGCCAGTTCCCCCTTTGCCAAAACATGGCTTGAGAAGGCAGTGGTGCTAATGGAGGCAATGCTCAGCTGCAGCCTTTTCTTTTAGTCTTTAAGGGCCTAGTCTAGTGAAACTCCCCATAATTGTCTGAACTTGGAGGCTGACAGGCATATTATGCATAGTGGAAAGAGTATGGCTGCAAGCATCCCTCTGTGATCCTCCCACTATGCAAAGCACTTCAATGGCCAATTTAGTCTATCAAAACATGTCACTTCAGAGCACCAAGAGAGGGGGCTGAAGCACCACAGGGCATTGTGTTTGCAGGCGGAGGCTGCCTCTTCTTCTAGTCTTCCCCAGAAGCCCTTCTTTGGGGTTGACTCTTATAGTCTCAGCTAATACAGTTCTTTCACCCTGGCTGCAAGGGAGCGCATTCCAAATACAGGGGTGTTTCTGAGGTCAGAGCTAAGACTCTGTCTAGCAGCCATAGGATTGCACTTTAAAACCTGGATGTTCCATTACAACCTCTCATCTTGAAGACACTATATTCCAAAGCTTGCTCACTGTTGCTGAGAAGCACAGATAGTGCCACTGCCTTTCAGCTCAGTGGTTTCACTAGATAAGGTCTGGTACATTCCTGGACTGATGCAAGAGCCATTCAGTTCAAGTGTCTGGTTCTTAAAGGTGCGACTTCCACTGCTGTTCCAGTACTTCCCACCAACTTATCCCTGTGCCTCTGTGAAGTTAAGTTAGCAAAGGAGGTGGGGCAAGCAGTACTGGCAGCTGGGAGGGTTGCAGCTGGAAAAAGCACATAATGATCCAGGCCCAGGACTTTGGGAGGGAGTGATCTTGGTTCCTGGCTGCTTTGCTTTTCCAAACCATGGGGGTTCCCTTCCAGCCCTTCCACCCTTCTGAGGTTTTGAATGTGGGTTTTACCCCCACCTCTAACCCAGCATAAAACATAGCAGTAGATATTTGCAGAAGATAGTGGGACAGAAACAGCAGCTGTGTCCAAAGGCAGAAATGAAACATGCTGTCAATAATAAGGGGAGACATTTGCACAAACATGACCCATAGAATGTCTGGGGGGTCCAGCTGCTGTAAGCTCTGCACATGCAAAGTCCCTCAAAAGGGGTGTGAGGAAGGCAGTGTAAACACTGCTATCCTAAATCAACAAAACCATGAGCATAAGGGAGTTTCTCAAGCAACACAAAGCAGTCCTGAAGTCATGCATCTAGTTTTGGCTCAGTTTCTGCAGGAAAGATGTTGAGAACCAGAGGGATGCTCCTGATGAAACTCCCTGGCCATATATTTTCAATATATTAGATCTCGAATAGAGATATGACATTAAAATGCTTCCTTGAGTTGATTCCTGCTTGCATTATTGCAACCTAGTTGAGTCACTCAGACTTGCATTCTGATCCGTTGCAATCAACTCATGAAGTAAGTCCCAGTAGAAAATAGTGACAGGCAACTGTTCGTAAGATTACTGTTTAAGAATGAACCCCCTAGAACTCCATAGGACTTAGGGCTATTGGGCTAATCTGTAACTTATAGGTCATATAGCCAATCCATCATAGCATTTTAGTTTTTGGCAGCTTCATCCATGATAAAATTCTTCCTTGACTTAGCCACTTCAGACCGCATGACTGAATACATATGCAAACAAAACTAGTCAGAGCGTTTAGATCATGATATACAGGGAAGACTGTAGCTTAGTCTTCCTTGATATGGTTGTTTGCTATATAAAAAGGGGTTCCCCACTCATCATGATGCAGTTTTTGGTCATGAGATTCCACCATTGGATTATTCATGGGAGCAAGGGCTAACGCTGCTTAAAATTCAGCATTAGAGCCAGTGTGGTGTAGTGGTTAAGAGCATGGGACCGGGACTCAGACGATCTGGGTTCTAGTCCCCACTTGGCCATGGAGCCAGCTGGGTGACTTTGGGCCAGTCACAGACTCTCAGCCCAACCTACCTCACAGGGTTGTTGTTGTGGGGATAAGATGGCGGAGGAGATATAAGCTGCCTTGAGCCCTTTGTAGGAAAAAGGCAGGATATAAATCGGAAAATCAATCAATCAATCAATCTCAGGAATGGAGGAAGAGTTCAGCAAATAGTAGGGATGTACCTTAACACTGCTTTCATGCTGAAAAGCAAAATGGGTGAATGTTTCATATAAAGGTTGGGTGCATTGGGCATGCAGTTGCTATTATTTGATCAATAAAGGGCAGCTTCAAAAATGGCCCCAGCAAGTGCACAACTGTTAGTATATTAGCAAGTATTAGTATTAACAGTCTGAATCAAGCCCAGACTTCAACTGGCAGCCAGTGCAGCTGGTAGAGGATATGACAATTCCAGCTCATCCCCCAATTTCTGTACTTCCACTGGGGCCAAAAATATTGGGCTCAAAGAAGGATTTCACCAGCTCCATATCAAGGTGGATCAAACAAGCAAAGAAATAAACATCTGATCATGAAGAGCAAGTTTTCCTATAAAGTAGGTTTATAAACTGGTCATACAATTTAGGACTTGGACTTGTGGAAGATAGTTTTTGAGGAATATTCTTATTGAAAGCTACTCTTTCTTGCATTGAGAATGAGAAATGCTGTGCAATATAAACTGTGGCCTCCAAAAGGGGAAAAGGGGCATATTGGTTCTCTACTCACACTGCATCAGTTGTCAGAACTGAAACGGACTTCCATGATCCCTTTTCTCACTGCAGCCATTCCATCCCCTAAAAATAGTATACTAAGAGTCACAAGACCTTTCTGAACAGGGTGAAATGCGGGTGGGGATGAGTCGTAGATCCAATCCATGGTCTTTTTGCTAGTTATAGAAATAGATTAATCATTACATAAACAGGTAAAGATATGTCAGGTATGGACACATTTGTAGAAGGGAAGATATTGCAACACAAATAGATGTTGTGCTGAATGGAGAATTTTCTTTGCTTTTAACCTTTCTCATATCAGTATTCCATAATATATCTATTTCTTCCTCTTCATTTTCTTCATAGGGTATGCTTATTGAAGGACCTCCAGGACCCCCAGGGCCTCCCGTATGTATATGCTTTTATTTTTAAACAATCTAATTAATTTTAGATAGTAGACATATCATGCTAATAAAAAACATTGTTTTTATGTTAGCTTAGTAGTAGGGCAGGAAATTTGCAGAGGTGCTCCTGAGTAATGTGCTGAACACAGTTTCTCAATGCAAACGAAAGGGCACACTTGGAAATAGTGCTTCTAATACAGTTGTGAATTCTTGCCTTCCGTTTGAGAAACTGGTAACTGGCGCGGCTAGAAATCCCTTTGCTGCTCTTTGATTCAACATCGATAATGTTCTAAACCCACCAGAGCATAACATTATTCAGTATAACCAGTTCCTGTTGCTTGCATTTATAGGGTCTCATGGGTCCCGCAGGTGCACAAGGCCCCATTGGTCCTCCTGGTGACCCTGGTGACAGGGTAAGTCAATGCGGGTTATGAAAGGTGCTGGACTGCGTGGCTGGAAATATATTCTGTGGTTTATGAAACAAACTTCCCATCCTGGTATGATGTTGGACAGATGGATTCCATCCTGCCTGAGCCCTAAGAAGCTGCAACCTGATCATAACAACTTACTTAAAAACAAAACAAAACCTTTCTCTCTAACAGTGGATTTAAGATTTCAGATTATGCATTTCAAGTCAGACTTGGGGAATCCAGAACCTTTGGTGCGGTCTGAAATATCAGAATTTGGCAAGAGGTAATACTGTGTCTCCCTTGCTCCTGTGCAACCGGCACATTAAAGCTTGAGAGCATGTTGTAGCCTTCAAGTTACAAATGAGGTCTTTGCCTCCCCTGTCGTCTCAGCTGACCCGGTGGACTTAGCAGAGATGTCGAGGGCAGCAGGGAGAACACAATGTATGTCTCAAAGGTCTTGGATCCCACAAATGCCCTGGATGTACACATTATGTCTGAGGTAACTGAGTATAACAGGAGACATCATAACAAATTGGTGGATCCGGTCCTGAGTTAGAGGAACCACCACCCATACTCTGGTTTTCCTGGATTATTTGAAAACAGATGGAACCAGGTCATGTCTACTTCTTCGAAAGCTACCCAAGAGTGACTTTGCATTGCTTTGGATGGGACAATGAATGCATGACTAGGAAGTGCAACTGACTTGCTCTTTCTGCTTCCTTTGCCTTCCCTCACATCTGAAGGACTTGTCACGTCTCCCCCAGTGGAGAATCAGCACAGCCTCAAGATAGTTTCATGTGAGAGGCCAACAACAATATACGTCCTAGTTTTTTATGCAGAAGTTGACTAGAATGGCAGTGGAAACTTAGTTTGATTCTGCTGATGGGACAACATTGTTCACTGCACCTGCGAGAAGTGGGCCTGCTTAGGGTATATAGGGCACTGTTGTTGATAAATAGAGAAATCTGTCCCTGAACATGGAGCTCCTATTTAATTGGCCACCGGCTACCAGTAGGCCTATTTTAATGCTTATAAGGCTGTCTCCATTAGATGATGCGCACCATGCTTACTATGCAATTTTCCTGATGCAAAAAGCCGTACGTTATTTCTTAAAAGCAATGAATTAATTGCTTCTAAAATTTCTGCCATTTTAATTGTTTAAACTGTTTCTTAAGGGTTAGAAATTGTGGGCTGCAGAATTTGTCTGCTTTGGGTAACCACAGATTAGATTAAGCTTATGCTTGAAGATCCAGTGAATAAGCACTGCACACATGCCCAAGTAACAAAAGTCCTAAGCTGCTTTTTCCAGAGAACCCTGGATGCAAGAGGAAGGGGATTTGAAGGGGAGAGGAGCAGGCAAACTGTGTGGCTCTTTTTCCACCTGCCACTTGCTCACTCCAGAGTTACCTTCCTGTCCTCAGAAAATAAAGTGTTTTCTGTTTTTAGTCTTTAGAGCTTCAGGGTCCTTCCAGATAGAAGATTCTTAGTGCTACCAGTCAAAAGACATTGGGCAGCTATTCCAACTTTCCTTACTTGATAGTATTTTATGGAGAGAAAAACAATTAGATACAAAAAATAATAACAATTTGAAAATGAAGCCTGGACCGTCCCAGTATCATCAATGTCTGTGAATGAGGTAGAGTAATTGCATGGTAAAAGCTTTGCCTGGAAACACCTGTAGTTAGCATGTTTGAAATCTCTGAATGACTGGTATGTTGCAACATACATAATTAAAAAGCCATTCTTATATTCATTTCTCCAAGAATGCTTTGATTTAAAGCTTCCCTGTCTTGTCACAAGGCCTTTTTATGCTCTTGTAATTAGTACCATTAAAACAATCTAATTTATTCAGTTTGAGAAGATTTTATACCATGACTGATGTACTATGCATTTTTTTACTGTCATGCGTGACAGTGCTGAAATATTTTTGTTGGGAGTATGGAGGATTGCAGCTTACCTGAACATAGTTATTGAAATTCTGGACCATAATGCACATAGCTGATGGTGTGTTTGTGTATGTGTGCACACGCACCCCCCCCCCACACACACACACCTTTTGCTTCTAAGGAGAAGGAAGTTTATGTAAGGGAAATTTCCCCTTCTGTTCCTTCTTTGGTTCCTCTCCTTCCACACCCTCAAAAATAGTGGTCAGAAGTCCATCTTGAGCAGTGTGCAATGAAGCATAGAGCATTTCTGGGGGAGAATGGAAGTGCTCCAAGTTGTGGGGCAGTCTGTCTGACTTGACACAATTTCTCCAACCTCAAACAACCCATCACACCTCATATTCTTCACATTTGTTCAAGGTAATTTCCTGGCCCTCCAGAGTGGCTTTTCAGGGTATGCGACAAGGAGCAACAGGAAAAACTATTTCTTTCGATGCACTTCCTCCTCTTTACTTAACATAGCATTGAAACAACTATATTTATCTATTGTTCTCATTTAAAAAAAAATAAGTCAGTTTTCCCATTCCAAACTGTGGCTGGAGGAAAGGGCTTAGAAAATAATGCAGCTCCACCTTCCATTGGTAGCAATGAGAACCCTGTATGAGAATTTTAAGCCATGGTGGCTTGCTGGAGGCCATGTTAAGTATGACAGGCATGACTTTGGCTTGTGTCATGCTAAAGTGTGCCAGGCTTATCCTCAACCTAACCCACCTGCTCTGGGTTTGGCTAACACAAGGGGTGGCTGCAGCTTCAGTTTCTACTGCTGATTTCCATGAGAGCTCAGGTGTTTCATTCTGCTTCACTTCATCTTGTTTTGTTCTGTTTTGTTTCATATTGAGTTTTTTTTACCTGTCTTATGTACTTTTATTTACACAGATAAATTTAGCTCTGCCATTTGGTGAACAGGGTTAAAGGAAAGGATTAGTCTGGTTTAAAATGTTTCAAAATGTGCTGTTCCTCTACCTGAATCCATGGAAAAGAACAAAATAAGAATGCAAATACACTACAAATCTTTGTCAATAAACACAGATGAGAATCCTTAATGTTGCTGCGCATGAATCAATTGGAATCCATAATTTCCCTCTGTTTCAATAGCTTTAGCTTCTGTTGGAACAATTTGTTACAGGAACCTACTAAGTAATCAGCTATCTTTCAATCATGATAAAAGCTATCTTTCTCTCCAACACAACTAATTAAGGGTGAAATTTTTAAATTTCGAACTTGAACACTATTCTTTTCAGCTCTTTTCTTTTGGAACAACCTGCTTATGGGCTAATTCTCTGGATGCTGCTTTGTGGGGTTTCCCTGTTGTTTGTTCAGCAAGGGAAAGCTCTGTCAGTTCACCACAATGCAACATCCTTCAGTTTCGATTTTTGTTTCAAGGTGTGTTGACTAGCGTTTTGGTGTGGGGGGCAGGGGGATCCAGGTTCGAGTCCCCATTTACCCATGGAGCTCACTGGGTGACTTCAGGCCAGTCACAGATTCTCAGTCTAATTGACCTCACAGGATCGCTGTTGTGAGGATAAATTGAGCTACGTAAACCCCCTTGGGTTCTTCAAATAAGGGGAAAAGGTAGAATGTAAATGTGGTGTAATAATAATTATAATAAATTCCTTGCATTTCCTTCATCTTTCCTAGGGTCCACCAGGGCGTCCAGGTCTTCCAGGTGCTGATGGCTTAGCTGGGCCACCAGGTACCATGTTAATGTTGCCGGTAAGTCTTTATTTACCAAACAAATGCAGTTCAGTAAGACACAAAACAGAAAGGTTAATGGCTGTGCCCTTGGCTAGATTCAGCACAACTATTTTTCTTTGTTGGAAGTGCTTTAGGAATGACAACCCAAGTATCCCTTGCTGCCTATTGGCAACCAATGTTACACCTACCAACCGTCCGTTATTAGAGTGGGACTAGCTAGCTGTGCCAAGCTGAGTAAGGTTTCTTTTGCATGTGAAACAGATAAGAATGAGAGAAAACAGATCTGGGATACTTAACACTGTTTCCAGTAACCCATTTGCTGCCCTGCCCTATTGTAGCTCCCCAGACCTTCCCCATGCAGGCTACACTTCTAGTCTAGAAATGGTGATTTCTTAGCTACCTGGGACATCAACTGACTATTTTGCTTTGGTGTTTGATTGGTGTTGTTTTTAAATCCTATCCAGTTCCGCTTTGGTGGAGGTGGTGAGAAGGGTCCAGCCGTCTCTGCTCAGGAAGCACAAGCTCAAGCTATCCTTCAGCAAGCCAGGGTAAGAGTGAGATGCTCTAAGGAAGGGTTGGGAAGCCTCTGCTTGTCAAGGTCTCCATCACATCAGTTAAAACCTGTTAAGTCTAAATTCTGGCAGCAGGAATAAGTTGATGCTGGTTTACATGCCTGCTCTAAGGGCAGTTGAGAATGACATTGGACCCTCTGTGGCTCATTGCTATAATGAGTGAACAAGCCATCACCTCCCTTTATGTGAAGGAAGAGGTCATTTTTGTTTTCTGGGTCCCTTCTTTTCAAGAATATGCCCACATTTTTTTCCAAATTTTCTTCTATGGCCATATGCTGAATCCAGAATTTCCTTGTGGTATTTGTCTAAGGTGTCTCAACAGAGAAACCATATCTTTTCCTGGACAACTTTGGAAGAGGGGGATGATTAAAAATATGAAAATGAGTCAATGGATCAAAGAGTTTACATGAAAAAAGAATGGATTCTGAAATTCCTAAGATTGTGCATAAACTACAGTGGATTTTGGTCAAGGATCATCTTCTATGCATGTGGAATCTGAGACCCCACTAAAAGCAAGTTTTGGGATACTACATGAAGTAAAACCTTATCATCGTATATTAATTATCACTGCATGTATTACAGAAAAGAAATGGCTGCTCAAATCACAATGTATCTAAGTTGTCATCTGTGACCATGCCAGCAGTTAAGACACAAAGCTTGAACGTTTATTTCTTTTTAACTCCCAGATTGCCATGAGGGGGCCACCTGGCCCCATGGGACTTACTGGAAGACCTGGTCCTGTGGTATGTTAAACTGAAAAACATAATCTCATTGTCCAAAGTTATCATTCCACTGTCTTATCTCAGTTGCAATATGGTTTGATTTGTTTCATGTGTGTGTTTTAGCAAAGGTTAAATTCTGAATCTCGTTAGGTAGCTCTACCTCAGGCACCAAATGCTGAAGTCCAGGAAGGTGTGGGAGGAAGGAGCTGTGTGTGGCAAGTGCTCCACACCTCATAAGCTACCTTGGGGCCCACAGGTGCCATGAAGGATATTGCTCCTTCATCCATATTGATGTAAGATTAACTCATCAGTCCACCCAGCATCTATGAGTGAGATGTGGTTGGTGATGGGTCATCTTGTCCTTTGTCTCTAGCAGTAAAATATCTTTGAACCTGTCAATATAAGCATTTTTCATGCTATAGCTATGAACCTTTGGACACCAGGAAGTCATGGATTTTTTTCAAACCCCCATTGTTTATTTTGTATTTTGTGGGAAGGGTTTCTTCCCTCTTTGGCACCCTCAAATCCTCAGGGTGACTCTGCTCTGCCTATCCTGCTACCAATGGGCATTTTTCCCCAACTGCTTTTATTAGTTCAGAAATGAAGATATCGATTCAGTGTGGCGTTTATCAATTTTAAAAGCATATCAACAAATAGGTATCAGCTGCTTAGAGATAAAAGATTAGATAATACATGGAACAAAACTGCAGACAAAAACTGTACTGTAAACTTTGTAGATGGAGCTTTGACATCTTTCATTATTTAATTTTTTTTTCAGATAAGGGAAGCTTTAATACATAATAAAATATATTAAACATAATGAACATTATAAATGCAGTATACTATACATATTATGTATATGTATAGAACTCACAATTGTATGGAACTCACAAATGTATGGAACTCACAATTATCCACCAATAAATAACATTTCATCTCTCATCATATTTCAACCAAAATTTAATGAACAATGCATTAAGGAGTTAGCACAATTTCTCATAAAATTTATTCGGTTCCTATTTCCCATACTGACAAATTCTGGTCATGTAGCCATTCTGGCCCCTGCCATATTTTCTCTCACCATTGTGTGAGAATGGGTAACACCAAGTGTTTCCATCACTTACTTAGCATTAGCTTAGCCAGTATCAATATATTCCATACTAGCTCATGGTCTTTTCATTTCAACAGTCTCTTTAAGATACCCTAGTAGCATTAGAAATGGGTCAAGTAGGATAGTTTCATCAGTGCTTACCCATATTTCTTTCCTCAATGAGTCCCAGAATAACTGCATCCTCAGATAATGGTTCACATTTGTATTTGTGGCTCTACATTTCCAGCATGCATCAGAACCCATATTTGGATGCAGCATTTTAAATGTTTAAATGGTAATACCAGTACACCTGCACTGCAATTGCTAAACTACCTGAGCAATTTTCTCCTAATGATGGCTTCCAATTTTATGAAACCGATATTCTGCTGACAGAGATAATCAAGTCATTCTGTAAAATGCTGCAGTTAAGCAGTTACTATCTTTTTTAGAAGCTGTCCAAGTGTATTTACAACAATATAAATGATAGTTAGCACAACCAAGATTACAGGGTTTACATAAACCCAATAGTCCCTTGAGAGACCATAGAAATTAACTTTTTTTAGTTTTTGGGCAAGGGGATGTGGAAAGGAGGCATAGACAAAGGTCAAGGGAAGTTTTACCGCCAAAGTGACATGATATTTTTACTTTTCCTGACTGGAAAAAGCAGGTTGAAGAGCACTGTGCCTTAGCTGAGATTCAACTTCCCTGAGAGAAGTCAGTGGCTGGGTTGAATATGGGTTGTGGTTGAATCATAGATTATTGTCGCAAAGTGAGCTACTGTGCTGTCTGAATCTATGAAGAGAACCCATGCTTTGTTGATAGTTTGTGTACTGTGGGTCGTTTGTGCTTAACAAACATTGGTTTGTTACCATAGCTGGGTTCCAACTACACACAGTAACCCAAAATTTAATATTAAGCAATGGTTCAATGACAACCCATGCTCAACTGCTAAGTGTTGTCTGAACCCAACCAGTGAAATGAAGATAATAATATTGGGATGAAAGTTTGACCACCACTCCCTTTTTTGGTCAATTGAATGACATGAAAGCAAAGATTAGAAGATTGGAATAATTCTGTAGGCTGGGCAAATTCTACTAATTTTCAGGTGGGATCACCATTGTAGATAAAAAATAGTATTAGGTTCTGTCTTTTTCTGGCTTTAACTCAAAAGCTTTGCATCAGAAGGTAGAACATGAGCAGAGTGACAGAGCCCCTTCTTTCTTCCAAGGAAAAGAGGGATGCCTAAGAAGGTAGTCTGGTTTAGCTTTGAATTCATATTTGCTACACTTGCTACATCAACCAAAATGACTGGGGCAGGATAAAAACAGACAACATAGCTTCATTTTATCAACAGCAAAATGTGTAACTTCTCTTTCCCCAATCCCTTGGTGGCAGTGCTTTAAAATCTATGGTCTGCTGATGGTGAAATGAAGCTATGTCATCAGTTTTTCCCTGCCCCAGTCATTTTGTAGCTATCACATCTCTTGGCTCTGTCATTAGTCCTATACCTACACAGCTCTATACTATCCAGATGCATTTGTTGGAGCAGGGAGAAACAAAACTTCTCTTGGTCCTTCAGTCATAGTCCCTCGGGGCAGACTTATGAACAACTGCTGGAAACAGGTAGAACCTACCTGAAGACCTCTGGCAGTGCAAGGGAACATGCAACTGTCACCTTTCTGTCCTCCACCACTGAAACCAGTCTCAATGAGCACCAAGTGGCAGCTTCCCTGCCCTGGCATCATTTTAGAAGTAGAACTTGATGCTTTCAACCAATCATAAATTTCTTCTTCAGAGTAAGACATCACTGGAGTTCTATTTCAGCGGTGAATTCAAAGTCGATCCAAGCACCATGAAGGATCCCCGAGTTAAATGCCACCTACCAGCTGTGTAGGATGAAGAATTTGATCCTGAGCGCATTTTACAGTGCTAGTTAGGCAAAAGCAGGAGATCCTTTGAACCCCTAATGAGCCATAGTTTGAAGCTAATTTTTGCTGTGATGGTCAGAGATTGTGCAAGACCATCAGATTTGCTGTGAAGGTCACAGACAGTGCAGACTATTTCACTCAAATCTAATTACATTATTTTTAATACTTTCATCCCAAACACATTTATCCATTCAGACATACGTTCTCTTGATTTCAGTAGAATCTGTTTCTAAGCAGATGTGCTAAAAGCCACAGCCCAAATCTCCCATCAGGCTTAATATGAGTCAGGGGATCTATGAAAAATGTAGTAAAGAAGCTGCATTATCTTAGCTGTTTTCCACTTAAGCCACTAGGAGGCTGCAGAAATCCAGCTGTTCTGATTGAGAATAGCAACAAAACAGGATGTTTCGGTTCGTTTTTTGCACATTTTGTACATTTTTATTTTCACCCTCAATACTCATTGCAATATGCTATAAGACACTATTCAAGGAGTATCTTTCTAAGTGAATGTTGCAAGTATTACATACCCTTTCAGGACTGCATTTCTGGAAATCCAGGTCTTACTTATGTGCCCTTTCAAGAACCCGAAAGGGTGGGGTTATTCTTAGGTTTTGACCTTGCAGCAGCCAGACTGCTTTTGGCCAGGACTGGGCTTGCAGCTCAGCTCTTCTTCTGCCTTACTGCTCCAACTCTCCTTTCTCCTCCAACCCTCACCCTGGGAAGCAGAGGGAATAGCAGGCAGGAGAGAGCTCTTGTTTACATGGGGCATGGCATGAGACCTCTCTGCAGAGAGAAACAGCACACGAAACATCTTTTCCCACTGGGGACCATGTTGTTTGACTGCAAGCTCCATGAGTCAAAACAGGAAATGACTTTCCACACATCATTTGCAACCAATGAGCCTTACAAGGTTCCTTCTGTGTTGATGGTAACCTTTTGCTGTTTGCAATCAGTCCTTCGTTTCTCAAGATAAGATTTGCTTTGGTTCTTCATTTCTCTAGGCTAAAAGATTCCCTCTTGGCTTGGAGAAGGGGAATGGGGGAGGATGTAGCAGGAAAGAGCTAAATGGAGATTTTCTGGGATTGTTGTCAAACATTCAGAAAGCTGTTTGAGTGATTGACATAAAGATTGAAATCCCAATTTATTGCTGGAACTAGACGTGGGTTGAGCAGCATCTCAAAGTGTTTATTTTCTCATCGATCAAATATTAAGTTCTGGATGTTAGCTGGTATGCACTCAGTAGGATCATTAGTCCATCAAGTTGTTACCAATTAAATTCTTGGTTTACCATGAACACTTCCCACATGATTATAATCAGTAACACCAACGTATTAGGTCTCCTGCTGTTAAAATGTGATTTTGTTTGAGCTAAAACAGCTGCTTTGCTTTTGTCTGACAGGGTGGTCCCGGTGCTTCAGGTGCCAAAGGTGACATTGGTGACCCAGGTCCTCAGGTAAGTCTCTTTTTTACATGATAGATCACTATTGCTGCCACCACCAACAAGTACACACACACACAAAATATGGATTTGTTTTGGCATGGGAAAGCCCTAATTCGGATATTGGCTGCAGCTGTTTCAGCTGGTTACTGTAAGCCCAGTAGCTGAGTGAATTTTCCCTTAAGACAGATGTTTCAAAACTTGTTCACCTGGTACATGTTTAGAACAGCCATTTCTAAATCAACCAATAGGCAGGTGATACAACCTGCATAATACAATACGCCAAAAGCAAGGAAGCAAAATGGCCATCAATAGTGCCTCCGATCTTATAGATTTGACATTTAAATAAATTAAAAATTAAAACAATTTTTTTTTTACTTTTAAATGTTACATCTATACAATTTATAAATGGGATTGTTAATACCTGTTAATATTTAATGGGCAGGACTTGTTTCTTTGGTTCCCGAGAATTAGGGATGTGGGAACTTTCCATACACACATATCTGATATTTTTGCCTCTGTGAGCACAGTTCTCCATTGTCACAGATCTTAAGGTTGCTCCTTATTCTAAACACCAGCTTCCTATCTGATTTTGTCTGGCTGGATTGGAAACAAATCTCTGGATAACAGATCCATCAAATCAAGTTTTGTTGGTGTTTGCCACCATATTAAATGACAGGAGATCAACAGTGCAGTCCTATATATTTCTACTTCAAAAGATATGTCAAAATACATCCTATTGAGTTCAGGATTAGGGTGAGGGGTAGGATTAGGATTATTGGCTAGGATTGTAGCCATGCCTATCTTTGTACCTCACTTGGATTTTTCCATACATCATTCTTCCATGCATGTCACAAAGTTGGGCTGTTGACGACAGCTCCTTCTGTAACTATAGCTCTGGAGTGATGGGCTCTGTAGTTCTTGATGTCTCTTCAGTGGTGCTAATCAATATATCTCCCTTTCTTTCAGGGCCCTCGAGGTATACAAGGTCCTGCTGGCCTTCCTGGAAAACCTGGGAAAAGAGTAAGTATTGAGTTCTTCAATGCAGCTCACATTTGGTAGAGGGACAGGAATTCCAGAATTGCAGCAAATTTGCTTTTAACCCTTTGCATTTGGTATTAAACAGCTGCCTTTTAATTTTGTTAGGGTCGTCCAGGTGCAGATGGAGCAAGAGGAATGCCAGGGGAACCTGGCTCCAAGGTTAGTAAACATACTGGAAGTGCTTTACAGCTGGAGTGTTTTCCAGATGTGCTTCAATTAGGAACCAAGCATTTCCATTCCAGACTTGCACATGTGGTTGAATCTAGATGACTTTGCTGGGCTGTATTTGGAAGGAATGGCAAATGATCGATTGTAGTGAAATGTTTATATAGCTTTGCTCTTAAAGCTTCAGTGCTGACTATTGCTACATTTTTATATAAGCTGTTGCAGCTACCTGGTGAATGATCCATGGTCAGCAGACCTTGTCAAATGGAGGACATCTGTGGAGAGAAGAGTTGGCTGCCCCCCTGGTACCCTTTTTGCCTGTAAACTGCCCTAGGAATGAGGTTACCTCACTACATGTTGCCATTCCCATTGGGCATCTGTTCGGAAATGAAGTGGTGTACATGGAGGGTGTTAGTTTAAAGGAGAGAGAAGAAACTTACCCTCTGCTTATGAGCATTTATCCTACGCCCACTAAAGGCTTTAGAAAGTGCTATCCTTTGAAGGTGGAGGACACTTTTTGGCAGAGGCATAGAAATAACAGGCTCCAAATTCAGAGGCGTGCAGCTTCAACAGGGCCAAAATATCCATGCATAGAAGAGGCTTACACTGGTGCCCCTGAAGTTTGTTGAAATGCTTACAAAATGCAACAACGAATTACTGAACATAGTATTTTCCCCCCCTTATTAGGGTGACAGGGGTTTTGACGGCCTCCCTGGTCTACCTGGTGAAAAAGGTCACAGGGTAAGGAAACATTGCATATTTATCTGAAAATCTGTAAAAATGTGACTGTTCTACAATTGCAACTGAATGTGTTGTCCATAGCAATAACAATATTTTCCACACCTTTGTCATGGCAAACCTGCATAATGTTTCTTGTTTGTGAAAATACCATCAACTTAGGTTATACTTATGTTTACAATCAATGTATGTTATCACTTGTGTGGATTCAGGTGAGTATGTTACCTGATGCAGAGATACGAAGCCTCACTACAGAATGCCTAGCAAGGAAATGGGGTTAATTCTTAGAGAGAAGATATTCCTAATGGGTAGCTTTGAACACCATAAGAAGCCATGGTTGTTTCTCAGCCACAGGAGGTGGTTGAAACCCCATTGGTGAGGTTGTTCAAGGATAGGCTGGACATGCACATGGTAGGTCAGATTAGATGGCTTAGGAGGCTCCTTCTGCCTCACTCTGCTTCTATGTTGTTTCTTGTGTGAGATTGTCTGTTGCATTTCCTGAATCCAGTTATGATATTTAGGCATAGTACATTTGGCTTTCAGAAACCACAGTAAGAAACAACAGTCTGTTTCCTTGCTTTACTGTGGTTTCTGTGGTCATTCAAACTTGGGATCATGGTTTCCACAGTCCTCACATGCAGTTTCCTCAGAGTTCCCTGAATATAGGAGTCGTTACAGGAGCTGCTCCAGCTAAAAGACATGTCATTGAATTTCATGTGTGGTTGCTGATGGGATACATACCAACAACAGGGAGTGGGGGCAGAGCAAAGAAGGTGGAAACCATGCTACGATAGAAACCATTTGATCCCCTGTCAAATACATCCAGGCAAATACCTGCACTGTGGAAACCACATGTTGAACCCAGCCAATTAGAAGCTGCATTATTGTCACATTGTGTATCATTATAAACAAAAATATAGTGCATTGTGCAAAGTGGTGTACGGAATCATGCTCCATGCACACTGAAAGAAAGTAAGGCTTTGGACAAAGAGAAGCTTCTATTTGGCAAACTGGTTCCTCCTACCGGAAGACTATTTTCATAGGGAAAAATCTATCCCAGTAACTGTTTGATAGAATATCAATAAAAGAGGGAAGGAAATGTGTTATAACTCGAATGGGATTCCAGGTTGATTTCACAAAGTATATTATGCTTCATAAGTAGTTCTAGAGATTGTCCGTACCACTGGCTCTATTCATGCACTAGACATTTAACAAGGAAGCTTATTGCAGTGTCTCCATGGACTAAAAACACGCATAAAAATGGAATAGTAATATATGTAGTTTATTGAAGGTCAGATCAATGATGTGTGTGGCCAGCAGAGGGCACTGTACATTAAGCACTAATGGAGCACATGCAATGTTCTATGCTCCATATTACTCTATGGCTGAGTAAACATTTACAAGTTGTTACAGAGCCAAAGAATCCCTGCCTTTGTGTAATCCTGTATGGCTGAGTTAGCAATTTTTCTGACCTCTAGGTGCATGAGGAAAGCAACTGACTCTTTTGCTCTTTCTCAAGAGCATGGGTACTGCCATCATGTCTCTTATTAGAGTTCATGGTTGCAGATTTGTATATTACTTTGCAGTAATGCTAATGCTCTAATAATCTTAGAATACTACTACTACTAATAATAATACTCTAATAATAGTATAACAATAATACTCTAATAATACTTTGTGGGCTTCTATCACATTTCTGCAGACTCATGATGCAGTTATTTTTAAACCAGAGCTTTCCAAATGTTAAAGCATGACAATCAGGATTTTATGAAAGCCAAAAAGTTTCCAGTTCAGCTGAAATCAAATACCAGATTTTAAACTAAAGGCCCATGCATAATACAGCATTTAGTGGAAAAGTTAGGTTCGGACTTATGTAATGAAATATTGCAAGGTATTGGATGTGAAAACACCCATGTACAAAATCACATGGCTTTCTACTTGAGTATGCACTTTTGGTATATATGTGGGTATATTCTCTCTCCCTCTCCCTGCCAGTTTCAGAACTGTTTATGGGCCTTATACGCACAGAGAGATCTGTGTATATAAGAGCATACTTAATTCCCAATGACTGAGGTCACTGGGGACACTAAAGCCATAGAAAGTAGGGGAAAGTAGTGCACTCACATGTGCAGAAGACCTGGTTATTTAAGCTATATATTTTATGTTCCCTTGCCATTTGATTGTTACCTTTTCTGTTTCCTGTATGCCCATGTGTGTCTGTCTATGCCAACTTAGAATCAGTGAGATGTAGTGGTTAGTTTGATGGATGGGACAGGGAAGATCCAGGTTCTAGCCCCCACTTAGCCAAGCCCACTGGGTGACTTTGGGCCAGTCACTGACTCTCATTCTATCCTACCTTACAAGCTTCTTGTGCAGATAAAATGGAGAGGAAAGGAGGTAGATCATGCGCACCACCCTAGGCTCCTTGGAGGAAAGACAGTGTAACAGGCATGCAAATAAGTAAATAGAGAAATAACAGTTCAAGCATCTGATAAAGCAGCCAGTGTCATCATAAATAGGTTGCCTTGATGGAGCCACACAAATTAGAAAAGTGAGCATTCTTCTAAGTATTACACATATGTACACACACCACACCACCACTGCCACCGCAACCACCACCACAATCACCATCTGGAGCCGTAATCAGAACTCTTCATTAACTAAAAGACAGTGAGCATAACATCCCATAAAAATGATTGAGCATCCTAATATACAGCTTAAAAATTGCTGCAGACGGATGTTTAGAGACGGCCTGAAGACAGTCTTAAAGCTTACAACCTCCTACTGAATCTGCCCTACATTCGGCTATATGTGGTTTTTAATTATCAAAAGAATAGAGATAAATTGGGGTACTTGGAGATTTCAGTCATTGTCAGATAGTCTAGCCATTTGCTACTGCCACCATGCATTATGGCTATTTAGTCAGAAGGTAAAAAGTAACCGAAGAACTAGAGGGAATTTCTAGGGGTGGGATTTCTTTCCAAAGAAACTTACAGTGCATTGCTGAGGATGTTTGTTCAGGAGTTAAATCCATTTAGTTCAACAGGACTTCCAGATAAGTGTGGGTAAGACTGTAGACTTGGTACTAATCCTATAGCCACTTATGTGGACAGAAGCATCTTTGACCTAAATGGGTCTTACTTCTGAGTGAACCTCTATTGGATGGTACTCCAGGATATGTACAATTTCAAGTAGGGATGGGCAGTCTATTTACAGTTCATGGCTACTTTGCCTGTGTTCATTCACAAGGATGTTCTATCCCATTTCTACATTAGTGTGCAATTTTTAAACATCTGTGTTAGCCTTTCTATTAAAATGTGTTAAGAGTTTTAGAATGTATTTAAATATATGTTAAATATTTTAGAATGTATTTCCTCAGAAAACATGCATTTCCTGTCTATTTTATTCAAAGATTCCTCTGATGAGAAATATAACCTAGAGAATGTAGCTTGTGTAGTTTCTTGTGTAGTCCACATGGAGGTGAAGCTTAATTTCTCTCATTTCTCAGCATTTCATGGTTGTATTTGAGCTTCACGCTGGACCATAGATTAGCATAGCAAGCATGAGGAGCAGCTAGACTTGGGCTTGTGTTCTTCTACCAACCCCTCTTCAACTCCGACAGTGATGAAGCAGGAATTCAGAACCTTTTACTTCTATTTCTGCTTAGTCACAACTTGCCTTGACATCTCGACCTGGAACTGTGGTTAATCTCCACTAGGGTGACTTTAAACAAGCCACCTTTAGTAACCATGGTTTGAAGTTCACATCTTTGGAACTAACTAATGTTACAGTTAGATTGATCAGGCTGTTTCCATTCTGTCTATGTAGGTTTTAATTTCCTCACCAATCTGCATTCTATGCACCAAGATAAATTTGCATTTATTTTTGATGCAATTTTCCCTAACATATGCATTTTATTCACATTCTCCTAATACACATTTATGTATATGAATCTTTCCTGAATCTTTTCACACATCTTTGAGCCAAGAACTGTATCACAAATTTTGTAGAAATGCACATTCTGAAAGAAAACCGCATTCCAATCTATACATTATTCCAGGAAGTATGAATTAGGTTGACCCTCTTAGAAATGTGGGCTAAATGGGATTCTCCCCCATCCCTGTCACACTCAACTATGGTTTGGCCTCTTGTCCGAATCAGGCAAATAACTGGTAGACAAACATGTGTGATCTGTCTCTGTTGAAAAACATTGCATTGGAGATGATGTTGAATGGCATAGAAGGTTCAATCTGCAGTGCGAGGTCCAGAATGGCTCATTCATGTACACAAGCCATTGTTGGATTTTTCAGTCAACAAGCAAGGAATGTGTACATGTAAATCACCTTTAATATATGCACAAAAATGCTAACTTTTTTGCTGAGCCATATAATCGCTTTCATTTCTGGCAGCCCATGAACAGGACCAGGAGATGTGGAAGTGTATGAATCATTCAGTGTTTTCAATATTGCCCTTTGTTCATTGGAAAGCCAAGCAAGTGCTGGCTGCAGTCAAGCAGAGAGTTGGGCACACTTCAGCTTGATTTCAATGGGCTTCGGCATGTCTAAGGCTGTGTTGGACTGCAGCCAATACTTGACATCCAGTCTTGAATGGAAGTCTCTGTGACATGAAAGAGACTGTGCTGATTTGTATCCATTCACTGCAGATAGGTTAAGGCCTGCCAGCACGAAGCTCAAGTGTTTGCTGGGATCCTTCTTTTTTAAGAGCATCTGCACACCAAATCATGACAATTCTCCCAAGCATGATTTTAATGTGGTTTCTGTTATCTCCAGGGAGATCGTGGACCACAGGGACCTCCTGGTGCTCCTGGTGAAGATGGAATGAGGGTATGTTATTCACAGGGGGTTCTCCCTCCCTCCCTCCCTCCCTCTCCTCTCTCTGCATATACATTCACATCTAAAAGAAGCACTTATTCCACACTAACCCTTTGATTTTGTTATGATAATGACAGGGAGAAGATGGAGAGGTTGGACCAAGAGGCCTCCCAGGTGAAGCTGTAAGCAAAGCTTTCTTATCGTTCAGTATTGTCAGAATGCATTGATTGTTCATCCTGTGTGCTTTAGCGTAAGAAGTGCTCCTTGGGGAATCTGCTTGTCCCTGAAAAGGCATGCTCTATTATGGAGGATCATATTCTGAATGAAATATGCCAAAGGGACAAATTCAGCCCATGTACAGGATTTATACTGACTTTGTAGAAGAATCTACAGAAGCCACTCTTTTTGCTTAATGGATTATTATAACAAAGCATTCATCTTTCCTATTTCTGGGCTTCCTGGCAGGTCTGTTTTATTTAAGAACATACATGGCTTTGATTTTTATGGACTGATTATTTATACAGGATTTATAAGCTTCTTTTCAGGATAAACCCTCCCATGGCAGTGTGCAGCAAAACTGAAAAGCACAAACACAATAAAACAATGATAGGGATAAGAAAAAGAATGATAAAATCAAAATGAACAGTTAAAGCCAGACAACACTAAATGCAGAATGGTAGAGTTTTAACTCAATTACAGGGCAAAGTAAACAGACTAGTCCTCAGGGTGTACTTGAAGGCCTATAATAATGGTGCCTGGGGGTCATCAGTTGGGACAAAATTCCACAAGTGGGGCTTAGGGGGCACTCTTGCAAAGGGCCAAGTCCTCATGGCCAGCCACCGAGTTGTTCTTAAAGGCAGGGGCATAGCTAGGACCTCTGGTGCTGATTGAAGTGCAGAGAGCTTGATATGGGAGAAACCAGTCCTTCGGTTGCTAGTATTTTCATGCAGGGATGATTTAGAGAGGCATTTTGATGAGTAAAATTAGAAATGACCCCAATTATTTTTTTCTGTGATGCATTTAAGATTTGTTGGCTGAAATATATAACTTCGTAATCTGCTGTGATGTCTTCTAAACACTTTGGTTTGGTACATGCAGTCCCACACTGTATTGCAGGGGTGTGTCTTTAGTCTCTGGTCCTTGGGTCTAAGGAAATAAATGACTGACATAAAACAGGTGCTCATATATGTACCTCTGTATGCATGAACACCCCACCTCCATCATCTTGTTATGTTGCTTGTTTGGGTGCCCATGTGCATGTCTGCAGAGAACGGGTTGCATGGATAGGGAAGACGTGTGAACTACGTACACTGTGTGGCACTGGAACTTGGGTAATCTGGGCTCTAGTCCCCACTCAGCCCATAGAGGTCACTGGCTGACTTAGGGGTAGTCACTGCCTCTCAGCCCAACCTACCTCACACGGTTGTTTTGAGGACAATATTGAGAAGAGGAGGAGAATTATCTAAGCCACCTTGAGTTCCTTGAAAAGTGAAAAAAGGTGGGATGTAAATACCATCCGTCTGTGCACATCCAATCACACAATGTGTTCTTGACACAGCGTAAGGGAAAGGAACATCATTGCCTTTCAATATGCGTGTGTGCAGCAGGTGGGGATTTTCAAACTATCTACGTTGATAGCCTGCCTCTCCACCATGGAACTCAAGGCAGTATGCATAGGATTTCCAGACAGCCCAGTATTCAGGCACTGATTAGCCTCAGGCCTGCTTATCTTCAGAGTGTTGCCTTAAGTCAATTCTCTGGGACTTCCATGATGTCCGTGAGAACATCAATGCTGCAGGCTTTCAGGTGGGGATGTTCACTAAACCTTGAATGATTATGGGCTGCATAAGTGGCAAGTTCAGGACCTGTGGGCCTGTGCTCATTTTAATCCCATGAGTTTGCGCCTTCCCTGGCCTCAGCGCTGAGAAGTTAGCCAAATGGGAAGGAGGTGGTGGAGGTGGACTGCTCCCAAGCACCAGTGGAGTGCCCTGTTTCTGCTATGGACAGAATCCCCATGGAGAAGTGGAGGAAGAACTTAGAGTGCATATGACTTTCCCATTAGGAGAAGGGGATCATAACAAGGCCCTCAGCAGGACCTCTTAGTAAGCTCAAGGTTGTGTTGGGATCAAACCCAGAGAAATGAGTAGCATCAGAATTGCGTCTGTGATGTTTTGACACAGGCATCTATTGACCCCATTAACTTTCAATGGAAGCTTCGTATTGAAATATACAATTTTGTCTTTGAAAATGTATTTCTGGGTCCCTTAAGTACTATTGTAGGATATAATTACTGTCTAGCTGGTATAACTGAATATATGATACAAAATTAAAACCAAGCATGTAGATGAAAAGTGTAAATGAAGTCTGCAAAGGACATTTAGCATATTGTGCTTTAATAGCTTGGAACAAATTAATAACACCAAAACTGGTGAAGTTGTAGGAAGTCCTGGTTGATTATGGATTGGGGAGATGACCTGGGGACCTGACACAACTGCTCCTGAATGTGCTTTGCTTTGGCACAGAGTGAGGTTTCCTTGTTTTTCTGATCAGCTAAGGTTAATGAAGTACTTGCACAGATGACTAGGGTGATCATAAAGAATGACTTAGGGCAAATCCGATGAAAGTCAGGCTAGAGCCCATTTGCAACCTCCTCTGTAGCAGTGAAGGCAACAGATAAATTGTTCTTCTCCACCTTCACTGTGGCAGCACAGTTTTCTCTAGCAGAGTTGTTTTGGCTAAGGTGCTATTAATGCATAATGAAGTGACGTCCTTGGAAACTCACTATGACAAATTACCAAGCACTTTGTTCATATCCACTCTGACTTGGGCTCCACACTTAGAGCAATATAACGAAATAATGGAGGCAATCACTTGTCCAGTCTTGGTGGGTGAATTTCATTTCTTTCATCCTGACAAGTTGGACCAGTTGCTTGGTGAAGTGAGGTCAACCAGTGGTTTCCTAATTCCATGCCCCTGGCTAATAAGAGCTGCCAGACAAGGGCTGGATATTTGGTTAGTGGAAGTTCTAAATTGTTCTCTAAAAGAAGTATGTGTTTTATAACCTCTAAAAGCAGTGAATGCAAGTCTTTTTTTAATAATACCCTCTTTGGAGTGCATCACTTTAGATAATTATCGGCTGGTTTACAATCTTTTATAAGTAAGATCTCTGAATGAGTGGTGGCGATCAACTCCAGACTTTCTTGGATTAAGGTTAGGATTAGGGTTAGATTTTTTTTTCCACGTATGTGTTCAAGTATGCTTTTGGGACAGAAGCAACTTGGCTCATCTCAGTCAATCTACTCAAGGAACCAGGCAGAGGGAATGTGTCTCTGTGGGGTCATGTTATCCTTTCGGGGTGTTTTGCTGATACACAACTCTCGAGAACTGTTTTGAGATGTTAAGATCCTAGCGGACGGAACATACCCAGAAGGTGGTTCTGTGGGAACCATATCCCATATGCCCTTTCCCCATATGCTCTGCTGGGGAAGGGCAGTTTCATGAAATTGCTGGAGTGGAGTCTCTCTGGGTCCTCAGGTCACTAGGGCTCTTTTCAACTGATGCCATGGAGGCTGTGGTAGTGCAGGACTGTTTTCAGATGTGGTATGGAAATGGGTGAGGGTGAACTAATTGAGTCTCAGTCCAGATGAAACAGAGGTTCTGTTGCTCAGCAGAGAGCAGTTAGTTCAGCACTGATGTACAGCCTGTGCTGGATGAAGTTGCACTCCAGGTTCACAGCTTGGGGTGCCCTTGGATCCAACATTGCTCCCGGAGTGACTGTGGCCAGATGCCTATGCTCAGCTTAGATTGGTGTGTGATCTCATGCATGCCTTAATCACCTCTCATTGGGAGCACATAAAGGGTTGTACATGGCTCTGTTCTTGAAATGTATTTGGAAATCGCATGCACCATCTTGCAGCCAGAAAATTATCTGGCACTTGCTCTACAAACCATATAATTCTGGTTTTGCACAAACTACATTGGCTTCCTTTCTCTCCCTGAGGTCAATTCTAGATGGTATTGATTTATAAAGCCCTAAATACATTGAGAGCGGGATATCTGCTACTCTTTCTCTTACAAACTTGCCCACAATTTGCAATCCTCTTCAGTGGTCCCATTGCATGTGCTACCATAAAGAGAGGGTAGACCAGACAGGGCCTTTTCTGTAGGAACATCCCAACTTGTAACCTTTCTCTTTAGGGAGTTCCAATTAGTCTGTCCTTTCAGAATTTTAGATGGACAGTAAAGACTTCAGTTTCGCCAGGCCTGTGTTTGATGTATCTGAATATTGCTTTGTGGTTTGCATAAATCCATATTGCTTCTATTGCCTTGTTTTTGGTTGGTTGGTTTATGGAGGGGTGGTGGTCTTGCTGTCTGGTTGTTTTAAGTTGTATGTCTCCTGAATGCCCTGGTGAAGGGCAGAAATGTGATAAACGCCTTTGATAAGCAACCAACCAACCTGCAGGAGACTGCCATCATCCTGTTGCACCTGTATCATTGGCACTTTCACTGGTCAGGGGGAAAGCAAAGGGGGGGGGACTAAATTCTCCATGAAATTGATCAGGATGTTTCCTTCCCATTCAAGAGAGAAGACAGGCAGGAAATGGGCTGAACTTGTCATGCAGTCTGGCAGGATGAGTCCATAGAGCTGCTTAATGTCCGACACTCTTACTGGACTCCCTGATGCCCTCAACGTCACATCCTCTTCTCATGTCTTTTGTGAACCCCAAGCCTAATCACAGCTGTATCTTTCGACAGGGTCAGCGAGGATTACTGGGCCCAAGAGGAAGTCCCGGCCCACCAGGACAGCCTGTATGTATTTCTTAAAGAAACGCAGCTGCTTGTATTTCCAATTTTCCCACACATACATCTGTAACCAGTTTTAATTTCATTCTGTTCTTCAATGTAGGGAATCTCAGGTGTTGATGGCCCACAGGGCCCAAAAGGAAACTTGGTAAGTTGATCTTTTTTTGTGTATGCTTGAGAAGAGAGTCTTTTAAAAAAAGGCTTGGGAATGGATAAATTGACAAGTCCTTTATTCTTACATGATTACCTTGAGTTACTGAAACTTAATGTATTCTTAGAGGCATCATGATTTAAGCTGCACTGTGCCTTCTCTATAAGATTTCGGTGGATCTATCCCTCTATAGGTCCAGGGCACTGGGGGGCATAGAATTACAGGGCCATGAAAAATGCTGTTTTGAGTTGTCATCGAGGGATGAAAAAGCAAGTTGGGTAAAATGCATGGTGTTCTTAGAAGTGTTGTTGATTGTGTGTTAGTGATCGCAAAAGTGTGCTTACCCCAGCAAATGCTCTCTCTGTGTATTTCTTACTCAACAGGGCCCTCAAGGGGAACCGGGACCTCCTGGACAACAAGGAATCCCTGGCCCACAAGTGAGTACTCAGCATCTCACAGTGGAGACCTTTCTACTACAGAAAATATAAATGAGATATCAAGCAGAAAAGGATGCTGGGTAAACTTTTCCCCTTCAGTGATCCTATGCTCACTTCTAGGTTTTCATCAACCATCCTGAAAGTTAGGTGCAATTTTTTTAGGACAGAAACTCCCTCAGCACCTTTCCTCTGCACACACTTTCTGTTCCTTTGGAGGTTAAAAAGACTCATTCAGAGCTCCCTGCATGCCAGCAGGAACAGCCACACCTGTATGAGGAATTCTGCATTGGATCATATTACTTACTCACTGCCAGTGGAGTAGCCGCTGTAAAAGCTCTCACAAACTTCCTGCTTTCTCTAATTCTTTTTCTCTGAAGGGGAAACAATTTTGAAACAAACTTAATGCAGCATCTAAATAGGGAAATGCATCTTTTGTGTTTGATTTTTTAAAATAGCCTGGCTTCTTCTTAACAGGGGCTTCCAGGTCCACAAGGCCCAATTGGAGTTCCAGGTGAAAAAGTAAGTAGCATTCCTTTGCTGAGTTACAAATGGATTGTGTAAAAAGTTCCTTGGGGGATGTATATGATTTTTAAAGCTTTCCAAAAATGAGTTTCAAGCAGCCATTGAAAGTTATATGCATGCGAGTTGTCACAGCTCATGTTTAGGTACTCAGTATGGGGTAATGTTCAAGTCCAACAAGTGCAACAGCAAGTCCAACAAGTGCAACAGCACACACTTTCCATGTCTCTCCAGTCTCCACCCATTCCAGGTTGGTCTGGACAGGCCCCCTGCTTAAGACCAGCGTCGTTCAGTGTAGAAAGCAATACTAGCTAGATGGATTACACGTATGACAGTAGCTTGGTCTAGGACAACATCTTAAGTTTCTATGATGATTTCACATCATCATCGTTATCATCAGTTTTTGACTGCAGTGGAGGAATTTGAAACAAACATCCAGATACACATCACCACATTTGTTCTTTTTTGCATGAATGACTGCAATTATTCATTTATTATACTTCAATCCCATTTCCTTTAGAAAGCTCATAACAGCTTAGCTGAATCTGTTGATTGTCTCCTGTCCAGGTTTAGAGGAGGTTAAGGTCTACTTACTTAGCCTCAACTGTGCAGCACCATTGGAGTCGCCTAGACCCCTTGTGTAGTTTGTACAGGATACAGAATATGAAAGATTATTCCTTGCGAGAGTTTAATGGAAAAACCAACCTTCAGGGGGAGTATACCTACACATGTGAGATGCTGGAGACAGACAAGAAGGAAATAGCTTTCAGCTTCCGGTCTTGCTTGTGAGCTTCCAGAAGTCTCTCACTATGGATGGCTCAGCCATCCTGGATAGAGGAATTTGCACAGAGATCCACTCTTCCTCCCAGACTGAATAGGAGAGCGATTATAGAGGGGCAACCTTTGTCTGTCTGACAGTCTTATGCTCATAATTCATTTGGATCCACTTCCATGCATCCGCAGAATTAATTCATAACATAAGCACCTGTATTCACACTGAATCATGCAACAGAACTACAGATATCATTTTAGTTATTTTGTAAGCACAATAATATTATTTCTCTCACCCTTTCTTCTTTTTTATCTACTGTTTCTTTCCACTTTCCTGCTTTCCCTAATAGAGTTCATTTGCCCCACAGCGATAATGTCCATCTTTTCTTGGTTCTTGTTCTTTCTTTTTGTAATCATTTTTTTTTTTTTACTTCAAATGTTGTTCAGGTCACTAGCATGTTTTAAAATGTATTAGCTTTCTTCTCCTGCCTCCTTTTGCTTTCTTTCTCCTAACATACTTTATATCTTACACAGTATTCAAATATCTCTGTTACACAGTATTCAGAACATTTATTAGGAAAAACAATAACAATGCATTCAGTTTTGGTTCACAACAATGATATTCTAGAAAGAATATAGACTATACAGCAGTTGTTTCCCATGCTCTATTGTGATAATCAGAGAGTACCTTTCAGCTGTCAAAGCTCCAAGCCTCCAGAATGTATTTTGTCCCACCTTTTCGAATTCACACTTTCAGGAAAGATAGCTATTTTTCTACATTTGAACTGCCAGTTGCTTTCTGTGTTCTTTGATTGCTACAAAGATTTAAAAGCAGATGGTTTCCCACCTGTAATCTCTTTGCATAGATATATTTTCTAGTATGACATCCTAGAGCAAAATAGCTATTGAGAAATTTGGACTTCTAATATGTTTGAATTCTTGATCTTGTTTTAACTATTTAGTGTTTTCCAGCAGGCTCCCAAACCCTTTTTAGCCCCAGAAGAAGCATTGGATATCTCCTGAAGTGCTGGGGTACCTCACAGGGAGCTGTGTGGCTTATGGGATGGGCTAGAATCAGATAAATAAATATGCAGGCACATTTAATCACATACCACTCACATAAAACATACAATTCACACATGCACATCCCCCACTCACTCAAAACCAACTCCTGTGCAATAGCATTTCGAAGACCTAGTTCCTGCTGTGATAAGATACAACCAGTGCTCTCCCCAGAAGCCTCATCCTCAAACCACTCAGCCCTCCAGGCATCCTGGCTCCTTGCATTCTCATTCACTCTGTTGTGGAATGGTCCACATATCCCACACTCTGGAATATTTTCCAAAAAAAGAGAGGGGAGAAATTTCCCAGTGATAGGTTCTAATGTTCCTGCCATGGAAGTCTCCTTCCTGGAGTGTTCTTGGAAACACAACAGGATTCTTCAAGTGCTTCTTCCTAAGTCTTCCAGGTATGCACTAGGAATGTTTTCCCCCTTTCCCCTTATTCTGGATGGATGCCAGGCAGAGCTTGGGGAACTGTCTGTGGCTTGTGGCCACACATTTTGCATCTTTACTTACAGTCATAACATGGCCTTCCTCATGTTTTCTCCTCCTCCTCTTGGAACCAGTTCTAGATTTAGGGCCCCCCAAGATGCCCTCATGGATCCTCCATGGTGCTTCTATCATCCCTGGCCACATCCATGTCTTCCCCTTCTGCATCCAGGCCACAGAACTGGCCAAGAAAGGCAGACAGTTCACTGGAAAGGTGGCAGTGAAAATATGGAAGATGGTGAAATCACATATTTTGCCTGGTTGCACATCATGAGAGATCAGGGGAAGGAGGCAAAACACCCCGCTTCAATAGCCACCTAGCATCTAGAACAGAGCTCTAGCTGCTATGCAAAGTTTCCCAATATGAGCATGCTTGCAGAAGAATGTATGGGCACAAAATGCATTTTGTAACTATTACAGCAGGTGAAAAATGTGAGGACAATATGAGGTTGGGGAGAAACTTTTCATCATCCAAAATATATTGCTTCATCTGGTTTGATAATTGGTCACTTGTTTATCTTCATTAGGTTTTCTTCTTTTTTGCAAATAACTCATGACTGCATTTCAGTGAGGGTTTTTTTTAATATGAATTTGTTCAGGAAGTGACCTTCCCATTCGCGAGAACCTAAAAAGAAACACTGCGTGTTTTATTTTTTCCCGTTGTTACTTGACTCACAGTAAAGGTGGGAAATTTGGAAGCTAGAGCCCTTTCTAGGCATACACTTACTTGAGTCATTCCGACCCACATTAATTCATGTATTCACTCATTTTAATTTCAAGGCCTGGTGTCTCTAGTCTCCTGAGGGGGCTTTTTTATTAGCATGCATAGATCTCCATATGGGAGAATATTTGATATCCAAAAGTTACATTCTGTCTTGTGATAATTACAAATGGCCCTCAGAAAAAGGTTAGCAGTGACACTAGTCAGCCAGCCCTGAGCTCTGCAGCTCTCTTGTTAAAATTACCTTGGCTTTTTGGATAGATCAGTTTCCTCTCACTTCTCTCTGCATTAGAACACATCCTGACAGGGCCCTCACATTGGCAAGGAGCTGTACCTCTAAGCACTCTTAGCTTCTGCAATCAGACTGTGTATATGCTGAGTGCATGAACAGGCACTCGGTTCCTGTTCGTCTCACATCAATGTCGCAGCCTTGGAGGATTTTCTTTGGCCAGCATGGAAGTGTCCCATGGGAAATCTCTCAAGTGCCTTTACCTGGGACATTTCCGTAGCTCCTGAATGCACGCTGCAGTGCCGCGCTTGGAGCACAGAATGCTTTCTAGTTTATATATCAAGCAAAATAGCTTATTTTTCAATGACTCTTCTTCTTCTCCCTCTTTTATATACATTGCCAGATGCACAAAATCTTCCATCAACACTCGTTGTTGTTGTTAGTTGCAAAGTCATGTCCGACCCATCGCGACCCCATGGACAACATTCCTCCAGGCCTTCCTGTCCTCCACCATCCCCCGACACCGACTGCTTCAGTGACTGCATCCAGCCACCTCATTCTCTGCCGTCCCCTTCTTCTTTTGCCATCTATTGTTCCCAGCATTAGACTCTTCTCCAGGGAGTCCTTCCTTCTCATTAGGTGGCCAAAGTATTTGAGTTTCATCTTCAGTATCTGGCCTTCTAAAGAGCAGTCAGGGTTGATCTCCTCTAGGACTGACTGGTTTGATCACCTTGCGATCCAAGGGACTTGCAGGAGTCTCCTCCAGCACCACAGTTCAAAGGCATCAATTCTTCGGTACTCAGCCTTCCTTATGGTCCAACTTTCCCAGCCATACATTGCAACTGGGAAAACCATAGCCTTGACTATACGCACTTTTATTGGCAGGGTGATGTCTCTGCTTTTTAGAATGCTGTCTAGATTTGTCATAGCTTTCCTCCCCAGGAGCAAGCGTCTTAATTTCTTGGCATCAGTCTCTGTCTGCAGTGATCTTGGAGCCCAGGAAAATAAAATCTGTCACTACCTCCATTTCTTCCCCATCTATTTAACACGAAGTGAGAGGACCGGATGCCATGATCCAGCATATGTTGACAATTTGATCTCTAGTTCCTCTCTGAAATCCTGCCTGTACTTCTGGTAGTTCGCGGTCCACATACTGCTGGAGCCTAGCTTGTAGGACTTTGAGCACCACTTTGCTAGCATGTGAAATGAGTGCAATGGTGTGGTAGTTTGAACATTCTTTGGCATTGCCCTTCTTTGGGATCGGAATGTAAACTGACCTTTTCCAATCCTGTGGCCACTGTTGAGTTTTCCAAATTTGCTGGCATATTGAGTGTAGCACTTTTACTCCATTGTCTTTTAAGATTTTGAATAGCTCAGCTGGAATACTATCCCCTCCACTAGCTTGTTGTTGCTCAGACTTCCTAAGGCCCATTTGACTTCATATTCCAGGATGTCTGGCTCAAGGTCAGTGACCACCCCATCGTGCTTATCAGGGACGTTAAGCTCTTTCTTGCATAGTTCTTCTGTGTAGTCTTGCCACCTCTTCTTAATCTCTTCTGCTTCTGTTAGGTCCCTGCCATTTTGGTCCTTTATCATGCCCATCTTTGCATGAAATGTTCCCTTCATATCTCCAATTTTCTTGAAGGGATCTCTGGTCCTCCCTATTCTATTGTTTTCTTCTATTTCTTTGCACTGTTCATTGAAGAAGGCATTCTTATCTCTTCTAGCTATTCTCTGGAATTCTGCATTCAATTGGGTGTATCTTTCTCTTTCTCCCTTGCTTTCACTTCCCTTCTTTCCTCAGCTATTTGTAAAGCTTCCTCAGACTGCCATTTTGCTCTTTTGCATTTCTTTTTCTTTGGGATGGTTTTAGTTGCTACCTCTTGTATAATGTTGTGAACCTCCGTCCATAGTTCTTCAGGCACTCTGTCTATCAGATCTAATTCCTTAAATCTATTTGTCACCTCTACAGGATATGATTTAGGTCATACCTGAGTGACCTAGTGCTTTTCCATACTTTCTTCATTTAAGCTTAAATTTTGCAACGAGAAGCTCATGATCTGAGCCACAGTCAGCTTCTGGTCTAGTTTTTACGGACGGTATTGAGCTTCTCCATCTTTGGCTGCAGAGCACATAGTCAATCTGATTTCTGTGTTGACCATCTGGTGATGTCCATGTATAGAGTCGTCCCTTGGGTTGTTGGAGAAGACTGTTTGCTATGACCATCGTATTCTCTTGACGAAATTCTACCAGCCTGTGCCCTGCTTCATTTTATACTCCAAGGCCATACTTGCCTGTTATTCCGGTTATCTTTTGGCTTCCTACTTTAGCATTCCAATCCCCCATGATGATAAGGACATCATTTTTTGGGTGTTAATTCTAGAAGGTGTTGTAGGCCTTCATAGAACTGGTCAGTTTCAGCCCCTTCAACACCAGTGGTTGGGACATAGACTTGGACTCCTGTGATGTTGAATGGTTTGCCTTGGATTCCGACTGAGATCATTCTGTCATTTTGGAGATTGTATCCCAGTACTGCTTTTCCTACTCTTTTATTGACTATGAAGGCTACTTCATTTCTTCTGAGGGATTCTTGCCCGCAGTAGTATACCTGATGGTCATCTGAATTAAATTCACCCATTCCTGTCCATTTTAGTTCACTGATTCCTAAGATGTCGATGTTCAGTCTTGTCACCTCTTGTTTGACCACATCCAGCTTGCCTTGATTCATGGATCTTACGTTCCAGGTTCCTATGGAGTATAGATCTTTGCAGCATTGGGCTCTCCTTTCACCACCAGATACATCGGCAACTGAGTGTCCTTTCGGCTTTGACCCAGTCGCTTCATTCTTTCTGGCGCTACTGGTACTAGCCCTCTGCTCTTCCCCAGTAGTATATTGGACACCTTCCAACCTGAGGGGCTCATCTTCCGGCGTCATATCTTTTTGCCTTTTGGTACTGTCCATGGGGTTTTCATGGCAAAGATACTGGAGTGGGTTGCCATTTCCTTCTCCAGTGGATCACGTTATGTCAGAGCTCTCTGCTATGACCTGTCCGTCTTGGGTGGCCCTGCATGGCATAGCTCATAGCTTCATTGAGCTACACAAGCCCCTTCACCATGACAAGGCAGTGATCCATGCCAACAACACTACGATCCATTATTAGGCACATGTTTCCTTAGCTTCCTAAACATCAACCGGATTTTTCCCCCAATTGTAAAGAATTACACATTTCTAAAGTGTGCCTCACCATTTTTCAAGCATAAGGAGAGTCTTTCTGGACCAAAGTCCTATCTAGATCACTATTCTGTTTCCACAGTGGTCAGAACCACAAGCAGGACCTAAGCATTTGTATCCTCCATGCAACTCCTGGATGCCATCATTTATCTGTGTCTCCTAAATGACTCCAAGTGATCCATCCTGTCAGGGAACATCTAGCTGATGTGATGAGGCCACAACACTACATAGCTAATTTGCAGTGTGCTGACAGGTCCAAGAGAAAGTTCTTTAAGTCCATTTAGAGTGAGAGTAAAGCAGATTATGTTTTCACCAACACTCATAAAGCTTTTACTTCCCATTGCAGCGATTTCCCCAAAACCACCAAAAAAGCAGCAGTGATTAAGTTGTCTACAATGCCTCTCTTTTTAGCTTAATCTTTTAATGTATATCTTCCCACAAATTAAGATCTTCAATTCCCCCTCCCCCTCTCTGTGTGTACATATACAGAACAGGGTTAGTTGTAGCCGTCAAATGTCCTTGTGAAAAGGGTTTCTCTGATTTCGAGTCTGCAGCATATCAGTTTCACAGACAAATGACAATTATTTGATCCAGAAGAGCAGTTTGGAGGCTGCCCAACTGTTACAGTCTGTTATGAATCTATGGATTAGTTGGTTTGATGGATCAGTTGCATTAGGTAAGTGTTTACATTCATGTGTGAGTATTGGCAGTCCTAAAGAAAAGATGCAGAATGTCTAAGGCCCTAGTCATGCTCCACTGAATACTGATAGTCGCCTAAATGAGATTGTCCACATTCCTAGAATTTTCACAACTCACATGTGAATATTAACATTAACCGAATTCCAGACATTTACTTAACATGTCAATTTTGGATTAGCAGAGCAGAAGACAAATTCTGAAATTAATAGAAGTTGTAAATGTAAGAAACCATGCTATTATGAGTTCGGATAAGTTTTCCGGTGATTATGAAATCGGGCTGTCCACGAACCCATTACAAATTATGAAGCTTTCAGTTGGATGTCAAGTTCAAGATGAATTTCCCTAGATCTGTATGTTGGAGTATTACCTTCCTTCTGTTTTACTGATCACATTTTCACTTTGTTCTTAAGTAATCTTCTTCTTGCAGACATTAGCAGCCTAAGAAGCTTTATCATGGATTCATTTCTCTAAAGTGTTTCTTCATCTCTCTTCAGGGACCTCAGGGCAAGCCTGGCCTTGCCGGACTTCCAGGCACTGATGGCCCTCCTGTAAGTAATATATATTTTAGTCCATCTTAATGTTATTTTAAGGGGAATTTCAACAAGGAAATTGCATTACTGATAGCCATGAGCAGAACATATAAAACATATCCTGTTTCATTATTTGAACTTGATCCATGTTTCACATTTCAGGTTCTAAGTTTCAAAAGGAAACACTGAAATAGCAGATGAGAAATGCCACTGACACTAAAGTAAAAATGTATTTAGATTCTAATGCTTTGTCTATTAGGGAGTTAAATGGACAGGAAATGAATATGATGGAAATGTTAAGTGAGAGTATATGCTGCATGAGAAATCCAGTAACAGGATGAAGGGCTGATGGATTTTCATGACTGACCCCTCGTTCTAGATTCCTGCACTGGTGTTGACTCAGTATTGTGTGAGTGAAGCCAATTTGTGGACTTCCATCTCTCTGATGAGCTGCAATTTGTTCATTTTTAAAAATGACTGTGGAAATTGACATAAAATTGGCTGAGTTACACAAATTGGCACCTACACAGCAAGTGCTCCTTGCTTGATTTGCTTTGCAGGTGCTGAATTACACAATTTATACAAAATACTGTGATTTGTGCAAATTGTGTAAACTTCCCAAATAGTACAATATATGCACAATTCCTTAGCATTTTTTTAAAGTTGAGAACACAGTCCATCCTAGAAGTGGAAGTCTCTGTATAAGGACCCAACTTTGTCCACTTCTGATCTTTCAATCAGAGAAGTCAGGAAGTCTGTGAAGCTAAAACAAGCCAGAATTCGCAGCATCAGTACATCTTCCTAAATTTGAAACATCAGCACACATGGGACCTGTCTTTTTAGTTAAATAGGACTCTTTGCAGAAATGATTTGCAGAAAGGATTTGTTTTATTCCTTTTAATGAGTTGGGAGGAGTCGAACATAATACTTGCTAACAATTGCTAAGGAAATTAAAAATTAGTAAAACCAGTTAATCACAATGAAGTGTCTTGTATCTCCTTAAAGTCGTTTATTGTGACACATACTTTTGTGGCCTGGAGCATCTTTGTCAGATGCAAGCTGGCCTTCCATGTGGGTCGACATTAGGGCTGTTATTTGGTTAAATAGACTGTAGGCAACTGATGGATTTTCACTGATTTAGCCACTAACCAGGCAATTGACTTTGCATATTGAGTTACCCAATAGTTCTGATTTAAAAAAAAAAAACCCATACTTTTTTATATAAAATTGCCATATAAGACATGATTGTATAATTGTTTTATGTCATGTTGCCATAGCAGGCAACTTCTTAGAAATTCTTTTACATGAGAGAGAAGGGGAAAAACTCTTAAGTTGATGCTTCCAACTGCAGTTTTTACAAGAACTTTAGTTGATCAAATAGTTGAGTTAATCCACTAACAACCACATCCACTAACAACCACTCAGAAGTAAGTACCAATGGGTCAATGGCTTTATCCGCAGGTGTGTGTGCAAGGAATTGCCACCTATCTATAAAAGCACAATTGTGGAATCCTTACAAAGAAAGAAATCAGACAGAGCTAATTATTACATTGAAGAAATGGTCACTGATACTTCTGAGTAATTTTACAACTAGTCAGAGCAGAATTTGCAGTGAGTATAGATTGGTGAGAAGCGTTCAGGCAAATGCAGTGTACCAAATGATCAAATGCCTTTGTATTCCAGCTACCTTCAGGATGCTGTCTCCTGAGGGGTGACTAAGATGGGGAGAATCCATACTCTGTGATTTAGAAGTCTAAAGCTCCACAAGGCCAATAGCTCAGAATTAACACACATGATTTGCATGTCTAAGGACCCAGATTCAAACTTGGGTGGCTGCATCGGCCAAGACCTCCACTGCAGACCCTAGCAATCCACTGCTGGTCAGAGTTTATAATATCAGTGAAGAAGGACCGGTTGAATGACTAATTAGAAGGCAGTTTGATATGTTCATTCTTTGCAGTGGGCTTACTCAATTTGTCAGCCCTCATGTGAAATAAAGCATGCCTCCTAAGTATTTTTGGTCCATATCATGCTCGAGAATCTTTCCCCTTGCATGAGATTTGCAGTCCCACACAAACACCAAGAGCAGGTCTGTGCAATCCATTGAGAACTACTGCTGGGCCATATTCAGTTTGGTGGGCCAGAAGAAGTATACAATCTCTCCTTACTTGAGAAGACATTTTACATGATCAGTTAAAATTAATTTGTAAGAGTGGGGGCTTAGTTTAGGCAAGCAAAGGTATATCAGAATGATAAAGAAAATAATGAGGTACATTAACAAATGCATTTATGCAACGCCAAATATGAGTGTATACGTGCAGTGCAAAATATATATGGTTTTTGCACCAGTTTAGCTGTCATTGCTTTCCCCTGACTACTTTAGCCATTTTAGCTTGAGAACATTCTGTTATTGATCCCTCATAGCTTGATGTTTCCAGGGCTCCCTGGGTAGAAGGAATATCAGGGATAGTGCAATCCTAGACATGTTTATGCAGGAATAAGCCCCATTGTTTGCACTGAGACTTATAGCTGCATAAGTTTGCATAGGACTTTGGCCTAAGCCTGCAGTGTACCAAGCCCTTTGTTATTAGTCATATGGAGAGAAGGAGCACAGAATAGAGAGTAGAATTGACTAGAACTGGACCTTCAGCAGGGATCTAAAGGCCAAGAGGGAAGATGCATCAGATGTTTTAAGAGAGGGAGTAAAGGAAACGATCAAAATGAATTGAACAAGTGTCCACAGGTGGCTATGAGTGGCTGACAGCATGATCCTACACATGTTTACTCCTAAGTAAGTCTCCTTAAATTCAATGAGACTTACTTCCAGATAAGTGTGTATAAGATTTCATCCTGAGTCACATCATAAAAGTGATAATAATTCAGATAGTTTGAAGATGGCTATATGGCTAAGAAAACTAAAGATTTATTGTGCTCTTCAGCTGCATGTGGATTTAACCCAACTGGAAAGCCCGTCCAGCAATTGATTTCTACATGCTATAAAATACATCCATTACTGTTTTCTTTCATCCTGTTATGTCATAACTTTAATGGCATGCCTAGTGTAATGTTCGGTGACAGATAAAAATAATCAATTCACATCTTCCAGAGAAAATGCATTGAATGGAGGAAACTCTCAAGTGCTTTACATGCTTTTGCATTATTTTTATAGCTTGAGTTGGATCTAAAACAAAACAGCAGCTTCTAGAAATGTCGTTTTTCTTTGGATAGTAATCCATCATCTCAGAGAAAATCACTGAAGAGAAGCTATGCTGTCAACTTGCTTAGATCAATCTCTTGAGATTTCCCAAAGCCTTTTCAAAAAGCTTTAGGATTTCCCTATGAAGTTAGATTATATGGGTTATCATTTCTGAGTAATGCAGAAATCCAGTTTGTTTCTTAGGCTGCAAGTAGAAGTTATGGGAGACACATGGAAGCCACCAATATCAGCACGATCACCTCTCCTCTTCCAGTTTCTATTGTAACATCTCCTAAATCAAAATGCATGCTAGGCAACCTTCTTTCACCAGTTTTGTTCACATCCCTTAGTGGGAACCAATAAAATGGAGAAAAATGAGAAAACCTTGCAAGATGATGTCCTAGCATACTTTTTCTCATCAAGAGGAGAGCAACACTTGCATGCACCATAATGTCTGGTTCCACCCTCAGAGTTTTGCCATAAGAGAGCAGACTAGAGAGCAGAATTAACCATCTTGTTGCTAAATATGTTCATGTCCTCTTATCAGTGGTGTCCAGACCTCCTTTGTTCTCAAACTAGCTTTGTGCTAATAGCTGCTGATCCTACTACTGTTAGGATTTTCTTCATGTTAGACCACTCCTAAAGCCATGCTCCTTCATCTTTTGGAGATAGTGATTCCTGCATAAAATCCTTCTTCAGCGACTGTATACAGCTACAAAGCCCTTTATAGCATGCAGTTGGAATCCTCCAAAGCAATGAACTACAGAGCCATGGGCTGATAAAATTTTGGAGAGCATGACTACATATAAGCTTGTTCAGCAAGCAAGAAATCCTAATTTTAAGAAAGATATTGTGGGACCATGTGCCCATTTATTTCCTTTGTTGGAGCTCTTCCAGCCAAGTACAGTTACCGGTACACACATATGCACAAAGTAACAAGCACTCACAAACACTGCGTTTGTATGCTGTATATTAAACAATATTGTTGTATTGAATATTCAGCTCCTTCTTGGGCCATTTTACAGTTCCATAACTTATCAGTTGCACACTAAGAATTATAATTAGTGAGTTCCTTTGCTTCTTTGGAGGGCAGTCCCACCAATGGGGCTGCAAACTTGGAGGCTTCCGGACTGTCTATGCCCTACCAAGCTGAAGCTGGCAGGATAGGAGACTGCCCCATTGCCCTCCAATTGCTAATATTTTAGCAGAATAGACTTTAAAGCCTACCTAGCAAGGATGCTTTGGAGCTGGATGGAAGGAGGCTGAGAGAGGCGTAGAGTAATTCATATCCTAAACCTTTCCAATCTTCTCACCTCCCTGCCCACCAGAATGCCTTTTCTTGCCCCCGTCAGGTGAATTTCCAACCCAGCAAGGGCAGCCAGCAAAGTTATCTCCACAGCAAATGCAAGGGAGAGGTCTTTGGATGAGATCTCCAACCCCCTTTTCCAAGGTTGTAGTGCTCTCCCTGACCTTGGAGGGGTTTTATGAGCAATCCTGTGGCCCCTGGGATGATTGCCCAGGAACTGAACATTGCCCCCTTGGTGATCTTGATTATTCTTATGTATGTGCTTGACATCACTGCATTAGAATCAGGAAAGACAAAAGGATGTACTTCTCCATGCAATACAAGCGGTAATTAGCATATGGAATTCAGTCCTGCAAGCTGCAATGTTGGCTACCCGCTTCAATGTCTAAGGAGCCATTCTTATCCTAAACATACCCGGATGTGAAGCAGGGCTGAATCTGGGAAATACGTGGATGGCTTCTCTCCTGAGATTATCATGTTCTATCAGCTTTAAAAGGGGATTAGATGTCTTCATAGAGGATAGATCTATAAAACCACTGTTATAGCCATGATACCTGAATTACACCTGCAATTCAAAGTGAATATGCCATTGAATAGCAATCGAGGGGAGCTGGTTTTCTCCTCTCCACTGTGGGTTTCCAAAAACACATTTGGGTGATGACTATGGGGAAATGTGATAGATATTTCATCTGAAGTGAATTCTTGCTATACTCACTACAAATTTCTGTCCATCCTATTATTATGGCTGCTTCCACAAGGTCTTGGCAATTATAGTTTGGTGCGTTGCTCAAATTTCTTTTCAGTATTTCCCAATAGAACTACATTTCCTACTAGGAAATGTTTATTAAAAGACTGTAGTGTAAGACTACCCAGCATCTAATAAATAAATGCATACATAAATAAAATAAGTGTTTGAGAAACAGACTAAATTTGTTTGCATGGAGAAGTGTAGGCATTTACCAAATCTGTATAATGACATAGGATTGTTCACATACTCTTTCCTCTCTCCTCTATATATTTTGTAAATAGGGTCATCCAGGCAAAGAGGGCCAGTCTGGAGAGAAAGGTGCCATGGTATGTATGTCTATGTGTCTCCCTGCCCCATGAGTACATGTGTAATTCTTGTTATAGGTAAAATGGAATGCTTGGAAAAATGTTTACTATGTGTTGATAAATGAAAACTATGTATGATATGCAAGGAATTAGACTCAGAGAATCAAACTTTTGAGTTAGCTTTCCTTCTTCTTCCACTGAGAAATAATTATGCCAATATGGGTTATTTTGGGTGTAGGTCAATGATGCAAGCATGTATTTGGCATGTGTTAATTCCCCAATAACGTTCCTCAGACTTGGCCCTCTTGTACCTTCCCTGCCCTTTTACCTTGCATTTTCCTTCTCTTGTCCTCTTCACTGAACTGGTCCTGTCATTAGGCTAAGTGAGATGATTGCTTCAACAGCAGATGCTAGGAGACAGGAGTGGCAACTTTCTGACTGTTACCCATGAACTCTCTGGCTATTCCTCTCTATTGGGGGACTGAACTGTGTATGCCACACTGTTTATGGACCACTAAACCAGTTTGCTGGCTAAGGTGTGGTGGGTGTTATCCCATCACCACTGTTGAGGTAAGATTCACCTTCTAGTTCAGAGAGCTTCTGTGCATGGCCTGGGAAGGAGTCACCATCTTGTCCTTCTTGTGCAGCAAGACATCTTGGACCAACTCTGTCCTTTCAATATTACCCGACTGTATCCCATCCTAAGCCTGCAGTAGAGGTTGTTTCTGAGATAAAAGTCTGCAAATTTGCTAACCACAGCCAATTTCTTTGCAACTTTCTGAGGGTACCTTCTCTACCTGTGCTGGTTCAGTGGTTCATTAAGATGCGGCAATCAGAAGAACATGTTTTCTTGCTAAGTGGCTGGTGGGAGATCAATTATAAAGGTGCAAAAACAGTGTTGGTGTTGAAGGATTGATCCATGAGCAGGAGCACTCTCATGTTTGTGGATCATCTGTGTGAAATCTATGCAGATACTGCATGCCAGAGCAAAGGGTTCTCCATGGCTGCTATTCCTTAGCACAAGAGAGGAAAATTGTACCACAGTGAGCCTAAAGAGTCTGTAGACTCATTGCTGGCTGCAGGGGAGAGCAGCAGCTCAATGGTAGGGCACCTGCTTCTCATGCAAAAGGTTTCTGGTTCAGTCCCGAACATTCCCAAATGGGGCTGGCATGGCTGCTGTCTGGATCCCTGGGGAGCCGCTGCCAATCAACGCAGACAACACATCAGCAGAAGGCCGTTTCCTTGCCCAGATCTGAACTGTCTAAGAAATGATTATCAAGGCTCTTCTGTGAAAGCTCCAGGGGAAGGAGCTCATGTATTTTTTCAGGCAACTTTTTCTACTCGCCAAGTCATCTTCCAGAATTTCTACCAATTCAAGTAAAATCTATGTTGCTGCAAACTGAATCCCTGGTTGTTTTCATCTTTTCTCTGGCATGCACCAGTGGACAGTTATTGATTGCAGGTCCCTCTATTTATGGATAAACCAAGAGTGTTCAGAATAAAGTAGGAAGAGAAGAAGGATTTTCCATACTGCGCATGTCCTGGGTAGCCTGAAACTCCAAGTTCTGTGCCAGATCAGTTCTGATAACTGAATAGTTTTCCGATTCAAGTGAATTTCCATTAAAAAAATCTGAAGCACCACCAGTCATTTTCCAATGGACATCATAGCAATCTATGCACTTGTGGGATTTGAAATTCCCACCTATCTTTGCCAAGGGGCATCATCCAAGAGCATGTTCCTTCACACACAGTTGCATGACGAATGGTGTCCCTCAGGAGCTGGGCTAACAAGGTGAAGCAAGTTGCTGTCTAAGCATGTGTGGAAGCATTCATAATGCAGGTCCAACCATATGCATGGACAGACCCAAAGGAACATTAACTCTTCTCCCGTTCAGCACATTAGATCAGCGAAGTCAATCATCTCCTACTCTAAGACATGCAGACTGGAATGAATGTGATACAGTATTGTTTAGTTTCCAAGAGATTCAAAGTGCTTCTTTTATTCCTTGTTGCCTCCTTTCCTCAAATAATGGAAGTGCAAATAATAGTACCAAATTTGCCAATAATATGCATTCACAAGGAACATCTTTACGGTTTCTTCACAGTGGCAGAGGATGAGTGAGGGCACAGAGGTTGATGTAAACACCAGTCTGGTGGATTAATTCAGGAGACAACAAAAATCAAAGTTAATTCAGTAAACATCAGTTACCCAATACATCTGCTTTTTTCAGCCTTTCCATTTATGTTGGCCAGTGTAGAAACCTAGGAAGCATATCCATATGTGTTATGTGACATTTGATGCCCCCCTTTACAGAGCTCTTTACAGAGTGAATGTGCTAAGTGAGTTTCACAATAGCCATGAATTGCTGGACAATTTGTCATCAATTACAGTTGGCTTTTTGTATCCAGTTCATTGTACCTCCTGTTTAAAAGCCCCTAATCAGTTGCAAATCCACTTGGAGGAAAAACCATCCTTGATGTCCACAGTTTCTTTGAGCCAACACATCCCTGGAAATACTCTGATATATCAAGCTAGAGATCTACTGGTTCAGTTAGGAAATTATAGGTCATATGAACAGGCTTATAAAAATAGGGGTCACAGTTAGGATCAGGCTCTTGAAAGATAAATGTGAATTAGCCAGCTGGTGTGTGTATCTTATTTAAAAGTATACACTCTAAATACAAGCCCATTTCTTTCAGGGGCCTCCAGGTCCACAGGGTCCAATTGGCTATCCTGGCCCCAGAGGTGTAAAGGTATGAGTAATACTTTTGTTCATATTTGATCAACCATCAGCCCTGTATTGTTAACTGATACCATAACTTGCCATTTTCATCACTATCTTTCAATAGGGTGCTGATGGTGTTCGCGGTCTAAAGGGAGGCAAAGGTGAAAAGGTAATATTCTTACTGTGTTTAATTTTTTGTAGTTTATATTTAAGTGAGAAAGGGACTCAGCCCATTAACAGAAAATAAAATGCTGTATGTATTAAATGATGCAGCTATATAAGTGACTATAATTATATTAATGATGAAAGGAAGGAATGGAATAAACCCTCAGAAGACTGGAAGGTCAGAATCTCATTAATGCAGTGGGAAAAGTACAAATAAGGCATCATAACCAAATATATTTTAATGAATAGTGATGAACAGGCTTCAGAAAGGGTTAGAACTGGGATATTCTGAATTGCCAGTGGTGGCATGCAGATGCCACTGTCCGGCATGGCATTGTGCCAAAGCCCATGCCTGAGTCCAGTTCAGACATGGAAGTGATTGCTTAGTTCCCAGCTGCCGCTGCCACTGCTCAGGCCATCTCATCTGTGAAGTCACTTGGATAAACCTCGGTATAAAAGAGCATAAAGGCGCACAGCAGCTGTGGTAGCCAGGAAGCATGACACAGCGGCTGGAAAATTGGCCTGGTGAAGCCGTACAGTCTCGGATACACTGGGGGTTTTCCAAATGGCCCAGTGCACAAGAAAGAGTGTTAAGTCAACAAGTAGTTCCTGTAAATGAAGTGTCTGTGGTCATACAAGAAATCCTGTTCCACTAAATTCAGCAGGAGTTTTACACTGACTCCCTGAGCTATGTATTGTATAGCTGTGTTTAGGGGTGTCAGAAATCCTGTCTGTACAGTATTCTTGTACTTTTTTGGTATTAAAGAAGGAATGCTCTTAGAGGTCATATTTCTCTTTGCCCTCTTTGATGCAAGATCAGCATCTGTATCTCCTGGATTCCACTGCTAGCAAGTCACTGGGACAGGTTTGGAAGAAAAAGAAAAGGTTTCCTAGAGAAGGAGGTCATCCTTTGCTTGTTGTTGATTGCTGCCTGCTGTGTCAGAAGTGGAGCTAAGGCTTCCAGAAGTGGAGATAAGTCTGCTTCCATCAGCACAGCAGCCCTTGAAATGCCCCTCCATTGTGGTGCTGGAAAGACTGCATTGCCACTGTTTAGTTCAAACATAGTCTACATTTCACAAGGAGGCATGCTGCACTGCATTGACCCCTGATGGTGCTACTTCTTGAGCAGTCCTTGGGAAGGAGCACGACCCAAGCTGAAGGCATTGCAAGTTAGACTTGTGTGCTGTTTCTGAACTGGCTGGCTTCACTTCCCAGCACCAGAATGGAGAGGTATGTCCGGATCCTCTGTGCTGATAGAAAGGCCTGTGGGGCATTTGTCCACCGAGTTGTGAAGCGCTGAGATGTTGCTGGCTGGCTGGCTGAGAAGTGGCACTTTGCCTACCTGTCCAAGCCAGAGCCAATTTGCAAGCAAGCCCTGGGAAACATTGCTACCTAAGCCATCAATAGCAGCCAAGGTACCTTTTCCAAGGTGATGGGTGCTTAGGGTTAGATGACGCCATCTTATGAATTGCAGGCAGCCATCAGCTACCCATCTTTGTCTTGTATGTAGTACCAAGAATGAAAGCTTCATCTTGTAGTTTGTGTTTTAAGATATCACCATGTCATTGTGAAAATTGTAAGATAATACCTTCTTTATGTCCTGGAATTTTAATTTATGCCATGGGAAGGACCTCAACTTTTTACCATTATTATTCAAAACATTCACACGCAAAGATTGTATAACATTTACTCCCAGTTTGGGTTTTGGCATTATATGCCATGTTCTCATTTGGATTTTCCTTTTTCAAAACCGACTAGTTTTTATTGGATACTTATTTAGGATAAAAAGAACTTGAACTATAGGTTAAAAACAACCTGAAGTATTTTTTGGTGGAAGTTCTTTTGCCACATAGGACAGTCAAGAAAGAAATGGTCTTGGTTATTGAACAAAACAATGTCCTAGCCTTGCAAACATTACAGGCACCTTTAGTGAGTGATGGAAAAATTGATTCCTGAATAGGAGAGGCGGCAAGATAGACATTTCTTAAAAATTGGAGGAAAAGTCCAAAGCGCTTGCTGTTTTCTTACAAAGAGTGATACATGTTGTCAATCACCCTTCTTGCCTGATGGCAAACAATATAGCTGCACATGATAAATCACATTACAGTAAACTACTTTGCTACAAGCATGTTCATCGTGGAAATGGTGTTTTCTCAGGCTGAAGATGCTGCTGAAACAAACCTTCTTGGCTTAATCTTTTTAGTGGAATTAATCTGGAGTGTCTTGCTCAAGGCCCTTCAACACCTGAAAGTCAGAACTGCCTCCTCCTATAGATCAATGCTTTTCTTAAGTGTCAGTCTGGCTGGGACAATCTGTAGAGACAATTCTATACAGTAAGAATTGGAAGCTGGGACAATCTGTAGAGACAATTCTGTACAGTACAAAAGGTGTGTCTTACACTGCAGTTGAGTACTACATTTTTCAGGATTTCTGGAATGTGATTGTGAGCATGTGTAGCAGCATCATGGGTTGCAGGAATACTGAGAAATATAATTTACAGTGCTGGGGACATCCACGGAACGGATGCGAGGAAGGTCTTGGAATTCTATTTCTTAGTAACATTTAAGAGATTATTCTGTGCAGCAGAGGCTCTGTTATAACCTTACTTGGGAGCAGAACCCAACAACATGTTTGGGTGAAAAGGGAAATGAAAACTGATGATAGTGTGACCCATTCTGGCTTGGACTTAAAGTTAAGGCATTTTGGCTTCTTTTGCAATTGGTTCAGAGGGTTCTAAATTGGGTGCATTATTTCTGAACCTTGCAGTTCCCAACTTCACCACTTGAGTAACAGGAGAAATATGAGTGTGTTAATCAGCCCTTAATCTCCGGTCGTTGCATTTGGGACTGTACTATAATTGACTTTTAAAGGTGAGATATCCAATAGGGAAAGAGCCCAAAGTTTTAAATCTGGAAATATAAGTAGGAAATTTAATACAGAAGAATTGTATCATAATGAAGAGGTCCTTGATGAATTAAGAAATAAATTTGTCTGTCGCCTTAAGCACCTTGCTAATTATTCATTCTTCCTTTTAAAGCTGGAAAGTGATTCAGTTCAGCAGTGGCAATATGTTTTTATCTGATAGAGAAATGGCCTTACTAAAATTATTTGACATATCATGATACAGCTTTAGTGGTGTAAATTATTGTGACTTACAGTAAAATCGCTATGGGTACTGCATCTGTTCTACCTATGCATCCATTCAGCTTCTTTAAATTTTTCTGCTGTATTTGCATAAAGAACTCTATTACATTTTTGTCCCTATCAGGGTGAAGATGGTTTCCCTGGGTTTAAAGGCGACATGGGTCTTAAAGGCGACAGAGTAAGTCTCTCTCTCTCTCTCTCTCTCACTCTCTCTCTCTCTTTCTCTCATCCCCATCCAGCTCAGTTCCCAGTGCTTCACCACACTCTAGTGGGAGCTAGAAACTGAATCTCCAATGAGTTTTGCAGGTGATAAGACAGAGTTACGGAGATGGGAAGAGTCTTTCTCAGTGGCTGATGTGAGCAGGGTCCTGGCAGAGGCTTACAACAAAGGCCATGATGCCCTCCTGTCTCTTCAATGAACGGCTGGTTATCATCCATGCCAACAGGGAACAGTAAAGTGCCATTAAAGTGAGGACACGCCTGCCTTTGCAGTGATTTCTCTGGGCTGTAGTGACAGAGACGTCTTGCAAGCATGCACTTAACTCACCCAGGAGAGTAGAAAAGCTGTTCTTATGCATGTACACAAAGATACTCCACACATTTCATGTTATCATAAGAGAAGTATTATCAGATAATTGTCCTAAATCCTCTAAGCCTTTCCTATAAATCATATTATTTATTTATTTATTTATTTATTTTTGGATTTATATCCTGCCTTTTTCCTACAAAGGGCTCAAGGCAGCTTACATCATTCCCCTCCTCCATCTTATCCCCACAACAACAACCCTGTGAGGTAGGTTGGGCTGAGAGCCTGTGACTGGCCCAAAGTCACCCAGTTGGCTCCATGGCGGAGTGGGGACTCGAACCCAGATCACCTGAGTCCCGGCCCCATGCTCTTAACCACTACACCACACTGGCTCTCTCATTAATAAATGAGACCTACTCTAGGTACTACAGCACCACTAAATTCCATATACGTACATTCCTCATTGTAAATTAAAATATGACTGAACTTTCCACTGCCAAAAGTACAGACTGTAAAAGAAAGAAACCACTGACAGAGAGAAACTACTCCCCTGATTTCATGGTTTTGGTACAGTGCTTCGGTTGAAACTTACTGATCGTTTGGTGGCTGGCATCCTTTTCCCCCAGACATGCACCATTCCAAGGAAAATTCTGGAGGAAAGTGTCAGTGCCGGCTAACTAGAGCTACCAGGGGATTCTAGTTAATTTGCCCCCTGCACACAGACACACACACACAGCATTATGTACTCCACTCCTGAAAGTGACCATATGCCCCCTTCCCCAGCCCAGATTTTGACACATACAGTGTCAGAGTCTGTGAAGAGAACCACAACACGTTCCCATCCTCTTTCAAACCAAGTTAATGTTACAGTCACATGGTCCTTACTGATCCACTTTTTCATATGCATGAACAAATAGAGAGAGAAATCGCCCCAACACGATTGTTTACTGGAGAAATCTGCCTCAATTGAACATAAACATCTGGTTTCTCAGTACCTCTATTTATTTATTATATTTCTGGACCACCCATCAGCTCAAAGGCTCCCCGGGCAGTTCACAAAATTAAAAATAAAATGCAACATTTGATATAAAACAGTCATTATAAAATCATAATAATGCAGTTAGCAAAAACGCAATCATACACTAACACAACATGTTATGCCCACAGCTTAATCACTCTACAGGAATTTATTTATTTATTTAAGATATTTTTATACCATTTGATTCCACAAGCTCTCAGGACGGTGTGCAGAATATACTTTAAAATATCAAATAACACTCAATTTTAAAACAAATGTAAAACAAACTTGCCTGTTGCAGAAAAACCACATAACATAAAAATTTGGACAGGCTATGATAAAACAATAACAAAATAATGCATAATTATATAATAACCATTTAGATACAGTAGTAAAATACAGCAAAAATGAGGAAAAAAATCTAACTGTTAAAATAATGGAAAAATTAAAAGCTTTTCACCCAGTACCAGAAAGAGCTAAGAGTGAGTGCCACAGATGGGGTGCCATAACCAGGAAGGCCGTCCCCCTAGTAGCTGCCCGCCTTGCTTCCTTTGGAGAGTGCCACTTGAGAAGGAGCCTCTGGGCCCAAGTAGGTACATATGGGAAGAGGTGTTCCTTCAGAAGCGTCATAAATAAATAAATACCCTGGCCCCAAACCATTTAGGGCTTTAAATGTTAACATTAGCACTTTGAATCGGGCCCAGACTTCAGTCAGTGAGCAATGGAATTGAAAGAGGAAGGTTGTGATGTCCTCTTGCTGAATCATTTGTTCTGTATGTTGTTGTGAGGATAAGATTGAGAGGAAGCGAATTCTGTAAGGCTGCCTTGGATCCCATGAAAGGAGAAAAGGGAGGATATAAATATAATGAATGAATGAATGAATGAATGAATGAGCATGGCCAACTTGTTATAAACATGACACACATGCATGTCAAAAGTGCAAATCCCTTTCTTAAAGAAGGAAAGTGATGATCTGACCCATGTTGACAACATAACTTTCGCTTCCATGAAATACACAAAGCGATCCCAATAAGGTTCTTGATACACCATGCTTGTCTGTCCACTGATCTCAAATTTCCATGCATTTCTCTTGCAATACATATTTGTGTGTGTGCTGCTGGGAAGATTTCTTTTATATATCCAAGTCCCCACAAAACCTTAAAAAGAACATGGGACGTATTAAAGTGAGGCATTTTTAAAGCATGCTGAAAAATTGTCCTTGTCTTTCTCTGCAAATGTTCTCCGAAAACCTTTAGTGGAGTGCCTGATCACATTTAAGAGTTCCTCCTGCCTGCAATACATTCCACAATTTGGTTCTCATTCTTCCCTGTAGGTTAGAGAGCAAAGGTTAAGCACATTGCCCTGAAATGTTTTTCATGGCTCTCTTCCAGTGCCAAAACCAATTTGGGGGAATGCTATCAGATTCTCCTAATGTAAATATACTTGCCATTAAGCAATCATGAGCAGGGAGAATAAATTGAATCGGTAGATCACTGGGAAGATGGAAGCCATTTATCTCATTCTGAGCAGAAGAAAACCAAACAAAATCATTCATACAAGTCATCCCGATGCTGTAATTCATGTGCTAAATATAATTTACAGTGTAGTCCTGTACAAGTCTACTCAGAGGTTATCCTCATTGAGTTCGCCAGGTCTTTCCCGGGGAAAGAGTCATAGCATCATGGTCTTAAGGTGCATGTTTGGACAGAAAAAAAAAAAAATCTGCAAGACCCAGAATTCTTCAGCCGCCTATACTGGCTGGGGAACGCTGGTGGTGGTTGGACTTGCTCTAGCTAAACATGCATAGGATGGCACCCCTAGGACACAATCCTATTGCTGCCTAACATTGCCTGGCAGGCACAGGTTTAATTCTTGGAGCCCTGGCTCCAAGATCCTATGACTTTGGTGCTGGGCTCTGGAGGTTGAGCCCTTGTGATGCCCCCTGAAAAATATCATGCTGATTACCCACTGCATCCTAGAGCGGAAAAAAGGGGGCCCTGCTAGGGAGTGGGAACTCGAGCTTGCTCCAGCTCCAGTCACTACCCTTTCCTACTTCCCTGCCGCCTCCTGGCACTCACTCTAGGTGGCTGCAAATGGCCATCTAGAGGAAATACCCAAAATTATGCATGATGGCAGCAGAAGATTGATTGATTATATTTATATCCTGCCATTTTCCTATCAAGGAACTCAAGGTGGCTTCCATAATTCTCCTCCTCTCAATTTTATCCTCAAAACAACAATCCTTGGAGGTTAGGTTGGACTGAGAGTCTTTGACTGGCCCAGCTCCAATTCTAAGTGGGGGCTAGAACCCAGATCTCCTGTGTCCCAGTCCCATGCTCTTAACCAGTACACCAGACTGGTTCTCACTGATAGATCCCACTGTGATGTTGCCCATTTTAGGATGCATAGGATGTTCAGAGGTTTACGTGCAATCCTTCGAGGGAAACTAGGATTGCTTTCTCTGTTATTCCATCGCTAAGGGCCAACATGGATGTGTTCAGATTGCCAAATGCATCCTACTGTCAGTTAAAAGCAGTGCATGAGAGAGGCTGATTTGGATCAGATTGTGGCACAAAGTGAGAGAAGGTTTAGCCTTGCCTCCTGAGCATTTTTCTGACTTCCATTTTCCCACCTTCCAGTTTCTATTCAGTTGTAATGAAAGCCGGGACAATGCAGATAATGTCCCGCATGTGGAAACCCCATTTCTGTTGCTTCCTCTCTCTGTGGTCACATGTACATCATGGTTCCCGTTATAGGAACGGTTGTGAGAAAGGGTGCAGATTTCTTAACTGCATCCCTTCATGCTGACGCATCATGCGGCCATGCCTAAACCAGACATAAGATATTCATTTATCAGATATTCATTCTTGCACTGTCATCTGCTGGGAAGTTCACAAATACTTGTGCGAACGCTTACAAGATGAAAGTATGGATGAAATCCAACACAGCCATCACTCCTTTATTTGGCACAGTCATGCAGTATTTACAAAAGTTCATAGTCTATACAATTTAGCAAGAACCTGTTTCATTTCATTTCATTTCATTTCATTTCATTATTTCATTTCATTTCATCATTATTTATTTATTTCATTTTAAAACCTCCTAATAGTCAAGGCTTTCTGGGCAGTTTCATTTCATATTCTGTGTTTGTGACTCACTTATGTAAAAAAATTAACAACAAAACAGTTCACAAAACGATAGTGTCACATTTCAGTGATACAGCAATTGCCCAAAATGTCACAGCAAAATGCTTTGCCAAGGCATACCAACCAGAAGCAATATGGCACAGTCATTAGCCAAGAGTGAAGACCGAAAAGCTGCTAGAACAATGTTTAAGCTTCACATATGAATTTCTCACATATGAGAAATATGAATATGAGAAATTCACATATGAATACTGCTTTCTCTTTTCTCTCTCTCGTGGGAGAATTGGTTTTAGTTATAGCTTCAGCCTTTGCGATTTTAGCCAGAACAGCTTCACCCTTGTTTACATGCCATATTCAAATGATAGGGGATTACACTGACGCACACACCAAATAATCCCCTTTTATTTTTGTGTTGGCTCCCTTGTGCTTAGAAGGCTCCATGGAAAGTATGCTTTGACTAACATTTGAGGGAGTGATGGGGTGGGCCTGTAGATTTCGTGAAGTACCCCTTTTAATTCCAGCACTGAATAAACATTCCTTCCACGGAGACAAGTGGCTGCTTTTATTTGCCATGTTTACCCACAATATTATATATATTTTTTAAAGGGGGAAGTTGGTCCTCTTGGTCCTCGAGGAGAAGATGGCCCAGAAGGTCCAAAAGGTCGTGCAGGCCCAACAGGAGACCAAGGTGGGCCTGGACAAGCTGGTGAAAAGGTTAGTAGCCCAGTAATAGTGCATTTAAAAAAAATCATGGTAGTTTCCTACTGGACCATTCCATTGTATGTTACAAATTAGTATATGACAGGAAAAGTGGATGCACAAATGACACGCGGTTCCATTTTTCATTCCATATTGTCTTGTCCAAATAGAACCATGTGTGGAACTTGTCTGTGAAACACATGTGGATCCCAGATATATGTTCTCATAAAAATATACCTCAAAACTAAATCTGTATGCAGTCTGTAATGCACCCCAACTCCTTTTTATCTTCTGCAGCATTGCAAGGTATTAACTGGGAAGTCTCCAGTTTCAAATCTCAAATCTGCCATGAAATTAAAGATACTAATTCTAGCTTCTGCCCCTACCATGTATAATATGGGTATATTAATACTGGACTTTATTATACATCTGTAATAAAAATGCCAACATTGCAATCCTTACATTTTTATTCAAATGTAAATCTCATTGAGTTCAGCTCCCTGGAAGGCAGAGGACTACAGTTTAGGATAATGAGCAAAAGTTCCCATGTCATGCTAAGGTGACTCTGTGAATAAACTTTGCTGAACAAATCACAGCATGCCTGGCAGTTGATGGTGCTCACAGTGGCTTGTTCCCCCCCAAACTCCCCCACTTCTCTGGCTGCTATCCCAGCATCCTCCATGGAAGAACCCATCTGGTCTCCCACATCCTGCTGTTCCATCCCTATCACCACTGGCTTGTTGTTTTTAAATAATTTTAGGAGCTTCAGAAATGCACAAAAGCCATATTTTTTCATCTGCTGGAAATTGCACAACTGTTTCTCTTTCTCCTCCTCCCCCCTCACCTTTTCCTCCTACTCCTTTGTCTTTCACAAGTGTTTTATTTTTGGTTAGGCCGTAAAGAACCACCAATCATGGTTTTGTGTCATACTGACAATCTCTGATTGGACCAAGTGGAATGAGTCATGTACCTTGTGCATCATGGGCTAATTAACCACAATTTATCATTGTGATATATGAACTTGCCCATTACTTTCAAATGCCCATCAATACCTTATATTTAGGTGCTGTGCATGCACACTCACACATATTCCTTGTGGAGAAGGAATTCCATCAATACACATATGAACTGGGCTGAAGAAACCTTTGATTATAAGGATCTTCCAAAGGGGTTTCCCCATGTGACCTCCATCTGTGTTTCCCAGATATGCCCTGTGAGGAAGAGCAATTTATGGACTAGAAGAAAAATGGAAAGTACTTTGTTTATGATTTGATGCTAGTGACCTTTATAAGCTATCATAAAAATACCTTAAAAGTCAAATCACTCATTCCAGAAAGTGTTGCTTTCAGCTTCACTTAACTTTTGGGAGCTATTTTGGAATTAATGATCCCCACAATGTTGCACGTCGTCTTCCCAGCTGTTAACAAGGGCATGAATCAAGAAAGCCAATATTATAATTATGGATGACTGGAGACATAATTGGAAGGCCATCACTGAATTCCGGTTAAATTTCAGTTCCTTTGCAGCAGGAGTATACCAACACGAATTTCAACTAAATTCCTACTGAGCTTCTTCAGTCAGGCCTGGCATTGTGGAAATGCTGTGACAGGCATAAAGTTAGACCCCAGAAATAGGAGAGGAAGGGAATTAGCCACCAGTGCTACTCTGCAAATGCTTACATGGGGATTTCTATAGCGGTTCTTTCCTGAACAAGTGGAAGAAAGTTCTTGATTTTCTTTCGCCTGTCTTGTGTAACAGCTTCTGGGTGATGTGTAAAGCACTCCCATGTGACCACAAAACCCACAAGAGTACATTTCGATCTAGCCCATAATTGTTTGAATTGGTTCATTCAACCAGGGCATATATATCTGGGAAATAACACTATAAAGGGCTATTGCTTTCATAACTTAGACAAATGGAAGCATATTGTAAAGTGTTGTCCCATATTAACCATAAATAAAGTATGGCATTTATTTTCACACTTGGAGCAGCAATTAAAAAGGAAAGATCTGTCTTCGATGAAATTGTTCCTATTTCAACTTTTAATTCCTTCTTTTGGCACTCACAAAGCCCAGAGTTATAATTTTTAAAGCACAGATTTAAATTATAAAAACTCATATACCTAGCTGCTGGAGCTAGGAGAAGCAGCAAACTTAGTGAAAAATTGTCATAAAGCTAAGTTTTAATTTTGTTTATGTAGGCAAGTGATTTTATTTGTTTGTTTGTTCTAAAAATATAGTAGTGTGTGTGTTTGTGTGTTAGATGTTTATATAGATGTTTCCAGGTCTGACACACTTGTATTGTGTCAGACCTGGAAATAGTAAAAATACAGTGGGTGGAATCTGAGTTTATGTCCTAGAGGCATTATCTTTATATTAACATATTGTGTTTTATTACTTCTGCATATGTGGGGGTGTTAGTTGTGTTTTTCCCCCCATAGGTTTGATTATGCAGGCTTAGAGAGTGGAATGCAATTCCCTACCTTACTTTAGTTTAACAATCCATATCATACTCCAATTAATCCATAATAAGCATAAGATGGAACCGGCAATTACATGTTCAGGCTGCTCTGACAGTTTGCAGGTGAACTGTTGCGGAAATACCCCACATTCTTAAATCTTTCATGTTTTTCCCCCTTGTCTGTTTCTTGCCCCTTTGGACAGCTGCCCCGACTATTCCTTTTCTTGTTGCTTTGATAGCGATACAATTATAGCCAGTGCAGAGTGATGACATTATGTTGCTAGCATGGTAGTTTCACATCGGCATCACATTTGGCTGTACCACTGTGTCAAAAAGCCAATTCAAATTGAGGGCATACATCTGGCTGAATACATGCTCAGGAAAAGGCCCCCTCACCCATTTTAGCACAGTCCTATTATTAACCCACAGTTAGAAGTGATATCCATTACAATTTCTAGGCTGTTTAGAAAAATCATCTTCTTAAGCAAGTTCAAATGTTATTATGTGGGCATCTGTGCACCTTGTGCACATATAATTCTTTTCCCTTACTATTATTTTTGTTGAGGAAATGCTTTTGGAACTAGAAAGATCTGCAAAAACACATTTATGCTGGTGACTGTGTGATACATGTGCCTACATTTATAATAGTGTTTTAATGTCACTTTAAAAACTCATCAGCTTTCAATTCTAACTCTTCTATGGCCCTTCTCAGGTTTTGCTCCAGACAATTGTAATTAGTACTGTAGTAATTAGTATTGTAACTATTGCAATTACTCGTTAATGCCTCTGTTATGCAGGGTACTGGGTTGGAGAAGGCCTATGAATTTACAGCAGGCTTCCTTTACACAGTGCGGCCAGGAGAGGGTGATGCCAGCAGATACACCCCATTTCCCCTTTCCATATATGGATGAGACTCCTGAACATGACTCATGTTGCCCATAATCAGATGCTGGAATAGTCAAGAAGGATGAATTAAAATTCAAAAGTTTAATCCATGAACCAAAGATGTTGTTCACAGGAGCCATCTGCACTGCCAGATCTTGCCTACGGTAGCAGCAAAATCATGAGGCAAGCCAACACCAATAAAAACGTTCAGAAAACACCTTACCTCCATGCAAAATTCACCTGTTTGAATTCTGATCTTATTTGATAAATTGCACAATGGTTCATTATGTTGGAACAACTGCTAAAAAACTAACTGAATCTTTTTTCAATGATAGGGTAAACTTGGTGTTCCAGGATTGCCAGGATATCCCGGAAGACAAGGCCCTAAGGTAACTTTCCTATAACTCTAAGAAACGCATGGTGCTGGAGAACAGATAGCTGACATCAAGCATTAAAGCTGTGCTGTTGGGAACTGCCCAGAGAACTTTAGATGTTGGATGGTACAGAAATAAAATAAAATATAGCTTTGTTGTTCCTATATGTTTTGTGTCACTTGGAACCTCACTTTACAGCAAATACAAGATATTCAGATGTACCTGTATAATACCTTTACAGGGCAAGCCTATGGCCCATAGACAGCATATAGAAGGCTATAGGATTGTTTGGCTTCCCAGCTCCAAGGTCAGAAAAGAGCTCCAATTTCAGAGATGGGGATCCATTCTCAGTTCCTTTCTACCCCTTCCGACTAGTACAGGAAAAGAAAGCACGTGGGCCGCGTTGCCAAGGTCATAACAGTGACCTCAGAGAAGGGGGCAAGAGAGTATTCCATGGGATGGTGATGGGAGGAGACTGAGTCTGCCAGGATGCAATATATCACGGCATCCGCCTCTTTCCATCTAAAGAACCTCAGGTAGATGGCTGAAATCATGAGCTTACAGGCATTCCCTTTGTATTGCATCCTTAATGATATATGCGTGTATGTTTTATATGTATGTATATATGTTTATATATATTCACCCTCAGATGGAGGCCATTGCAATAATCCAAATCAGTTTTAACACATAAATATATTTGTGTGTTGCCACATTAACACTGATACATATAATGGATTTGGGATCTGGTGTCCTTGTTCTATAGTTCATAATGACCATGTAAATGGATAACTTGCACCCTAATGGGTGCTCAGGATTATTTATTTATTTATTGAACTTGTATAAAAGCTGCCTATTAGCATAATGCTCTCTGGGTGGCCATTACCATACTTTAGACCATATTATAAATATCAACTGTGTTTATTCATAAAACATTCAAATATTAAGACTATCTCTGAATCTGGATCATCGCTTTTGAAGTAGTGAGGTCTTTGCTTTACCTTATGATGTTTTGGTTTATTGGACCTTGGGGCACAATCTTCCTCAAAACTTTTCCTGCCACCTGAGATGAAGAAGTTGGTACCCCTTCCCATTCCATATACAACAGCCGACTGGGCTTGCAGGTGAACCTGTCTTGAGGAGTCAGCATCCTCTATTGTACCTGCAAGAAGCAGACTGAGGGCTACGTGGCCTGCAAGTATCTCCTCCAGCTTCTTGCTGACACCTCCTAGGCTCTGCCTCCTCAGAAAACTGATTAACTCTGCCTAATGCCAGGGCTGACCCTGATGATGTGACTCCTGTAGAAACCGATAGCGGATCTGAAAGCGTGGTTTGAAGTGGGTTTCAGATGCTGGGTGAACCATCAATGGTTCTAAAGCCCCACTTAATTCTAGGAAGTGGCAACATGCAAAGAAATACACATCAGAGAAAAGAGATTATAGGAAGGCAAAGTGCGTTCCCAGTGGTGCCTCCTGGTTTTTTAACTGTGGCTAACAGAGAACCAGAGCTACATTTGTGACATCACAGGTGCACTGTGCACTTAATTTATATAATGTAAGGTTTTACTGTTACTACCCTAGACATATTTCAAATTGAATAATACAGTTTTAAAGCCTTTTTAATATTGGGAACATATGTTTGATTTGGAATTTCTTTCACTTTGCTTGGTTGAACTCTATTTATTTTTTCAGTAGTCTGTGTTAATGCAATATGCTATTACTGCTAATGAAAGTATTCATCAAGAATATTCATCTTCAAAAGAGAGCTTTGATGCACCTGCCTTTTAACTTAAATGACTGAGATTTCAGCCTTCTTTTTTGTCTGTCATTGCTTCAAAACTCTCTTTGGCAAATTTTAAAGATCAAAGAGATCTTGCATTATTCAAACTATGAACACAAACGATATACACTTCAAAGAGAATCCGTGGTCTCCACCCACCCCCCTCCAAACAAAGATGTCAGTGTGAATTTTATTAAGCTAAATCTTCATTATGTTAAAAGTGAAATTATTTTGGAAGCATTGTTCATGGTTTAATGTTTTTAAGAGGTTTAGCATTTGAAAAGAATTGGCATTAAAGTATACAGATTACTGCTGGGCTGCATGTTCTAATTTCCTGTCTGGGCTTCCTATCCTTCCCGAGTTGCTGCAATGCCGGAGCTGTGCGCACACGGCCGTATCACAGTCTTTGCTCTCCCAGCGACTGTGAGAAGCACAAGATTAGCCATAGAACCAAAGGCTGGCAAGTTGCTACTGAGCACTTTGCAGTCCTCTCCAGCCATGACAACACTTTCCAGTGATGCCCCAAGATGACCTCATCTCTGCCCGTGTCATGCATATCTGGCCTTCTCCTGTGGCGTCCATTCTTCTGGCCCACTTCACATTTCAGCATTCCTCCTTGTCTGTCTTTCCCTTGGGCTGATACCTGTTCCAAGCTTTGCAGCCACTTTCTCAATCCTCTGCTACTGCCTTCTTTTGCTCTACCCTCCCCTCATCTGTCACTCATTCAAAGTCACAGTCCTTTCTTTGCAAAAATATCATTATTCACCAAAGTGCTTTCCAGAAGCACAGTCACCCAGAATCAATCTCTGACCATGCACAGAATCTAGTCAATCTAGTATTTACTTCTAGGAACTCTCCTTTTGAGTATGCCTGGGTGCCATCCTTTTGGGTTGGGGGTCCTTTGGAAATAAGCATGCCTCCTCTCTGCTCATCAGCCCTCTAACTGCATAGCCCTCCTCTGCCAATGTCACACCATGGGGCCAAGAGCCACACCCACTTCATCTGCCTCTGACAAATTCCCCTGGTCCAAGCCACCTACTAATAGCTGTGCATCTTGGTTATTCCCAGACACTGCTTGAACACCTGGGCAGTCTGGCCTTGAAATAAACACTCTGCTTCTCTCATCTCCGCAGCTGGAATTGACCTATATTCTGACCCCTCTACTCCTCTTTCTCTTCCTCCAAGCCCAGATCTTGCCCCAGGAATGCACACCAAGAGCAACTGCCACTCTGAATCTCAACATCACCTGCCTACCCAGACTCTCTCTAGGATTTAAGCTGCTCATGTAATGGTGAATAGCAATAATTGCACTCAGCATAGCTCAAGTAGATGTACCCACAGACCTGGCTGCCCTGACCACCTGTGACATATGCATAGCTTAGCCAACCACCGCCAGATATTTAATCAGAACTACTGACCTTTTAGAGAGGTACCATATAAATGAGTCCACGCAGCTACCAGCATTGAATGCCTCCATTCCTTGGTGGGGAGTATTTTTACTTATTTTCAGGGGCGGTTACCCTCATGGGAGAGGTGGAGCAGCAGCTTCTTTCAGAGAACCTCTGGCTGTGGGGCGACATTCAGCTGTGATAAATAAATACAACAGCTCTGTTGTAAGCTGTCTGAGACATCATTGGTGAATGGGTTATAAAAGCGTTAAACAAATAAATTTGCTCTCTCTCTCTTCTCTCTCTCTCTCTCTCTCTCTCTCTCTCTCTCTCTCTCTCTCTGAGAGAGAATATCAAAGTAGGTGTCTTGCAAAGGGGTTCATTGTTCCATGGCCTGGCCACCATTTTGTTCTCTCCAGAATGCTCTGGATGCAATGTCATTTCAGAGCATGGGGAAAGGAGATGAGGAAACAGCAGCCAGTAACAATGCAAAGATTAAAGGAAGCCATCACAGTTTTTACTAAAGACCCCCTTGCCCTTGATGGTGACTAAGTCACTGCCTTGCCTGAAAATAAGACAAACTACACATGTTTTCACTTCTCACCTCATACCCATGCAAGATTAAAATGCTGGGGGTTTCTTCATTGGTTTGTTTTGTTTCAGTCCTAAAATAGTCCTAATACTTCCGATCAGAAGTCTAAAGGTATCCTCTGACCCATCTGAGACCCATGAGCATGATTGCCTGTAACTCTGTCATAACAATAAGTCCAGTGCCAGTGAGCTTATAGGCAATGGCCCCATCACAAACATTTATTTGTAACTGTAGAGAGTCTTTAAGATTTGACTTTTCAAGTCTTTCTTAGACATTCACCAAATACAGAGATCATTTTAAAATAAAGTATATCCAGCACAGTTTTGAAAAACCAGAAGGGTTGCTTGCCTTTCATCCCCTTCAATTTACATTTTAGACAGCTGTTATTATACCAGTTATAAAACAGCATTGTAGCTTCATTGTACCAGAAATGAATAATCACAGTTGCTGTCCTTAGTTGCTGTCCTTAGGGAGCCTTTGAGTATATAACTAGCACTTGCATGCTGAAAGAAACATATCCTGCAATTTTAATCTTCAGTGTCTGTGGAGAGTAAATTGTATTTAGCATGAGGCCCTTTCGATTCTCAGGTCTTTCGTATAACAAATCTGTACACAGACAAACTGAGCCTGCACTCCAGAAATTCATAGTGAAGAATAAGAAGGGGGAAAGCAGGGAGCAGAAGAAATGAAAAATATAAGAATAGCTTCAGGAGATACAACATGCCATCTTTTGCAGTCATATATGAGTAGAACATTACAAGTTAACTTCTGAGCACAATCATCCTTTAGCAGCCTTTCCCTTGTTCCACATCCAACCCAATTATTTGTTCATAAGTCTTATCCTTCCTGCAAGATTGTTTATCATGAGCTTCATCTAGACTTGTTGTTTATCATGAGCTTCATCTAGACTCACAGCCATTTTTAGCAAATGGGGCAGCAGGAGAAATAATTATTATAACAAAACATTTTTTTTACACTTGTGATGGTTTTTAAACAGTTTTTTTTTTTTTTGAATTCAGCTCAAAATAGAAACATCTTTGATATTCACCATTACCATGAACACTTTTAGAATTTTTGAAAACTGGGGTTAACTTGCTCATCTCAGACTGGTCCAAAATCCAGGAAAAATGGTCCCTGTATCCTGAGAATATCCTGCCCCTTCTAAAGTCAAAGCATACTCAGTTCCCTGATCTTGAATTCCCAGCATGTGACTCACATGTTCTCACTTAGTAGGGTTTGGAAAACTTCAGAATGATGGTGCTGGTCAGAGGCTGAGGCTAAATGAAGGGATGTTCTAATTCAATATACAGTGGCTTCATATATTCAGAATTGCATGTGTATTTTTTAACTTCCCTTTCATAATTCCTTGCTTAGTTGTTTAAGATCATGGTATTTGTTCTAAAAGTAGATGCTCGCTCTTGTCTAGTTTGTGCAGATAGAAGATGCCATGTCTGTGAATGCCTTTGGTTTTCATCAGTTCTTTGATAGTATGACTTGTTTCTTCTTATAATGCATAGTAACCTGTATTTGCAGCTCTGCAAACTTTGTTGCACTAGTAGAATAGAACCCTAGCACAACAGGAAGGAGCAATCCTGAAATAAGCATGGACATGAGCAGAATCGCTCAATAAAGAGACAGGACAGGGAACCCCCGACTGTGAGCTCTGTTGACCAGCTCCATTCTGGGAACAAGGATTGCTACTCATTTCTAATTGTTTTCAGAACTGCTAGTTCCTTTTGTGCTAGTGGTCTCCTCCACCAATACAGGAGCTGTATAGGATACCACCAATGACTTCGTTGGTATGATATGTATATATTAATGATGCCATTGTTAATGTTTTAACTGCTTTCCGGACTTAAAGTATTATGGTAAGAAATCACCTGTCAATAATTTTTCCCCATCAACACTTGTATTCTTCCATGTGGATAATATAATGGTATATACCTTGTAATGTACTTTATAGAATGCTCAGATATTTTAATGGTAGAGCATGTGGTTTGTATGTGGAAAAAGTCCCAGTTCCCTGGGTAGGGTTGGAAAGATGCCTGTCTGAAGGAAGACCTGGAGAGCTTCTTCTACTCTGAACAGACAATACTGAGCTAGCTGGTCTGACTTGGAGTGGTGGTCTGCCCTGATATCAGGCAGCTTCTTCTATGATCTCTACTGCACTTCGAATGGGATCCCCAGTTTAAATACTAAAATATGGCTTTGGGTGGCCATCAACACCTGCCTGCTAAACAGTTCTTTAATGGTACCACCTTGGGGTTAGTCCAACAAATGGAATGAATTGTAATAGGGTGGGTAGAGGATATTTCCCTTAAAACTGTTAGAAACTTTATGATATACTATTATACAAATAGTATTATGTGAAATATGGGATATCTGAGAGATTGCTCTTGAGATATGATGTGTTCATGAACTATATTCATTTGTGTTCCCCCTCCCCAACCCCAATAGGGTTCCACTGGGTTCCCTGGGTTCCCAGGTGCCAATGGAGAGAAAGGTGCAAGGGTAAGATAACATATTCTTTTTATTGTGCTTTATTAATATGAACAAAAATTCTTGATTGATCCAAAATATAGGCTGTTGGATTAGGAATGTTAACTGTTTAATAATATAATAATATTGGACATATTTGTTAATACCCCAAATATAGAAAGTACTTAATAGTAGTCATTCAAGAGGACTACGCCATATTATTCCACAGGAAAATGTATACAGGCAGTCCCCAAGTTAGAGTGCCCAAGTTACAAATAACCCATACTTATGAGCAAATTCCAATTAAGTCTATTAATTTTTTAAAACGATTGCATTACCACCATAGAGAGAAAAGAAGGGAAGGGGGAGAGAAAGGGTCTCCAAAGCACCACCATAGAGAGAAGAAGCAAAAAGGGAGAAAGGGAGGCCTCCAGAGGGCACCTTCCTGCCCTGCATCTGGAGAGGGAAATCTCTCCAGCATTTCCTTGCTGCAAGGAGTTTGGGTGGGTGGCGGCAGGTTTTCTACTTCCATGGAAGTCCTATGCCCATGAATGTAGAGAGCCAGCTATAAACAATCTGATTTACATACAAATTTGACTTAAAGATGATTTCCCCTTTTTCCAGGAACAGAACTCATTCATAACCTGGGGACTGCCTGTACTTCCATTATCCATTATGGCTGGAATAGAATCCATATGAAGCTCTGTTACATCTACAGAACTCCATATGAGAGAGGAGCTCCCATATTCAATCTAGCATTGTTGCTTACCATAACAGTGAGATACATTTCATGCATTCATGCACATTACTTATTTTGCATACAGAGTTTAAAAAGACCCATAGTATCACCTAGGCATGAGCCTTTTCCTTGTGGGACTTAGAGTGATGGGGGGGGGGGGGGGGGGGGGGGGGGGGGGAAATAACCCTTTCTTCCAAGGTCACTCTCTTGAAGAAAATCTGTTTTATGAAGCTGGCATTTGCTTTTGGGAAAAATAATCTCATTGGTACCCATGGGGGAATTTGTTCCCAACAAAAATGCTAGTTTCAGAAGAAGGATATTCTGCAGAGAAGGTGGCATAAATTTGCAATAACCTATCCACAAATTCAAGTTTCCACTATATTAAGTACAACATCAATCAACTGATGTACAGATATATGTGTGTGTGTGTGTGTGTGTGTGTGTGTTTGTATATATATATGAACCAGTTCATTGTCTAGAAGAAGAGAGTGGAGAAAACCCACATTTCACAGAATCTGCATGCTCCTCAAAACTTTGGATTAAAAACAGCTTTTACAAAGATGGACAGTAATGTTTTCATTAAGTCAGAAGGTAAATAAGCCAGGAAGTTAAAAATAAATATATCTCTGGCAGTTTTGTTAGAACACAACCTGGGTTCTTATTTACTGGGTGGGTTGTTATCACCTTTCCCCACAAGCATCTGCTGCTCTTTATTTGCTAAGAAAACATACAGGCACAAAAATAAACAACTGATGATTCTTCCTATATCCTGTCATGTGTAAGCAAGCTTGCAGTTTACCCTCAAGGGAATTTCACTTGAATCTTCTATGCATTCTAATTTACCAGCACTCTTTTTATTTTTTAAACACATACACACACATACCAGTCTGCAGTTGAACAGGCAAAAGTATAGCAAGCATGCCAAAGAATACATATTTAAATGGACGTAAAAAGTCGGCATAGTTAGCTGCCTTGTTCATTTGAAGCTGGTGGGTGGAATCTCTAATGCAGAGTCTGCTAAGCTCTAGAAGGTCAGTGCATCACTATCCATAAAGCTCAACGGAATGTGGCTGATCGCTTGTGGTAGAAATGCGATGAAGTTATCAAAGGGGAAAAGATGGCCTGAAAATGGTGCTTGATGGCAGGTTAGTGTGTCATTAAATAAAAAGGAAGTAATGTACATCATTACTCTTCCCACCACTCCATCTTATTCCATTCAAAAATAAAAGTTTGCAGATTCATGACTTTAATTATGAAATAAATGAGAGAGAATTATATATCTAGCATCCCTGAATGCTGCTTTCCTATGTTTGTCCTGTTCCAAGTATTGTAGCTCAGACACATGATTTTTCTACTTATGACTAGAGGTACAAAGGGATGTTGGGATCATCTGTTTATTTATTTAAACACTTTTTGTCCTGCTGTATACTCAAAATATTTCCCAGATGAACTTTCCTTGCTCCCAGGATGACTATCTTAGTTGAAACTGAAAGTTCTTTCCCTAATTTCTCTTTATGGAAAAATGCATGAATTTTGTTGCACTTGCATCAAATAAGCTAACCAAACTAAAATTTCACCCTTCAGCACTGGCCAAATTCAATAGCAATGCAACTCTGGTCATTCAGCTCTACAAACATGCTTAAAAATCCAGGAAATTCAAATCCAGGCTTCCGAGAACTAAGCCTTTCAAGTTCTCTGGCTGGCTGGGCAAATGCATCAGTTTTCCTTTCTCCCACATTTTTCAAAATGTCAAGCCTTTTCTCCTCCTGTTTGTAAGTCTGCATCAAAAGTACAAATTGCAGAACAAAATTATCACCCCTTGGTATTACAATCTTAAAAACATGATACAAAAGTAAGAGGGAAAATAAGCAAAGGAATGTTAAACTTGTCTTTTTCTGAACCACTGGATTAAATCCATAGCACTTGAGCTAGTTGTGGGGTTCAGCCCACAATATGATACACCTGGGCACCATTGAAATGGATGTAAATCAAGGTAGATCAAATATACATTGCAGAAGTATAGCCTGATCAAGCTGCTGTAAGTCTTGAGCTTTAGCTGCCACATTCTCAACAATCAATTAGCAAAATACTGCACATGGCGAACAGGGACTGATGAAATCCTAATTCACAGAGAGTATTGCTCTATCTTCAAGAAAATGGGGATCTCCTGTCCATAGAGAGCTCTATAAATCTCTCAGAGGCATATAAAGATTTGTATGCAAAGTGTGAAGCATGCAAATTTAAGAGCATCTCATAAATGCCCGTTTTTGCACCGTATCTGCAGTTCTGATACCAAGGCAGACAGAGGATGGTGGAAATGAGGCAGGGGAGACTAGCCTGTAGGAAGACAGATGGAATAAGCCACAACTCCTTTCCTTCTTAATTTGGCAGTTGTTTTAAAGGATTCAGGTGAATCCTACAACTGTAATCCAGAATATTAAATCACGCTAGAGAAGAGGAGAAAAGAGAGGCTGAAATAATGTGGGACATGGAGTTGCCAGTAGATAAGGAACATCAGTCTTGGCTGATGTTTTCTTGCATTTGGGCAAATTGCAGGGAAAGCAAGAGGCGGTGTCATCCTGTGCCTCACCCGGTGCACCTTAGTCGAATAGCTTTTGTACTGAGCTACACCTCCTCCCTCTTAGTGGCTCTAACTGCTAGGCTTTGCTGCCTGCCTTATTCCATTGGATTGTGCCCAGTACAAGGATTTGTAAGCTTAATCAAGATTTTAGTAAGCAGAAAAGTACTTTATCATTTGTAAAGTTATTACAAGTAAAACCTGTGTTTGCGCTTGAAGGGCTGTCACGGCACAAACACTAAGAGCCAAATTGGATGAGTAAATTGCAAAAACGCAATTCACATGCACATTTCTTATAATGCAAATAGCAGCTGTGGAGCATCTGAGCAGACACGGGGTGGAGCAGAGCAGTTGGGGTTAACTTTCTTTTCTATCCCTGCTGACAAAACCTACCCTCGAAGATGTTTTTTTTTTTTCCAGTGCAAGAGACACTCCTCTCATGCCACCTGAAGCTTCTCTTGAAGTGACAGTCACTGTTTCTGAGAGACAGTGAAATTTTTTTTCACCTTCTCTGGTCCTGAGGTATTCTTAAAGCTGCTATTCGCATAACAAGAAACCTTCACTGTTATTTGCACGCACAAAATTCAGGCCACATCAAGTTTGGCCCTAAGCTTGTTATATTTTACAAGATTACAAATCTGTGGCTGTAAAACTTTTAGGTTAAGCGAAGCCAGCTCGCATTTCCATTTCTTTAGATTCTAAGTGAGGTTTTCCCCCCTAACCCACCTCCGTTTTGCCAGCAGAGTGTCTGATCTTAAATCTGGCTTGCTTACTCTACAGACTTGCAATCACTGTGTTGATTAAATGGGGCCTCTGGGGAGAAAGAGAATTCAAGGATTATACTGAGCAAAGGTTCTTTGAAGCTTCTGCCAGTTGAATTTGGGGCTGGGACTGGCAAACCTGCACAGGGCTGTTAAGTAATGAAGGAAGAGAATCTGTTCAGCTTTCATTTTAATACCAATTGCTGTCATATGCACTTCCTCAACCAAGAAATTAATTGAAGCACAGTTATTCTTGATATTCTTAGTTTCCCACCTGTTAATATGCAGTTATTCAATCAAAACATGCTTGTAACAGTGTGCGTCGCATGTAAAAATGTGTTGTATTTGAGGATCGTAATTTTTCTAAACCTCATTTTTTGGTGAATTTCTGTGGTCTTTAGCTATTGGGAATAATAATTGTTATTACTGTTGTCATATAACATATAAATTTGCCTTTAAGGAAGCATGATAAATATTTGAAGGAACTGTATATATAAACTTAAAACAAAGCAGCTAGTCTAGTATGCCATAGAACATTTCATCCTTGTAAAGCTCTGATCTGTCTTTCTGAAGCAGCAAAATCTGTTTCTCTGAAAACAAACAAACAAAGGCCACAGCATGCTGATATTAATTTCTATGAACTTTCTTTGCTAGGGCTTGCATGGCAAACCAGGCCCAAGGGGACAACGAGGACCAACAGTATGTACTATGGATTTTTTAAAAATGTATTTATATATGCCTTTGAATTCTATCCTGCCTTTTAAACAAAGGTTCTTGGCATGCCTTCATTTTTTCCCATCCATCCCCTTCATCTTATTGCATATATTTCTGCATGAAAAAAAAAAATGGTTTTGGATTTTGCTGTGCTGTAATTCACAATAAAAATAACTGGTTGCCTATTTTTCATCACTCAACAGGGGCCACGTGGGTCAAGAGGCCCAAGGGGACCAACAGGAAAACCTGGACCAAAGGTAGCTCTACCAAATCTAGCAAACCACAATTTTTCTCTTCATGCAAACACACAGTTCGTCTTTTAACACAATGTTCTTTTACAGGGCACTTCTGGCAGTGATGGACCACCAGGCCCACCGGGTGAAAGGGTATGGAAATAACTATTTACATTTCATTGCATCGCTCAGTCCCAGTCAGTATCTTCCTTATACAGTTTTTTGGTGGCAGAGATACACAATTGTGGAAGGTCCAGGATCTGCTCATTTGCCAGAAACCCATTTGTAGTGGTGCAGAGCATTACATGAGTTCAATTTAACTTGCTTTTAACTGAAACACGGCCCTATTGGAGCTGCTGTGGATTCGATTTTTGGTTCCTTAAACATGTTTGGGGCACAGCAGGGACTGCATTTGGGAAGAAGGCAGACACTGCGTGTGCCCCATGGAAAGCAAATTCCCTACCCTGGTTCTATGGGTATTGTAATCATGCAAATGCAACCCCTGTGCAAAACTAGAGAGTGTTTGTGCTTTCCCCACTTGCAAACCAGAAATCTGGGTGTATATGAGAATAGATATCAAACTGTAAAATGCATCATATAAAAGACCAAGATTTATTTTTTTTCCTTAGAATTGTTTTTGTTGTTATTTATATAGAGAAGGAGTGCAAGCCAATGCTATATTTCTCAGAAGTGAGTCCTACTGTGTTCATTAGGGCTTATTCCAAGGTAAATGTGCATAAGTAAGGCCGCCTTGATAGATCAATTACTCTAAAATTCATACTACTGATCAACTATGACGAACTTAATTTGATGTGTTGTCACCTAAGTCTTTACAAAGTTACAAGTGGAAAGAAAATAACTTAAAGAGATTGGATATTCCAATGAGTTTAGTAAACCAAAAACCTGAAGAGGATCTTATTTTGAAACTGATAAAAAATACCTAAATATATTACTCAGAAATAGCAAGGATTGTGCATGAATGGGCATGGTAAAATCTGTTCCTGTATTTCCTGGATTATCAGGTTCATCCTTTCCATCATCACCTCATTGATTGATTCTGATTTTGTGCAAACCCATCTACAACCAAACGTGCAAATTCCTGATAATGCACAAATCCCCCATATATGTAAATGCCCCAAATGTGTATTTTTACACTTTAGCCTACGGGAGAAATGCACATGGTTTGGTTGTATTTTAAAAATATTTTTCTATGAGTAAATCTCAAAATTACTGAAGATTAAAAAAAAGTCTGCAAGCCTGCAGAATCCAGGCATCTCTGGAAAAGCTCATTTGCTTTACTGCAAGTCACATTCTTAGAAATTTCCACTCATTTGGCCCATTGAGGATTTCTGGGACATCCATTATAAAGATCTGCCTTTGGGCCATACATCACTTGCTACCCTAACAGAAGCAGGAGTGCTTACCATCATGCCTGTATCATCAAACAAGGCTGGGACCCCTACCGGTCTCTCCTGCAAAGTTTTCTCTGCCTTCTCCGTAGCTCAGTACATTTTGGGACAAAGCCTGAGGCTGCATATTAACTGCAACACACTCTTCTCGTACTTTTGCCTGGACCTGCCAAAGAGCCCATCACAATCTAAGAATGAGCATGTTCAATCCACTCCAAACATCCCATGTTTAGAGTCAGAAGAAACATGAGGGAGGAGATACCATGATCAGGCATGTATCCGGTTCACTCAGTGTCATTTCAGTGAAAAGGATCACACACAGGAAAAGATTTGCGGAAACAACTCCCTGCAAACTTCGCTTTTGCCTCCTGTCACTTTAATCCGGGCTCAGGCTGGCAATAGGCTGAAAAAAATTGACAGTGAACAATCACAGGAGATGTTTCCATTCTTTATTCAAATGATGGCACCTCGGATGAGTGCTAGCAGAACACTATAAACATTTCCATGAACAGCTTATCAATCCTATAATTAAATATGGACAGGATTTTCAGTATCGTGCAAAGGTAAGCACCATAACGCATCTAAAAGATGGTTCCACAAAAGGAATGCTAACACTACAGTCTACAGCACCTTTAATGTGCATAGAGAAATGCTTTAGAAGAGGCTGCATGACTTTTAGTCCCCCGGGGCAGCAACTAGGCTATGCTGGGGAGCAGGGGCTGCACAGAAACGCATGAATCATGTGCAATGTGCACAGATATGATTGTTATCATTATAAACACTTTCTCACTGCTCAGTTGCTCAATTTGATGCATGCCTACTTTGAAGTTAGCTCCAGCCCACTAACTCTCAGGCACTGCAGAGAAATAGAATGGACCTTGTATTAGTGAAGCCAGGGATTAATTTTAGGTGGTACACAACTTCTCGCTAATAAAAGGGCTGCCCTGTTTCTTTGCATTTCTGGGACCTGTGTGTTTTGACCAAGGGACCAGGTAGATGGGAGTTATACATGGTCATGTGATCAGCCTTTCTGAGACTGGCTCTAGATAAACTGCCATAACATCTTTGAGTTTGTCATCTTCTTCTCTATTTATTTTGTTTTTGTATCTCCCAGTAGCTGAGGCTCTCTGGGCAGTTAACAAAAGTTAAAATTAAACAAGCATTTAACACACACATACCCAAATAAAGTCATAACAGCTATTGCAGTTGTTATGATTCAGCCTGGAAACATGGAAGTGATCTAGAATAAATAACATATAAAAACTTCTTTTAAATGATAAATTATTAAAACACTGGGAAAATAAAAAGGGGTTTACCTTGTGCCAAAAAGAATTCAAATTAGGTCCTGGGCACACCAATTTAGGGAGCTCATTCTAAAACTGGGGGACCACAACCAAAAAAGCCCCCCTCCTGGTAGCCTGCCGTTTTGGACTGATAAAAAGTTCTAGAAAGCTTGCACATTTTTATGGAATTTTGGTTGGTCCCAAGAAAGGTATTGCCCAACTGTGGATCTGGCTTTATTTATTTGTTCATGGAGCAACATAGCTGTTTTTATTTATGTGTTTGTTTATATAAAAAGATAAACCGCTTCCTCGGTGCTTGTATTTCAAGAATGTCAAATCCGCAAACCACAAAACTTGCCTTTCCAGTGCAGAGCAATGTATTTTTTAATGCTCATTATGCTTCTTAGTTGCATATAAAAGCCAAACATGTTTGTATTCACTGAGTATATAAACTCTGACTTCACTAGAGCATAGAAACCAGATTTGCAACTCTAAGGACAATGAAGAAAGGCAAAATGGAGAGCTAAGGAAATGCAATTGTGACTTTAAAAATCTTTGATTTGAAAATGATCCCTGTGATCATCTTTGTGATGAATATTCGCGCAGTCAATGAACCAACAGAACAAGAAAACAAAACAATTTAAAGCACAATTTAAATCAATTGTTTATTGAATTCTTCCCCTTTTCCTTTGACTTATTTAAATCCTATGCTGTCCAATAACTAAAGTTCTCTAGGTGGTTTGCAATCATTTCTAAACAGAACCAGGATACAAGAAAAACATCACAGAGTTTCCATAATGCAACATTTTTAAACTTTAAAAATATAGTTAACAACTAAAATGGGCTACAATAATTTGTGAATGAAGAAAGCACAGTGAATGTGAGCAAAATACAGTAGAAGGTACAAAACATCTAATAATATGCTATTGGTACTTCAGAGTCTAATGTGTATTATGTTTATTATTTTTATAGAGAATATATGGGATATTGGTTAGTGTGTTGGGCTAATATCAAGAAGTTCGAGATTCAAATTCCCCATTCTGGGCCAGTCACTAATTCCAGCCTTACCTACTTTTTAAGCTTGTTGTGAGGTTAAAATGGAGATGAAAGAAGTATATAAGCTGCTTTGGGATATAAATGTATTAACATCCCAACATAAATTCAGGATATAAATTCATGCTGTGTCAAAAATTTCTCCCTCATAATTTTATCATACTCATTCAATTTGGTGGAAAAGAACTTGCCTTTGAAAAGAAATTCAGTGATGAAGAAACTTCAGAGAAATTCTCATAAGCTGCACTTGGGGTCTTGCACTTACTTTGGAACAGAACAGGAGTAGAGTTGGAAGGGTAGTCACCCATCCAGCTGCATGCCCACACCTTTCTAGCTTAGCAAATGTGACTTGACGTAAATTCATAGAACCACAGAATCATAGGTCTGGAATGGACCAAAAGGTTTTTAGGTCCAACACCCTGCTCAGCTAGGTCTCCAGGTCAAGCCATCCCTCTCAGAGGGTTTTCCAGCTGCATCTTGAACGCCTCTAGTGTGGGAGAGCCCACAGCTTTCTAGGTCATTGGTTCCATTGTCTTACTGCTCTAACAGTCAGGAAACTGTAGATGAAGTTCAGCCAGAATCTGGTTTCTTGAAGTAAAGCTATGCAGCTAAAACCATAACTTATTTAGGAAGTCGCTGAGGAGAGTATGCAAGTGTCCTATTATTTTTATTGTAAAGTCATCTCTCCAGTAGCCTTCAGCATCTTCAGTTTTCTGGACCTGAATTAAAGCCCATTGGAAGCTATCAAGATATAATTCCCCACCATGGGATTATTTCAGATCAGGGATCACAGGCAGGCTGGGAGACTGCAGAGCAATGGAGAGAAGTGTAACAGAAAATACTACACAAACATCACCCTTGGCCACTTTGCAGTGATTAGATAAGGCAAAACGCATGCACAACTTCCCTTGAGAATGTGGCCAAACCGTGGAAGTGTCTTTCATGAGAGAAGAAAACTTCCATTGGACATTGGAGGATAGCAACGCTGCCCTATTGCACTTGCATTGTGGTGAATGCAAAATGGGGACAAGTCTGCCAACACACTGGATGCTGTTGCCACACAAAAAACGAAGTGAGGCCCAGCAAAACCAGATCCAAAATCCAAACCCCAAAAAGGAAAGAAACTGTGCTACAATGATTGTGAGCCCTACCTGTTGAAACTGTTGAGAATTTCATTTCCTCCTGAAGAGATATGATGACATTGTCCCCCAACTTCTCTACCCACAAATGGGCTGGAGAATTTCAAGAGTCCGTATGCACACACATGTAGAATAAATATAAGGAACAAATGAATATGACCAACCCAGCATTTCTCATTTCAAATCAGTAACACATATTGTAAATGATACTGTTGCCATTCTTTGAAGATCTGAAACAGAAAAGACAAGTGTATAAATAACAACAAAGCATCATTGTATGTGATATTTATTGGTCTTATTTTGAAATAGGGGGCAAACACTTTCATATATTCTGAGCAGTCAATAAACCATTAAAAAAGCAGACATTTCTTTCTTTAAGGCTTTCTAAGTTAGGGCAAGCATTTTTGCTTCCTAAGCAGTTTTTTGTGCCTTAATTTGTTTTCAGCTGTAATGCTGTCAGTTGACTCCACGAATTGTAGATCGCACTATAAAATGTTGGCTGATCAGCCACCTGGCTGAACAGGAACCATATCTGAATGATGGTCACGTTTGAGCAGGATCCAGGCTTCCTTTGCCCATTGTTGTTGTTGTTTTCTTCCTGCTTGAGAATTATTTCTTGCAGATGCCACTTATACTTCCCCAGTTGCAAGAGACAATGGCAATTTGTCTGCTGTCACACTTAGTGTTTTTAAGCCCAGAGAGCAGAGAAAAGAACTTAAATTATCTGGAGAAAGGCTCATCTTCATGGGCTAGTATCCAACTGTGTCGGTGTGCTTGTGTTAGCAACTGCTTTTGCAACTGTGTTTTCACCTTTCTGAAAATGCCCAGAATGAGCTGAAGCACAAGTTTCTGGAGCAGGACAGGTCTGCTGAGCAGTGTTTCCAGGGTTATTTTAGGAAAGGAAAAGTACTCTTGCATAAGCAGTGATTACCGTAAGAGCAACCAAAGCAGCTAAGGCAGAGTGCCCCATTGGATATCCTAGTAACAGGAATGGATTTCCCATGCCCTCTAGACAGCTAAAATATATAACAGCACTGGAAGTATAAATGCAGTCAATTGGACACCTTTCAGCATTAGTACAGATAGTTTATAGTATTTATTATTTTATTTATTTATTTAGACAGCTTATATGCCGCCCCCATCGCATAAGCCTCAGGATGGCTTACAATCATTAAAATCCGGCATAAAATACAAAAAAATTCATCAAATAAATAAAATACATAAGATAAAATAGTGGACTGCATGCCTTTCTCAAAGAGATTCAAATGGATGTAGATATAGATTCACATATTCTCCTTTGTATGGTCTTGATTGATTTTGCTGAAATGTACAATAAAAGCAAACTTTTAAAAGCATAGTAGCAGGAAGTTATTGTGGTCTTACCAGGAAGCACGGGGAAGGCATTACTTCTGGTGGAAAAGTCAAAGAGAGGTCATGCATTCCTATTTCTGACTTTCATCTCTACATGACTACAAACAAAAATAGCATGGGAGGGTATCATCTGGATAGCATTTTTTGGCCTCTGGTGCAGAAATGTCAGAATGCCAAAAGCAGCAGTCCTGTTCACAGTTATATGTCGGTAAATCCCATTGAATTGCATGAACCTTACTTCTAAGTAGGTAGATAGAGGATTGTGTTGAAAGGTTGATACTGGTGCCTTGCATTTTTAACAATTTTAAACCAAGTTGCTAGCATAATTTTGATAGCTTATGCTGCATTGTAACTAAATTGAGTTAGACCCGTCCCTGTGCTAATGTGTACACTGGAATATGCCTGCAAAAGCAGTCATTTTGCAGTAGGGACTCTCAACATGTCAGCAGCATGATAAGTGGGAAGGACTCGTTTAATTTTTGCACAAATTTATTGCACCAGAAGGCTTTCTCTAAAATATTGGAACCGCTTTCTATGTGACTGGAGGTGCTGTGGCTACTAACAACAACAATGATGTGTTTTATTTTTGTTTGATATCAGGGACCGCAAGGGCCTCAGGGGCCTGTTGGATTCCCAGGACCAAAGGGACCACCTGTGAGTATCCTATTAAAATAAATGTCATGTTGATATGAAAATTATGTAGAACTTATCAGAACACAAAAAGAATTATACTGAGCTTTAAAAAGTATCATCTATGCCAGCAGGTTTCAGACTTGTGAGAACTGATTTGTTTTTTATTAGGACCCTACAGGCTGCTACCATCAAGGACCCAAGTGGAAATAATGACTTAGGCAGATAGTCAACACTTAGTGTACATTCTTAGCCCAGGGAAACTTTTCAAGAAACAGAACTGAGCTCACAATTCAATCACACAAGAATCCTCCACCTCCGTTTTTCCCTGAAGCTTTCTTAATTTCAGCAAACTAATTTAGAGAAGTGAAAAATATGCCTATGTTGTTATAATTGTTCAGTAATTAAGCATCAGGACTTCTTGCTGATCAGCCACTTCAAATCCATGCTGTAATCCACTGCAAATACCCAGAGATCCAGTAGTAGATCCCAAACTGACCTGATCTAAAATGTCTCTGAAGATAAGCAGTAAGAAGCAGATAGAATTCCTTATTCCAGTTCCTCTTGCTCTCATCTGACTGAATTTATATAGATCCCATGCGTTTGCACAGAAGTAAGTCCCAGTGACTTAGACCATGCTCTCCAAAATTTGTAGTACACGTTGCATTCGCTCCATGGTAAAGATAGAGACTCACATCAGAAAACCCCCAGATCCAGCCCTCTCCTCAAATGAGGGCAGAGGCCATGCTTGGCTTCCTGATAACACTCATCTAGCGGGACTATGTGTGAGACTGGTGCTTCCAAGGATGTGGGTTGAGGGGTTCACTCTGTTGCCATGCTTTGTACAGTCTCAGTAACCCCTGATTTCTGTTGGTGGAGTTTATACAATCCTACATAGAAACACTGATGCCCCCAGATGACCTTCTGGCATAAATACTGTCATAGGGCTACAAGCACATCCTGTCCCCATTTCCAAGTCATGCAGTTCTGTCCAGTTCACAACCCTGAATGTAAGTGTGAACAGGAATACAGTTCCTGAGAAACATTTGCAATTTTCAGCACTTTGAAAGTACAGACTTGCACAAGTGTGCATCTCTGAAAACATGTACTAGTGCAAACATGCCTTTATCACTTCAACCCCCATTTTCATGGGGAAGAAATTTAAAGTTTGGGTCCATCTTGTTGAAAATGTATGTTTTCTCACTGAGAACAAAGGATTTTGTGTGTTCGGAAATGCCAATCAGGTGAAATGAACTTTGAGGAGGAATTCAGAAACTCTTGATACGTTCAGCATGTCCTGTTTATGTACACCCACGTTATCACAGCATACACCAGCCTAGCAATCTCCCAAGGCACTTCTATGGGGCTTGAGCTTTGTCTGACTTGACCGAACTGCAGAAGAGGCAGAATCACTCCCCAAAACTGTTGAGTGACCTCCTTGCACCAGCTGAATAGTTCTGGGAATAGTTCTCCCAGATTCAGCTCAGAGAAGCGTCATAATCAGCCGAATGCCAGCATGCATGAACTGATCTTTCTAGTGCGTTAATGTAGCTCAATCTGTGGAGTGGTAGCCCAGGGCCAACAGAGTATGTGCTTTATGTCTCTCATGGCAAATGAATTCCAGCATCATGAAATTAGCCCAGAGCCATTCCCTGTTTAGAGAGTAACCGGGCTGCTTTTGCAAAGCAACAAACATAAAAATGTGTTTGCTTAGAAATCTGGTGACAGCCAAAGGAGGTGGCTGGAAACACACCTCAGAAATTGTGCAGAAAGAAATCCGAAGTGTATTCAGAGCATTATGGCTTCTGTATGGCTGAAGTGCCTAACAGTTCCCCAAATCACTCCTGCGGTGCCTTTGCCATTGGTCCCATAGCTGAAATCCTCACCACGCGCATACAGACACCGCTGCAGCTTTTTTGCCTGCTCAAAACCTCAGGATCTAAATGATGTTATTAGTAAGGGAAGGAGCTATCTATCATGCAAATAACCTTATAGGCACGCAATTGTCTGCAGAACCACCATCTTCTGCACAGGCAGTCAGATACCACTAGAGGTCGCACTCTATCTCTATTATGTTGTGCCAGCAAAACCAAAATAAAATAAAATGCTGAAAGTAATGGAAAGTCTGCTATTGGCAGGCTATCTCCAGGATGAGTGCACTACACACTCTAGCTGGGTTATTGACTTTAAAATGCTGTATTCATAAATGGAACTGAAGTATTCACTGAGTTGGAATAATGTACAGGCTTTCAAAACTTTTAGGGTCCCATTTACCTTAGCAGAATTGATCTGTCCCATTTTTTTCCTTTTTTCTTTCCTCTTTTTATTTGGCCTGCCTAATGCAACCCCTGGCAAGAAAGAAGCCCTGCTTTGATTCCCACTTGTAGATGACATTTGCACTGGTGTGTACAATGAATCTGCAGCCAGCCTAAAGGTTTATTGATCCCTTTCTTCGATTATCGTTGGCTGACAGATTTCCTCGACTTTATTGTTCCTGGATCCAGCTTTCTATGATCATGATTGCATCAAAGAATGAACATTCATTTTTTCCCTTTGCAAACTTCTTGAACCCCGAGGGGGTAGGGAACTACCATGGCAGGGGTGGAAGAAGTAACAGGCTGGAAACGGGACCAACACGCAGCACTTCTCTTCTTCAGATCTCTTCTTCCCACAACAGCTTTCCTTTGTGCAACAAAATGCTGTCACAGCCAGTGTGGTGGTGTGGTCAGAGTGTTGGACTGGGGGTCCAGCACATTGGAGTTGTCATCCCCATTAACCCTTGCACCTTGCCAGGGGACTTGGAGCCAGCCACGGACTCTTAGCCTAACTTACTTTGCAGGGTTATTGTTGTGAGGATGAAAATGGAGTGGAGGAGAACTGTGTAAGCCATCTTGGGTGCCTCACAAGAGGGAAAAAGGCAGGATAGGAATGCAATGTAGTAATCATTATAGTAAAATTTGATGTATGTCCCTCCCATATTACATGGTGAGTTCCCATCATTTCATTAAAAAACATAGTTTCCATTAAGTGAGGTTACATAAAAGATTATGAAAAAGGTACCCACATCCTTATGAATTCAGAGGAACTCTTCAAAGGAATATTTGTGCTATTTTGGAGATAAAAATTAATGAAAGGAAGAAGAAAGGAACAAAGGAATGGGAAGAGGGGGAGGGAGGGAGGGAGGGGAGAGGGGGAGGAAGGAAGGAAGGAAGGAAGGAAGGAAGGAAGGAAGGAAGGAAGGAAGGAAAACTAGACTATTGCAGACAAGGACTGTTAAGCTGTGCCAAGTGGGAAAAGATCAAAGGGAAGTATTACATAGTTTAGTCTTCTTTGGTTGAGAGAGCACTAAGAATTTATGATACCTTTCTGCCACTGATTTTGTTTTATTGCTGTTGGGTTTACAAATATAGAAGCAAGGCATACCTCAAACTGGAAGCTCCTATAAGCAGGCAGCAAAACTAATGATCCAGCTTTAGATTGCCTAAGTGAGCAATAGCTGACCCCCTCCCCTGGTTGCTTCTAGTTCAGCAAAGCTCTCATGCCAAAACAACCCCAGCTCTCTGGAGGACTCTGCCTTCCAATCAAAGATGCAAGAGCAACATTTCTGTTTTACACAGTAGCTGGAAGGCATTTCCTTCCAAAGAGGTTCCATCCTTAGTTTCCCTTCCCTGTTCAGTCCTGACCAAGAGCACGCAGTCAGCCTAACAAAGGTTGGCCAGTTAGTCAGTTCAACAATGTTTGACAGCCGGTTTGACCCACTGTGGATATCAGTAAGGTGGTTAGAGGAGGTGGCAGTCTCTGGTTTTCAGAATCCAAATCTGATGGTTTGGGCTTCCTATTGCAGGGCCCACCTGGGAAAGATGGCTTGCCCGGGCACCCAGGACAGCGGGGCGAAACGGTAAGTGCATTATGTATAATGTTTTATACAGCAATCTTTTTAGTATACTATGATATTTGGATGCATCCATTTAGTATGAAAAGAAGTGTATTTTACTGCTGCTTGATGAACTCAAAGACTAGATTTCATTTTGTACCACATTGCAAAAGGGTAATTAGAACTGTCTTACAGCCACAGTGCTGTGCTGTGCTTAAAGATGGGCAGGACCGTGGGGTTCTGCTTTAGATGAGATCTGATAGATGCCGAGCTGCCCATGGTAGGTTCAGTGGACCTCTTTCCCCCACCTTGAAATGATTGGTGGAAATTTCAGCAGTGCCATGGGCCTAGCTGCATGTGATCCATTCTCTCAGGAAGCCTCTGGACATTCGCAACAGGACCTGCTGCCCATGCGAAGCCTCTCAAATGAATTATGGAACGTGTCAGGTTCCTTGAAAAATTCTGGTCCAGTTCTGCAGAGGGTACAGGAGGAGTAAGCACATTCGAGGCAGGTGGGTATCATCCCCACTTCCACTGCACTTCCAGGCACTGAATGAAGAAGTCACACTAAGACAAGCAGATAGAACTGGAGGGCTGAGTTGAGTATTGTCTTATACTGGCAGCCTAGATACTTCTACCCAGCAGATTCATGCAGATGTTTGAAAAATAGGAAACAAGATGGAACCTTGTGACAGCCAGTAGACATGGGGTAGAACACAAGTTTCCCAGCAACACCTTTGATACTGCTCCTCAAAGAAGGATGAGAACCACTGTATCTCCATGCTTCATAGGTCCAGTGTAGCCAAAGGATCCAGAAGTATACCATGACTGGTGGTACTGAAAGCCACTGAGAGGTCCAGAAGAACCCTGGCCTTGTGTAAACTTCTATTTATACAAATAAATAAATAGAAACATAGAAACAGAGCGAGTCAGAAGGGGACTCCTGGGCCATCCAGTCTGACCCCCGCTGTAGCCAGCTCCACTCATGCCATGCCTACCATGTTCATGTCTAGCCTAGCCTTGAACACCCTCACCGATGGGGCCTCAACTACCTCCCATGGAAGCCCATTCCATACCCTATGGGTCCTATCTATAGAAACAGAGTAAGAAATAATCAAACAGAAATAATCGGTGCCATCCAGAAAATCTAACATATCCAGTGTAACAGCAACAACATTTTTGGAAAACGCATTTGCTTCTGCTTCAGAGTATTTCCCCACCACTCCCTCGCCCCCTCCCCTTTATAGCAAGGGAGAGCCCTGATACTGACATGCCACATGTTCCTTAATTCAAGGACTGGCCTCGATGCTTAGCTGCACCTGCCTGCTGGAGATGGAGAAACAGAAGGAGAAGGGCAAAATTTCCAGATGGATTCCTTGCTTCAGGGATGAAAGCAGCATGTTGAACAGCAACTGTTTAATCCCTCCCTTCCCTGTTGCTTTGCCCCTGAAGCTAAGAATGTGTGATGGATCTTCTGGGGACTGAAAAACCAATGGACTTTCCAGTGTGGCTTTCTGAATTCTGTTGTTTCTCCCCACGCTGGCATTGATCCCATCTGAAACAAACTGAGTGGATACTGTTTTGAAAATGACCCACGATTTGTGTGAGTTTATTAAAGAAACAATAAAAATTTGCACAGAGTACGGGGCACATTTTGGTGTCATGATTTGCACCAATTTTCTGAGTTTTTTCCTCTGATAAACTCAACAGCATTTAAACAGGAAAGAAATCAGATATTAGATGCATGATACTGATGGAATGGATTAGGACTGGGCAGAAAATAAGTATCCACAACCCGTTTTGCCCAGTTCATGGGAGCTGAACAATAGTAACTGAAAATGATAGTTTAAAATGTGTCTAGGGTTGTGTGATATAAATGCAAGGGAATTTCTGTTTCATGACAGTCCACAAGGGTTGGTTCATTTCTTGTGTATAACTGTGTCTTACGAGGATTATTAGCAAGGCACTGGCTGTGCTTCAAAAGGACATGATTTAAAGAACCTTCTTATGCCCCCTTTCCTTAACACAATTAATCATTCGACAACATTGCTGATCTCTTGCTTTTCAATTGCTGGTTTGCCACCGTGTTATAGGATAGTATATATCTTCCAGTGGCATACCCAGTAGTATTTGTATCTGATACTTCAGAATTAGACTTGCTACTAGGTCTTGCCTAAAGCAAAATTTTAAGGCGAATTTGAAGGCTCCCTAGCTAGGTAAACATGCTCAGAATTTGGGTGGGGGGGGGCGGGAAAGAAGGTTTTTGATGAGACCTGCAACTTTTTCAGAGGAAATTCCTCATGTGCCTGGGACCTGCTGAAAGCATATTTCCAACTCGTTAGTCTGCTCGGTAGAGGAAGTTTTAAAAGAAATCTTAGCATCACATTTCATCATTTTCATCCTACTGTCTGCTCCTTTTGCAATCAATATTCCTTCCATGCCTCTAAGCAATCATCTGCCAGTCTTTCTTGGGATGATTCTGAGTGTATCTGCGTATAGCTGTACTTGCTTGTCTGCTTTTAACACATCTGTGTGTATGTCTCCTACATATATTTGAGATGAATCTGAGCAATATCATTTATGCAATCACCGCCACCTAATCAGTTTCTCAGAAAGTGCAATCTGTGAAAAGTAACTGCCACTTTGAACCACACCATTGGAGGAGCTGAGCTCAGAATGATTGGAAATGATAGATCTCTGAAAGAACCTTCTATATTTTACTCTTAAGTGTGCACAGCAATAATAGAAATGGCTGTCTTTATTCTTGGAAAAGATGAATCTCCCGACGCTGCACTTCTCATTTCTCACCTCTTCATTGCTCATGGGAAAGTCACTGCAGTGTGCACGCTAACCACAGTGTATCCTTCATTCCGTAGGGTTTTCAAGGCAAAACTGGACCACCAGGCCCTGGCGGTGTTGTCGGACCTCAGGTACAATATTTCCATTTACCTCTGCTTTTGCAAAACGTGGTGTGATTATTCGGTTTGGTGGCATCTGTCATACTGCCAGCCCTCTCAAGGTTGCCTCCAGTATGCAGCAGTCGCTGTAGTCACGTGCGCTGAGACCAGTTGATGACACGATTCCGGATTTGCCAGCATGGCAGTATTTGCCACACTGCATAGGAGAGAAGCCACCTTTTGGTGGCGTTTCTTGTAATATTTGTAACAAGCATTGTGACAGACAAGAATGCTATTCAGTTTTGTGTGCAACAAAAGCCCAAGGTGAATTTATTCATTATTTATTTGTTTGTTATTGCTAAACTGCCCCATAGCCTCTAGACTCTCTGGGCAATTTATAATTATTAATGGGTGTTTAACAAGAAAATATCATTATTTATTTATTCGTTTATTTATTCAAAGTTTTTATAACCTGTCTGATGAGCCAGATTGGCTCTCAGAACTGCTTATAAATCCATTACAAATAAAACAATAGCATGTAACAATAAAAGCACATGAAGCAATACCATATAAATAGCATATGTACAATCAGATGCAACAGTAGAACAATAGAACGCTTATCCCTTCCCTCTGCAAAAAGCCCAGTACTCAAATGGCGCCCAGTGGGGACCAAACGAGCGAAGCCCTTTGGCATCACTCAAGCACCCTTTGGTGACGCCACCTCAGTCACAAGTCTATTGATGCAGGCACCACTGCAGCAGGTGTTGCTCAGCCCTGCCTCTGCCACAAGCATGGCTGCTCCAGCAGGGCAAGCAGGCAGCTGCTCACCTGGTGCAGCAGAGGGAGGGAAAACCAGCTCTCCCCACCATGTGTCACAAATCCATTGATGTGGGCTCCACTGCCACCACCAATGTTGGTGTCTCTCAGCCCCGAATTTGAAGATCCCTTCACAGAAGAAACATCCATGGAATTTGGAGAAAGGACAGAGGAGTTTCAATGAGACCTCTGAAATGTTCCAGAGGTTTTTTCCCATCTGTACCAGGAACCCAGAAAAAAACACCCATTTTATTGCAAGTTGTTAATGCACTTGTGATGAGAGATGGTGAAGAAACTCTATGCTACAAGTTTGGAATAAGCTGATGGTAGAGCTACATTGCACTGCACTTGGCTCTCTGAAGGTAGATGACGTCCGTGGATAAGGCCACGTCCCCTGATGGCACTAAGTGTGGACAGTGCTCCCTGATGTTGCTGCACTGCCTCTCCTGATTGTGCGATTCTTTGCACTGAGTTAGGCATGGAGAAACAGACTCCACTGGTGCAGGGAGGAGCAGCAGCCAAGTCCCTGGCTTCATGTGGTCCTCAGGGGAGCCTCAGCTCCACAGACTCAGCTGGTAGTAGGAAAACTACCATTCCTCCAGCACTGGCCAAGGCCCCTCCTTCACAGTCCCTGTGTGAGAAGCACATGATGCACATAAGGACCTGATGATCTCTGGAACATCACAGCTTTATATCCTCATTGTGATCGCTGATCTGAAATCTGAGATCATTGGCGGTTTTTTTCAGGCAGAAGGAGTTGGAGGAATTCATGGAGGCTTAGTGGACTGGATGAAGTCTGCTAGTTGGAGGTTTCATATTTGTTCTCTATGCAAGGGATACCACTTAATTTCTCCTGCAGTGAAATTGAAGTTTCCTATTAATGCAAACATCTAAGGACTTTTGAGGGAAACAAAAGGAGCCTTGATAATGTTATTGCCATTTCTGGAAGCAAGGGTAGTGGTGGTTGTGTACAACCCTACAAATTAATGTCTGACTGAATGCACAGCACACAAGAATTATCAAAGGCAGATGTTATTTTTGTATGAAATCAGCTGATTTCAGTGGAGCTTCTAATCAGTGAAATGGATACATCAGTGGAAGCCCTACTATTATCACTAGAAGGGCATTAACAACATAGCAGAAGAATCTTAACCAGCAGAAGCTATAAGAAATCTCCTCTTCATGATGAATTTAGGGTATTTTTCAAGAATCACAAAGAATGTCAAGACCAGGAAAATTGCTGCTGCATTTTAAAGAACTCTTTAAAATGTTAGATCTTTCTAAAATTCTCCCTGCTCTGGCTTAACTTCAGGAGGCATATAAATCAGTTTCTGTTTCTTCCAACTTGTCAGTGAAGTGTGAAACATCAGGTTTCTTATTGAGTGCAAATTTTATCTGCGTTATCTTGTGCTTTCCTCTCTTTTATTGACTAAGGTTTGCTTTAAATGTGACCATGCTGTGTTTGTGTTAGTAAATAAAAACAACAGCCCAGCTTATTTATGTTCTGAGGACTGATATGCCTTACAGTCATTTTCCATGTTCGGTTTTAAAACATTTATTTCCTATTTGTGCTTTTTAAGCACAGCACTTGCGATCACCAGGGAAGAATCTATGAATTGAATTCCTCTATGTACATCCATGTTTACAGGGAGCTTGGGCATGCCGTTGTATCATGGGCCTCATTATTGTCCTGTGTTGAAGTTTCTGAGACCACTGTTTAGTATTTATCTCTGAAGTGTTGTACTAAACCAGAACTATCTGAAAAATGGGATAAAAATACAGCAAATAACAGAACAGCCCTCTGGCCACTAGAGAGCATCCAGGAAGCTGCAGGGTTTTTTGGAAACTTGCTCCAAGATCAGAGCTGAGACTCTGAGGTTAGAACAGTTGTGTCCCATCCTGCTCAGCCAGCACAGAAAGAACCATGCCAGCTGCATCTCCGCGGTCAGAAGAGCAACCTTGGAGATACAGTTTAGGGGGATTCTGGGAAGCAGGAAGGGGGATGGTCTACAGAGCATCTTAGCAGGACCTGAGCCTGCCTCCCTCCAGTTCCCAGGCAGTTTAGCTAGGTGGCTGAAATCAACTCTCTAGTTGAGTTGGAGAGCAGAAGAGCACACTTTGTCTCTGGACTCCTCCTGCTCACCATAGGATGCCCATAATCCTCCCACTTTGAAGCACTACCAGTATCTAGATTGAATTGTGTCCTAAGTAAATACAATAATGATTTAAAAACAGAAAGAGCTGGTGGTATTTGTCTCTTTGGTCCGGACACAGACGTGTGGGCTGTGAGCTAAATTTAGATTGCCTTGTCAGAGTAATTTGAAAGTCCATCTACAAGGAAGGAAGGGGGTTACTTAGATTTTTCCAGTGGCTCTTGCCAAGTTCCCTTTGCTGGTCAGAGAGCCAGCACAGGTATTCAGGTGTCACTGTCCTGTTATATCAATATCTGCTCTTTCTGTTATTCTCTTGGGACCCATTGCTCCAACAACAAGGCTTTAGCACTTCTAAAACCAACTCCAAAATAAGCTTGGTCAGCAGATTTCCTTGCTGTGAGCTCTGCTGACGTGCTCCATTCCAGAAACTACAATATCTGCTAGTTTCAGATTAATTCAGATTAAGTGTCAAAACCCTGCTGTGTGAACAGTGGGCTCATGAGTGCATAACAGCAATGGATATTACCCCGAGAAAATATTATATTGACACGCACCTCTACTTTTCCTCATGCTACATGCTAGAACTTCTGCTTTGCCAGGTCAAGAGCAAGTAGTATTAGCTGCAGTAAGTCAACTACTGTATTTTTCGCTCTATAAGACACACCTGACCATAAGACGCACCTAGTTTTTAGAGGAGGAAAACAAGAAAAAAAAACTTCTGAATCAAATGGTTTACTAAATTATTTAATAAACTATAACAGAATACAGTAATACCGTATTTCAACCTTGTAAAGTGAACAGCAGTCAACAGTGGCATTAAGAACCATCATCGCTGTCATTAACAAAAGAGAGACTTTAAAGTTTGAGTACCCTTCTAGTTTTCGTTGAACCCATAGAACTCATCATCACTAGAGTCAGAATTTATGAAGCTCTGTTGCTCACAATCACTGACATCACTTTCTTAGTCAGTAGTGGAAATATTGAAGGAATCCACAATCTACACCAGTTATACAAGAGCTGCTGCAGACAATTCAATAACAAATCTAAAAAAGCCAGTAATGTCCACGCTGCCGTACTAGTAAATAATAGAAAAAAACTTCTGACAAAAAATGAGATATTGTACGGTGAATCAAACACACAGCGGACTAAGTAGCCTTTGAAGAATAAACTTCATACACGAAGGTAATGCTGTTCAAATATCCACTGATCCTAAAAAAAAATGTGTCTGATCAACTAACAGATAACTGATCCATGGAAAGCTTCCTGATAATCACAGGCACATTCCCCATCACTTCCCCATGGGCTTCATTAAAAGACAGGTTGCCATTTGAAAACACACACCGACCTGTGATTAACAGCTCTCACCTGCGCCGGAGGAGGGGGGCGGAGCAGGGCGTGCCGAGCACATGCCGGCCAGGTGGTGCCACGTGGGGCCAGTAGCGTGCCTGCAGTGGTCTTCCAGGCAGTGTGGCGGTGGCGGCAGCGGCAGGTCTTTCCGGGCGGTGGGGGTGAGCAGTCCGTCTCTCCATGTGGCTGGCAGGCTCCTCCTCCTCCGCACCTCTCCCCCTGAGCGGCACAGCTCTCACCTGCGCCGGAGGGGGGGGGTGGAGCAGTGCATGCCAAGTGCGTGCCGGCCAGGTGGTGCCACGTGGTGCAGGCGAGCCGGCAGCATCCCGGGCGTCAGGCACACACACATTCGCTCTATAAGACGCACCGACATTTCCCCTTACTTTTGGGGCGAGGGGAGTGCGTCTTATAGAGTGAAAAATACAGTAAGTCCTGTGCATGCAGGCAACTCATGCCATGTGCATGGAAGGGACAGCATGTAGGAGAGTGTAAATAATTCACTGTCTCCTGAAGAATGGCAGGAATGAGAAAGCAAGTTGAGCAACAAGAGACTCTTCCCATTTATGACTGTCAAGGGGAATAGAGAGAAGAAGGCCAACCCAATTATTTCTTTCTTCTCTACTTCTTTCCTTGAACATATGGAGCAAGCACATCCTGGTAGAGTTGTTTTGAGGGATCTTAACTTCTTGAATGGCTTGATGCCTGTTTCAGCTTTTGGCTTTTACATGAAGGGAAAAATGTGTTGGCGGCATGTACACTTAATGCTATGCTCTTTGGTTTAGGGCCCTACCGGTGAAACTGGCCCAATTGGCGAAAGAGGTCACCCTGGTCCCCCTGGTCCACCAGGTGAACAAGGTCTTCCAGGTGCTGCTGGAAAAGAAGGTGCTAAGGTATGTGTTCATGTGTTCACTTGATGAATGACCATCAGTGCTATTCTCAAATATATACCATGTAGAATGCATTAGTATCTGTCCATCTGGCATTGATGCTCTAAGTTCCATCCTTCATTGAAAATACTGATTGATTAGATAGTCTACATTTTTTCTTCCAACTCTATGATTCTGTTTTCCTGTGTAATGACCTTAGTGGGCAATTTGTCACATTCAGCTACAGAGACCAATGTGAGATTTGCGATTCTATTTTTAAACAAGAGTTTACTCAAATTAGATCTCTTTGGGGACAATGTTCTGCTACACCTGGAATGTCACTGCCAAGGATGTCCTTTCCTGCAAACCTGCAGTTTTTCTCTTGCAGGATGATGGGAAAGAGAGCAGAGCTTCACCTAAGGATCTCGGTTTAGGAGGCAGCTCATATGTGTGAAAAATGCTCTTTGATACAGAATTAAGTCGAAGTTATGAAGGTCTCAAAAGTTCAATAGTAGCAAGATTTTGCATGTTATTTGGCCAAAGGCATGGAACATTCAGCACATTCTAGTCTACAGTGGTATCAACAGATATAATGTGCTTGCAGTGCAATTAATTAACTGATAATTTAGTCAAGGATATAAAACCACAGACTGGAGCAAAATGTACTGCAGCTTGAGGCCCTCCACTTAATAGTATAGATCCCCTGTCACTGTATTATAGAGCTAGATTGATAACAGGGAAAATGATAACTCCCATGTAACTATTTTTGTGATCAAAAGGAAATTATGGTAATAAAGGGACATTTATTAATAAAAGGTTAAGCATTAGATTTTAATTGGTAGGTCGATTTTTTTCTCTCTCTTTAAAGTTTGGAATAATTTTACATGGGAGTGGAAGTAGAATCTGTTTATTAAAGAACCCATTACAGTCCAGTGTACATAATGAACCACAGCTGGACTGTAGGCCTTATGTTTCTGAAATCATGTTTCGGAAATTATGTTTTCTCTTCTCCTAGGGTGATCCAGGTCCTCAAGGCATCTCTGGAAAAGATGGTCCTCCAGGTCTTCGTGGTTTCCCAGGAGAAAGAGGCATGCCTGGAGCTCAGGTACAGTATCTAGTCCAAAAGGTCTTAACTACTGAGGGAACTGTGTTCATCCAGGGTGCCTAGATCAAAAAGTTCTGCTCAGATTTTACTCTGATATTAAACATCAATTTAGATATATCTATTATATAGAAATAGCTAGGATATATGTTACAACACCAGTTAACTGCTAAGAATGGGGATTTGAACTAGGCTTCTTTAATTCAAATTCAACCTCCACCAATTCTCCAGCAAGCTGCTTTTTAAATTTGTCAAACATTAAAGAGCAGCTTGAAAGACAAAGCAGTACCGGGATGTATGCTAAAGGCACGTTTTTGGTTCTCCAGATTGGGGCTGTCATGTTTGCGCTACCTCATCTAACTCAGGAAAACAAAGCCCTCCAGAGGCAAAAGCACCATTCTGATTTTGTAGCCTGCCAGAGAATGCAAAATAGGAGAAATTAAACATCTCACAAGACACAGTAATTGCCTCATGGGTCGAGCTTGGGTTTGATCACAAGTTGTGCAATTGTGCAGTAGATCACAAACTGCTTTTTAAATGTGGGACCGATTGAAGAGCATTTTGTGATTTGAAATGTTGAGGTACTAGCCAGTGTTGCCCATGTGCTACTGGGAATGAGCGCTGATGAAATAAGAAACTAACTGTTCAGCATTTGACCAAAATCTAGCTCCAGGTGTTGTTCTCAGAAAGGACAAGTGAGGAGGGCTTGTGCTGTGAAGAGCTGGATTGTGGTTATACTAGTGTACATTCCCAGCAGTGCAAACGGATCGGTGCCGGTGGACTGCCACATGTTGGCCACAGCCTATGGTCCACCATTTGCAGAAAGAAAGCAAAATTTCTGCTCTTGCTTCTGTAGTAGGGATGTGCTGCAACAGGAAAATTTGGCTCATCTGAGCTTACCAGATTTCCTACACTTTGATGTGCAAGATGGACCAAGCTCTGCCATTCTTGTTAATGCAATTACAAAAACAGGCTCTTGAAAATACGTAGGTTTAGTGAGAATTGAACAATTAGTGTGAACCATACACTTCCCAGGTGCCTTTTTTGCATAAAATGGTACGTGTAATTCTATTAAAATTGTGTTTTTCTGGAACTGTTTATTTAAAAAAATCATTGGCAGATAAAGAACAACAGCAAAATTTGTGATCCATCTTGCAGATAAAAGACTGTGAGCTCACTTGACTCATTGTGCGGTTAGTTGGCTAAAGCAGAGTCCAGAGGACCAAACTGAGGAAATCTAACCTTTCCCCACCTGTGCAAATGAACTGCTCACACATCTCTATCTTGTGGATTGGGACTGTCATTTTCAATTAACAGGAATTTGGAAGGGCATATCTTAGCATTAGTAGTCAATTGACAAGGTAGCTTTGTGACAGCACCCTCGCTTTGCATGTAGATGGTCACAAGGTCCATCCTTGGCATCTCCTATTCTGTGGATTTCATGTCCTTTGCCCTGGAAGAGTTCTTAGAGATCCTGGACAGCCACTGACAGGCAGAATAGATGATGCGCAAGAACCTTGTAGATGTGCCACTCTACACACCATCACAACCCACCTATCCACTTGCTTCTCATTCTGGCCCAGACAACAGAAGCATTAAAGACGGAAGAGCTGTTGGTGTCACTGCCCACTTGCTCAGCAGCTCTCTCCATGCCAGAGGAGCCTCGAGAAATAGGATTGCTATAGCTGCTGGCAACAGCAGTGGTGAGCGGGTAGAGCGACTGATTGAGAGTGTCTTGCCCAAGGATCCTCAAACACTTGCAGGCATCACTGGGCCCCATTCCCTGCATTCACAGAGTTATCCATCCCTGCTAAGAATGTGCGAGGAATCAGTTTGGGGGGTGGATTGCTCAGAGTTCCTGGCAAGTGCACCCAGTGTCTCTGGGACACTTACCAGGAATCAAACCCCACACGCTGTGCAAGAAAAGCCCCTCCGGCAGCCTCCTGCCTACACCAAGCATGGCAGAAGGTAGGTTGCTGGGAATGGGCCTGGCCCAGCCACTCACAGTGCCCCGCTTCTGTTTGGGCTGCTGCAGGTAATAGCAACTTTGCTGGTTGTTCTCCTTTTTTAGGACCAGGCTGACACAAGAGCCAAGTCTGCAGGTGCTAAAGGGACAGATTCTAAAAGGGTTTCTCCCAACCCTAATCCCTGCCCTCAACATTGCAAAAGGGTGCTTAGTGCTGGCTGTCTTGATTAGTGGTTGGGTGTCAGGTGGTAGGAGACAACGTGTGGTTAATTAATCTAGATTTTCAATAAAAGCTTCTGGTAGGGAAAAGAAAATCCATTAAACCACTAAGGATTTTTCCCCCCGTAAGGCAGGTGGCCCAAACCTACAATGACAATCCTGGCCTGCTTGCTTGGACAGCCTGTGTGCTTCCAAGCCCATTTCAAGGTGCTGGTCTTATCCTTACATGGTTTGGGAGCACAATGGCTGGTGGAACACCTCTCTCTGCGCAGTGCAATTAAGATCTGGGGCCTGCCTCCAATGGCTGGCAACAACAAGGACAAGGGCCTTTTCAGTGACAACACCCCACTTATGGATCAAACTGATCCTCCTAGCACCAACATTAATTTCTCCTCCTCCTCCTCTTCCTCTTTAATGCCAGGTTAAGCCTGTCCTCTATGACAGTGCATTTAATTAGTTTTATATCATCTTGGGGCATTATGTCAACTGCTTAACAGGTCTTGGGACATAATTTGTCTAAGCTACTGTAGCTTTCTAAATCTGGTTTGGATTTTTTTAAAAAAATCCTATATTGAATTTCTATGAAGTTTTTATTATTTTGGATTTGTGTTGTATTTTTATTGTATTTTATCTGCTGTTGTAAACCATCTAGAGAGTTTCAGCTATTGGGTGATATAGAAAAAATAATGATTAATAATGATGATAGCTAAATTATCCATATATCACATGTTCAGATTCTATACACATGATCAACGAAATGTTTGATTGCTTCAAAAGGGTGTATAACCTCGGTCATCAGTGATGATGATGATGATGATGATGTTCCTGTTTTGGTAGGGTCCAGCTGGTCTGAAAGGAGGAGAAGGCCCGCAAGGCCCACCTGGTCCTCTTGTAAGTAGACTTTGCATGCTTAAGGACAGGGGAATGCTCCATGGCAACAATTACTATTATGAACAATGGCTCCCTTTCCATTTCTTTCATGCTGTTATGTGTATGTGCTCTTGTAAACAGTACAAAATCTGTGTCATTTGGATCCATCCCTCAATAGCAGTTTCCTGATGATTGTGGAAACTAATCATTCCATAAACAGAAGAAACTATCACCATATTGTATCTGAAACCTACTGTTAGTCACAGAGTGCAAATTGTCTTTCCCTGATGCATTAGATATTACAAGCCAAGAAAAGAACCAGCCTCTAGTGGCAGGGAATTGGAAAACATGGCTTATACTGAATGCTAAAGAGACTGCCATGAATGGCAATGAAGTGAGGGCCGAACTGCAGCTTATGGAATCCATAATTTGCAAATACCGTGCTGAAACCCACCACCTTTGTTTCGAAGAAAAGACAGCTGTGGAGCCATGGTCTGAAGGATGCTTTCAAGCCAGATCAGGGATCTGCCAAAATAATTGGCTCCTGACCTCTACATGTTTCTGTTTCAGATCCCCCAAGCCTTCCCCGGGACCTGGTCTCTTTCTTTCCTCATTTATCACAAGTTACATGTGGTTTTTTCCCTGTTCAAAACTTTCTAAAATAACCAAACATTGAAATGGCTTTCCTAAGACTTTTTACAGGCAGTAAGAACTTAAACCTTGGGTACCCTGGGTTTGGCTTGCTTCTTAGTTTTTCTTTCACCCCATGTGCTTTTGTCCCCATCAAGTTCTAGTAGTACCCAAACATTTCATTAGAATATAATTTAGCCAGTGGGCTGAGGGAAGCTCCCCCACTCTGTTGTGGACTACAAACTGGTAACCTGGGTCCAAAACTAGGAAGGTAAGCTGGAAAATTGCTACCTCATCAGTGCTGCAGACACCTGCTGTCCATCTCTTTCCACCCCCTGCTGTCATTGAGCATTTGCAAGCAGTTTGTGCTGGACTGTGCCACTTTTAGCTTTACGTAGAAGATTGTGTGTTTTTAAGTGTGTGTGTTTCCAGGCATAATCTCTGTTACGTGAGGGAGAAGAATTTTATGCTACCCCTTCCTCTGTGGTTCCCTTCTTAGGGGGCATCATCAAAAGCTATGTAAAGAGGGGCTCCTAACCAGCTTGCTCTCAGCTTGCTCTCAGTTTGTCCTGCTCAGAGTGTCGGTAAAACACACACAGTGGACAGAGCAGGCTTTGAGTCTAGAACCTCACTGTTTTTAATTTTTTTCTTTCCCTTTGCAGATATTTCTGACTGATTTTGAAGTCTAAAGCTTTTTTTCCCATCAAGTGTGTGGAAACAAACTAGCTAACCTCTGTGGGATGAGATTGTAATTGCCGTGAAATTTAATTCCCACTCTCTGGGAATCTTAATCAAAGAAAGCACTATTAATCCCTTTCTATGCTTTTCAGTCACGCTGTGTTAATATTTAAGGCCATCCCTCTTCTGCTGCCATCCTGTTTCCGAGTTGGGCATGCGGTCAGCTGTGCCAGAGAGAGGGAATGAGGGAGGGTGTTTTCACCTTTGTCATTAACAGTAGAAAGTTTTAAAAACAAATGAGCTTTTATATTTAGGGCACAAACCTATGCAATCAAAATTTAGACAGAAAGAAGTATGAACAATTCCCGTCATGCCCCAGCCAGCGTAACTTCATCCCATTCTCCATCATGCTTTGGAGTAGGCAATATTACAGGAGAGAAAATCTTTAGTCCAGTGTGATGCCGATAAAAACAATCCCATGGTGTAGGCATATTCAGTAAACCTTTGAGTATCTCAGGATCATGCTTCCTGTCCCATTCACTTGTACTATGCAAGTTACAAGCAAACACAAGGAGAGTTAAGTCTCTTTGTGCACAGCTGGGAGCTTTTCTAAAGGTTGTATTCTTTCCTTTCATAAAAATCCATGGAGGGAAAGTGGATGACCCAAGCCATACTTTGGAAATCTGGATTCACCTCCCTATGTTTTTTCTCCCTTTGCGTTCAAGTCTGCAAAACTCCAACTGCAATTTCAGACTTTTTTTTTTTAAAGGTAGCACTCTCACTATGGTATGGACTCATTCAAAAGTATCTTACACATCACACGTCATGGTAATGTGTCCCTCTGTAAGAGGCCTATGCAATAAACGTTCCCTTTTTGACTTGATGTGCATGAGGCCCTCTCTGTCGTATGGACACCACTGTAAAGATTACTTGGATTCTTTTCATATGTTACCATTTTATTGATTCTGGAGAGATCCATATCAGTAAGTTCCAAAATCTAGAATGGCAGCTAGCCACGGACTTTCATTATTTTCAGAGATTCACAGGATGTGTCTGTGGGGGACCTGCTTTCTAGCAAATAGTTTCAGACTCCCTCTGTACATCTGACATGTGCAGTATCCCCTATTGCAACATCATAATCCTCAGTGGCAGACAGGTCTGCCCATGAGCAGCAAGAAAGCAGTATTGAGATAATCCACCCATTCTGTGCCTGATAAGCTCCAACAGAAAGGAAAAAAAGCTATTCATTTGAACTTGTATGAATTCATCATAGGAAACCATGACTTTTCAGCAGATCTGGGAGAATGGTCACTTTACAAGAGGTGTTTGTTAGTTCGTTCCTTTGTTTATTTTAATATGTTCGCTTTCAGAATGTACCGTTTTTCATAGCAGTGTCTGCAGACAGACACATCCGGCTTTTTCACTCCATGCCACAGTGCTGTTTTCAAGTAGGTGAAAGACCCAAAGGACTATTCTGACAAGTTGTTACCATAGATATAGACAAAGATTCAGTTTTATGCTGAAAGTTGCAAATTCATTCCTTGGCACCTCTAGCTAAGAAGGATGTCAGATCATAGGGCTGATGAAGTCCTTTGCATATGATCTCAGAGAACTGCTACCAGACAGAAAACACGCCATACTTGGCAAGATGAGCCAATTAAGATGAGCCATTAACTCTGTGGTTTATGAGTTAAAGCACGGAAAGGTGAGTGCTGGAAGGAGTGTCATCTGCCAGTCTATTAGCAGGACCAGCCCTTCATTGTCTGGCATGAGTCGTTCTTGAATGGGCTGCCCAGTGATTCCTTCTTTTCATTCTAGGGCTCACCGGGGGAACGTGGCCCAGCAGGTACTGCTGGTCCAATTGGCTTACCTGGGCGTCCTGGCCCTCAAGGTCCCCCTGGGCCAGCAGGAGAAAAGGGAGCTCCGGTGAGTAATACTGAAGAGCACTTAAGACTGTGATATTACAAAAGTTATTACTTTTCATATCCAATAATATTAGTTCTTCACACTCCAATACCTTTCTATTGCATATGTGCCCAGCATACTCCATTTCTATTTACAGTAGCGAACTGCAAAAATTTAATTAAACTAGATGACATTTTTGGCACACTTTATCAGACCCTAAGGCCTGAGGAAAGGGGTTAAGCAAAGCTGATAATGATGAGCCTAGTGGTGGCGGCCTTTGATTATAAAATACTTTGTCAAACTGTAGCTTTGATTTAAACTTCATGCCCTACTGCTCCCTTTTACAAAGTGCCCCTCTAGTTTTCATTTTCTTACCAGATTTCATTAGTTCTCCTATCTGCTATCTTTTTATTCAGGTATAACTTGTAAGTGAAAACCTTTAAGCGAGCAGGTGAAAATAAACCTCAGATATAGGGAAGGTACTCAAATAGACCCTTTGTGTGAGATTTTTGTTAGAAGCTCAGTATCACATCAGTACACAAATGCCTTTATGTGTTAACTATGTAAAAGCATCTTCTGCTTTATCTAATAAAAGTAACCTATGCAGTTCTATGTCTACCCTTAATGGAAAATTCTAGTACTTTCCATCAGTAAAGAAACACACAGCCCAGGACTCAACAAATGAGCTAAGAGCCCAAAGAGGGTGTTTGTTTCTCTGTAATGACCGATCTGCCACTTTGTGTAGCAAGCTGCTTTTTGAAGATGTGGAGAGTTTCAAAGAGCACTTGTGGCATGGCAGAGTGGTCAGCATTTCAAGGGGAAATGTTTTAAAATTCCACCAGGGAGGACCACTGTGAGAGTAGAAATTAGGCATTATAAAAGAGCATGTGGCTGGTATTAAAAGTACACAGCTATGTACTTCTCTGTAAAGTCTAGATATCTAGCTGTGACATCCTGTTTTCCTTGCTTTCCCTGCATTGGGCTGCCACTGACTGGGGACTGTAAAAGACTTCAAGGATACTTGGATTCCAATGAGTTTTATTTATCATCACAGAGGAAGAGTTAAACGTCTGCACATTATTGTTGGTTGCAACAGCAAATGCATACATTATTTTGTAGCATCTATTTCTGTCCAGAGCCTAAGCAGTAATTTGAGCCTTGACTGAAAATTACAGATAAATAAGAATAGTTCTTACATATTAAACAAACACTGCTGCTACCCCTGAAATCTTCAACGTATTTTAAACAAAGACATAGAGAACACATCCTCCCCAACAACAGAAACAGGCATTATGAGTTGCCCTTCTCTAACCCTTTTTTGTAAAATATTATGAACTATTCCTGCTTTAGTAAGAGGAGCAGCTAAAATGTAAGGAACTGTTTTCTTTAATTGTAAGTTTCAACAAAACCATAAAAAGAAAAAGGGGTGATTTTAAATACTTTAGCTATACAAAAGCTTCAGCAAAGGCAGACCAACTACCCATGTAGGCATCCATTTGAGAGTGGTGCCAATATACCAATTACACAAATACTGAAAGCATTGTTAGATCCCCCTTCCTTGCATTACAAAATGGGAGCATTTATCCTTCCAGTGCTTTAATATTAGGTTCTTAGTTATCAAGCTGGGTTGTCAGATCTATTTGTGTTGACCATGCATTAACTTCCAGGAAGAAGGGAGATTCATGCCAATTAACCCTAAATGGGGAAAGCTAAAATTTAGAAAAATGCAAAAATACTCATATGGTGGATCTGAATGGTTATGCAGATGTTTATACTGGATCGGTTAGTGGGAGATGATGGTGACTTGGTGTTATTTTCCACTCTGGATGCCAAATTTGGATGCCCGTGGTATTTTGTTAGACTCTAGGTTCAGTCTGCAGATTTTGCTGATTCAGAGTCAATTTTGCTTTTTTGAAATACTTGCCAAGGCTGAACCTCTCATATGATCTCATAAATACTTATTGTTAGTGAACAAATATGACATGCCATGTCTTGAGCAGGAATGGAAAAATGAATTAGATTGCCATATTTCACATAACCAGAGGAATTCTGCAAAGTGTATATTCCTAAAGTGCCATAGGATCTTATGCTGTGTCTGCATGCATACAAGTACAGAAGAGGGGTTTTGCAGAAGTCTGACTCCAAACTGGACTATAATTTAAAAACCATTAATGAAATGTGTGTAAATCAGCTCCCAAAATCCACATGGCTTTAGCACAATTTGTGTAAAATTGGACAATTTGCACAAATTAAAAATTGCAATTTGTGCTAATTGGCTGATTCTGCACAGTCACACTGGTTTGCGGGTGCTTATTTGAGCAAATTTCATTAGCAGTTTAAAAATACTTAAATCAGTCTTCATCCTAAAGACAGAAGTCTGCAAGCTGTCTTGACTCACCCAGCACAGTGAGTTGGCACCTAATGAACCAGAGTCTGAAGGGTGGGGAATTGTGAAAATCCATTGCATTGTGAATTGTGTTGTCCATTGCATTGCAATTGTGAAAACTGTGAATTGTGAAAATCCATTGCATTGTCCATTGCATTGCAATTCACAACGGAATTGTGAAAATCCACTGCACACTCATCCTCTATTGGATTCCTCACATATCCTTAATTCAGTTTTTTAAAATCCTCTAATCTAAACTGAAGCTCAATCCAGACAAGACGGAGGTCCTGTTGGTTGGCAGGTCGGACTTCGGAGAGGATGAATTGAACCTAGTCCTGAATGGGGTTGCATTCCCTCTTAGGGACAAGGTCCGCAGCCTGGGAGTGCTCCTCGACCCAGAGCTTCATTGGAAGCTCAGGTGACAGCAGTGGCGAGGAGCGCTTTCCTTCAGCTTCGGCTGATCCATCAGCTGTGCCCCTACCTGGAGTACGACTGCCTGGCGACAGTGACACATGTGCTGGTGACTTCCCGCCTTGACTTCTGTAACGCTCTCTACATGGGGCTACCCTTGAAGACGGTCCGGATACTTCAATTGGTTCAAAATAGAGCTGCCAGGCTGCTGACGGGGACTGGGTGTTATGTTCACATGACTCCAGTCCTCCGTCAGCTTCACTGGCTTCCCATTGAAGTCCAGGCCCAATTCAAGGTGTTGGTGATGACCTATAAAGCCCTAAACGGCTTGGGTCCTGGTTACCTGAAGGAGCACTTACGTCCATATATGCCCGCCTGCCCCCTGAGATCAGCAGGAGAGGCCCTTCTCCGGGAACCCTCTGTGAAAGAAATTAGGAGACTAGGTACTCGGAGGAGGGCTTTCTCTGCGGTGGCGCCCAATCTATGGAATGCGCTCCCCAGAGAGGTCCACCTGGCGCCGTCGTTATTTGTTTTTCGGCGCCAGGCGAAGACCTTTTTATTTAAGCGTCATTTTAATTGTTAATATTATTTGCTTATTTTATCTGGCCAGGGCGATTCATTTTATATTGTTATTTCTTGTATTTTAATTTTATGTTGTGAGCCGCCCCGAGGCTTTGGCGAATGGGGCGGCATAGAAATGTTTTAATAAATAAATAATAAATAAACCATACACAAATATAGTGAGATTTGGCTTGACTGTGTTGAAACTTACCCATAATGGTTTCTTGACAATATAGTTTTCCTTATGTACATGTAGAACATATGTGTATAACCTCCAAATATATACACAGCAACTGATTCATTCAACTTTTATGGAAAGTAGACTGTTTTGGTGGAGTGGTATAACTTTGTTTATTAAAAATAGTGTTCCAGTGCAAAAATTATTTATATTACAGCATCCTCACCAAAGGAAACAGCTATTGGACTTTGCCAGAACATATGATTAAAGGAAGCATTAGCTGAATCTCACCACCAACCGTTAGAGAAAAGCTTCTTAAAGAGACACTGGTGCACCTGATGGACTTGAAACAACTATTTTTATTGAATAAGGGGTAACCTGAGGTCTGTTGAAGCTTCAGGTATAAACACTAAAGTGACAATCCATTGATTAGGCAGAGCTGGACTATCCAATATGCTGTTCCAGTCCTGCTTAAGACCCTACGTATTTTTATTATTAAAACGTTTCTATGCCGCCCCATTCGCCAAAGCCTCGGGGCAGCTCACAACATTAGGTTAAAATACTTATCATATTTGTTCCTTGATAACAGGTCTATGTAAACATGGAACATAGATTGATGTGGCTAATTGGGAAATACCTCAATTAGTATATCCACTCAGGGAGGAGACTATGAAGCTGTAAAGGCTGCAGGACCAAACCTCAGTTCTCACAAATGGTTCAGTTTCAAGTGTTGCTAGTCAGCTACGTATATGAGGCAAAATGAATTTGGAATGCAAATCTGAAAATGACACCAAAAATATTATGACCTCCACTAATCGATCCAAAGTTAAGATCAACTTACACTTTTTTATTTTTATTTATTGTATATTCCCTAAGTCCTTAGGCCATGGCAAAATTAAAACAAGCATATACAATCAGTCAAAAAACCTGTCCTAATATATACAATTGATTAAAATTAATATATAAAATTACTTGAAACAAGTTAACATTACTAAGATGCAGATAGATAGAATAAGCCGATCCCAGTGGCATCGGTAGGGTTGTCAGGCTACAATCATGTTCTCCAAACATTCTTAAGGATTTGCTGTGATATATTCAACAGAGATCTCCCTACATCTGGCAGCCATTACCACAAACTTACACACCCAAGCCCATCCCAAAAGCTTTTCCTCACCGATTTAGAAGTCTGGATTTCACCATAATTTAGCATATGAAAATGCATCAACATATAATTGATGTAATGTTATTGGACACATGTCTCTAGAAGTCTTAACTATGGAAGAGCCCTATCCGTTTCATTATGTCAAGAGGCTAATGTATCCATCAGGAAAGAGGATCCAGACTAGAAGATTCCATGGACTGACCAAGGTGGAACATGTCATTTTAGTGGGAAAGACCAATATTTAGTACCAGTAAACAAATAGATTGGATGATCTAAAGCAAGATATGGAAAGCCAAATCCACCTACTTTGATGGAAAGTACCATCCTTTTCAAGGATCTTCATGGTGCAGAGATCCCTGCACACCCTTTTATGAAACAAACAACATTGGACAGGAGTTAGATCTGATGGCTTTATTGTCCCTTTCCAACTCTGCTCGTCCATGATTTGATGCTTCCATGGTTTCTTTAACACCCAAGGGCAATTAAATTACTCTGGATGAACGCTTTAACTTTATTTCTATTATTATTTATCTCCATGCAGCAAAATATGACAGTGTGCGATGCTGCAAGGCGCCTGCTCCGTGCCTTCCTTCAGGGCCCTCCATTCCATTCCGTTCCATTCCTCCTCCTCTCAAATTTACTGACTTTACACTAACTAAATAATATTGACAACATTTATCTCATCAACTGTAAAACTGAAAAATTGTATTCATGAGATTTCCCACTTCCTTTCATATATTTTCATTTATGCTTCTGTCTGTAATCTCTAGCAGCCTATATTATCTGTTTCTTCATTTCTATTTTCTGTTTATTATTTATAATGCACTTATCATAAAAAGTATTGAAATCCTGAAATGCAGACAATGGTTGCTGTAACAGCTTAAGCTGTTTTGCAGTGTAACATCCTGAGTTTTGTAATTTATATGTATGAGTCCTTATCTTGACTGAGAGAGCAACTAGCAGAGAAGTTCTTAGGAAACTTGAATGCTGTGACTTTGAATGTGTCAAAGTGGGACTCTGAATGCAACATTTGGATGGTTTATGTAAGAAAATCATCACGAGAACCGGAACTAATCCCACTACAGCCAATCAGTGATCTGAGAGTCAGTTGTTTGCAGCAGCTCACACATCCAGTTTGTCTGTTCTTGCAGTCTGCTGAACACATCCAGACTGGACTACTGTGCTGCATTGCTTGTGATGCTGCCTTTGATGATTATGCAGAAGCTTCCATTCGTGCCAAATACGGCTGCTTTATAGCTAAGTGGAGCTGGCCCGTAGCAAGTTTCTCCATAGCTTTGAAATGACACCACTGACTGCTGTATTCCCAAGCACAACCCAAAGCTTAACTTTAAAGCACCGTGCAACATGCTTATACACCAATATAAGAACAGCGAGAAACAAAAAGCAACAATAGAGTACAGAAAACAGCATTTAAATGAAGCAGTGAAATCAATTTATGGATAAAGCACAAAGGCATAAGAAGCTTTTCATCCAGCACTGAAAAGGTATCAGAGTTGGGACCAGATGAGCCTTTGTGGGACACCGCAGAAATGCAACTGGGCAAGCCAGCCAAGTTCAGATGGCAGCTAAACGTGGAGAAGAGCCCTCAGAGGTGATTATAAAGTTACAGATGTAGAGAGACATCTGGAAAATAGCGAATTGTTTAAGGCCATGAAGAAAGTTCATAGCTAGCACAGATACCTGGCCTGTACTTGATTCATTGCAGCACTTTGAGATGTGTGGATGCCAACATGCTTGGTTGGCGCATCTCTTTTACGGGGTTCAGAATTCTGCACTCTTCTTGTTAACAGTATGAATAATCCCTTCTATTGAAAACAGGGTGAAAAAGGTCCTCAAGGCCCAGCTGGACGTGATGGAGTACAGGGACCTGTAGGTCTTCCAGGTCCTGCTGGTCCTGCTGGTTCTCCCGGAGAAGACGGTGACAAGGTCAGTTGCTGTTGACCACAATTACGTATTTGTTTCTAGCTTTCAAAATTCTGAAACTGTGGCACCTACTAACTGATATATTATGAAATAATATTTTATGGACTGGTGCCTTCTTCATTAGCGGTATGAAATGTTCTCCTCAGTTGGCTGATACACAGAAATAGAGAAGCAGAGGGAAATGGTGGTAAAGCATGGAGTATGAACGCCATGCAATGCAAGTGGTAGAAGTAGATGTGTCAAATTATTAAACCCATCCAAAACGTAGGTAACGTAACAACAGTGTGACTCACTCCCAACAGCTGTACTTATTATGCATGAAATACTGTGGGAAGTATCCAGTTTGGCAGGGCCGCTAATGTGAACTACATCGCACAAGCACAAGCAACCCTTAGTGTAATGCCAATAGCATTTGTTGGTACAACAGATTTCCCCATTGTGCCAGCAAACACTGCTTGGTGTTGCACTAGAGGGTTCTTACAATACTTAAACATAATTTACATTAGCACTAGTACCAAACAGAATACTGCCCTATGCAAGAAGCCATTCCTATTCTAATGATAAATATTCTGGATGTAAAAATGAAAAGAATTGTTCAAGTTGTTTCAATGGAAGTCAAACATCAGGTTTCCATTCAGTTCAGGTTTTATGCTTAGGATTTAAACCTTTATAGGTTTAAATCTTTTAAATCTTGTTAGCTAGTATCCCTTGCTTTGTTCAAAATTCCCCTATGTAGACCACAAGAACCTCATGAATTCTGGTTGAGAAGCTCTCAAATGGCTACTTAGGACAGCTCTGTGCAAGGGCAGGTAGCACTTTTCTGAACATAGAGAAGACTGTTGCTGAAGGTGATGCGACAGAGTCTTTGTGGCTCACTGTATAAGCACAGATCCCATCATCTTTACCATCCTATCTGGTATAGAAGCTTGCATTGTTCTGTAGTGCAGACCTTGTTCTCCTCCATCAGACTCCACTTGGCCGTGCAACTAGCTTTTTGAACCACCCAACTGAGAAACACCAGCAGGTAAAGTTGTAGAAAATAATGGGTACAAAACCAACTTCATGCCATCTACAGCTCTCTCAAATACTACAGCCATCATCTACCTCCATCATGGTACGGTGTCTACCACAAATATGTCCTGTGCTGCCTAGACTGCCAGCTTGCATAATATTTCTGATGTTCTACTTGAAAAGATCTTTGAGTGTGGGGAAAGAAGCGTTTTGTGTAGGACCCCAAAATACTAAATTTGACCTGGTAGGAACAAGGGCCAATAATAAAATAAAGCAGCACAACTTGGTATCTACATGCCTCTGATGAAGCAAACATATTATCATTTGGCCCCAAGTACCTATAAAGAGAACTTACTAGTTCATGCATCCCTAAAGTGTATATTTACTCATTCTCCCTAATCTGGTTCTCACAGTCATATCTTGATTATTAATCTGAGATTTGAGCAAGATTTGTACCCATGCATCCCACCCCTTTGCTCTTCTCTTTCTGACATGTCTGAGTGCAACATGGAAGTCTTAAATTAGTCAAAATTTCCCTGTTCATCTGAACCAAGAAACTGTGGTTCCCACCTTAAGGAGACATCAAGTTCAAGTCACGGTTTAGTATCATGACATGTTCCTAAAGCTTATAACCAGAGTTTGCTAGTTTTGATAAAATGGGGCATTATGGCTAATTGGAGGGTTCATTATTAAATCATGGTTCATGAGAAGGAAAGAGCAAAGGGCCAGTGCATACATGCAAAACACTTCCTTGTATCACAGCTTATTAAGCTGAAATATGCTCATATGAATGTAGCCATAGTCATATAAATTCAGAAATAATTATTTAGTTAGTATCTGAATCATTAGAATTTTGCACACAAAACCAAGAAGCTGCCCTTTGGTTGATCACAATTAGAGTCACATTTTTGTTGGGGGAGGAGTGAGGGCTTAAAACAAATACCGAACTGTTTCCTTCATTTAAAATCCAATTAAATTTCACTTCAATACAAGGCCATGTTGTTCTTTGAGCCGTAGTACTCAATACCAGTACTAATCAGTCATACCCAAGTGTGATTGATCAATGCAAAATGGTCCTCCTTAAGTCTGTGCTTATAAAAAGGTGGCATGAAGTGAAGAGAATAATAAGGTGACATTTAAAGGCACTTTAAGATTGACCACAGTTAACTGAAAAGCCAGCCATTCTAAAAGAGAAATATAATGCCTTTCTTTCTGTTACAGGGTGAAATTGGAGAACCAGGGCAGAAAGGAAGCAAAGGTGACAAGGGTGAAAATGTGAGTGTTTTGTTTCTTTTCTTCTGACTTTTGCCTTACTATATTGCTTGATTTTTTGCTTGGGAGTAAATTAATGAAAGCATGCACCAAAAACTGATAGACTGAGCAAGCAGGCGAGAGGCCTGTGTTTTTCTGAGACATCAATGTTTCAGACCAATAAAAGTAAGGATCAGTGTTCCATTTTAGCACGTTTGAATGACAGAGCTGCATGTGGCGCAAAGTTGTCACCTTCTGTGTTCTTGGGGGCCACTGTCCTTGAGACAAGGAAGCATATGTTGCTCCAGAATTCAGCCTCTTTCGGAATGGTCAGGGTCTTTTATCAAGACTAGTAACAATGAGTATTTCTGCCATGGTGCGTTTGGGCATTCTTGAAGCCTGCTGTCATGATCTCTCAAAGACTGACTTGTCTCCACCAATTATGAACCTGACCAGTCACTCGGATTGTCCATGGAAGTGTTTGTCTGTGTGCTTTGTTTCCTCTGAAGTGAGTCAGATGGCCATGTCTGACAGGATCTCTCCTAAACTTTGAAACACCTTCAGGAAAGGGCTTTAAGGTGTTTAGGGTGGTGCTGGCCAGACCAAAAGTGGTAATAACCAGCCACGCCCTTCCAAATCTTTCCCAGTGGAAAGTTCAAGGGGATGAGGGAATGTTCCCAGTGGGACGTCCCTCTCCAAAAGATCCCTGAACACCCATGAGCAAGCAGTTCCTCTGGTCTCTTTGGCAGAGAAAATGTTTCCCCACCACCTGCATTTTCCCTCCTCTGCAGCAGATAACGCCAGTGGAGTTTGGATCTGTGTAGTACCAAATAATCGCCATCCTTCTTCCCAGATCTGGAGCTGGGGAAAGTCTAATTTTGCTGTACAACTGCCTGGACAGTCTATCCTTCCCAGCTTGAAGTTGGGAAAAAGTCCTCTCACTTGACATGCCTGATGGTAGGTGGCATCACACTTGCCAAACCAAGATCAGTGAGCACATGTAAGGGAACCTGCCCTGAAGGTTTGCTTATCTCACTTCTTCCTGGACATCCAGCAGATGCTAAAACATTTATATAATATAGAATGAAGTTTGAAAATGTGGTAGTCAAGCTGCCATTGGTTTGCTGCTGCTTGTAGATCTGTTTGATTTGCTTGCAATTTGTTATTGTTGCTCTCTTGGCAGAAAGATTTTATCTTGCTGTGAACATTTCTGCTGATTTGGTTATGTATTGGATGATGGATATTTTTTCTCTTTGATTTTCTTTTTAATTTTGTCATTATCTTGGGCATCCTAAGGATGGGATACAACCATCTGTTAATAAATTAAAACTTGAAATGAATTTCAAGTGGAATTGCTTTGTCTTTTTGAAAACAAAGCCACTTTCTTTATGAGGAAACTCAGAACAGACTTTCTATAATGCCATGATTCAGATTTGAATACTCCTTGTTTCTTTGTGATTGTTGACAGTCGTCACATTTGGGAGACATGACACATCCCTGTTGTTGATACACGGTTGTGTTTGCATGTCTTTCACAATAATGTTGTTATTCTAATTTGTTCAGGCATCTCTTCATAGAGACACTCATGTCAGCTTTCTCTCCTAGACTCTTGTGCTAAATTTAAGTTTTAATTTCATTTTATCTGATTTAAATCCCACTTATTTCCTCTTGCAATGAACCCATGAGGACTTAATTGGTTCCATTCCACTCCATATTTATCCTCACAGCAACTCTGGGCAGTAGGTTAGGGTGAGTGACTGGCCCAAAGTCATTCAGTGAGCTTCATGACCAAGGGTGGACTAGAACCCAAACCTCCCAGGTCCCCAGTCCAGCACTCTGACCATCACACACACATATGCGCTCAGGCTGCTGAGCATCATTTTAAAACCAGTGTTCTGTACACATCCCAGCATGGCTCAAAAATAGCTGTATTGGAAATGCACTTTGCTAGGAAAAATTAAACGGTCTTCATGTAAAGTACCTCCTGGACCACCTTTTTGAATAGATCAGGTCAATAGATCAGGCTTGCATTACAAGAGATCTGGGCAGGAGTGGGGGGTGTAGCCCTCTCTCAGCTGTGCCTGCCCGGGTATCTAGTTCAGCACCAGTCACATCTGGAGGGGAGGGGAAGGGGGGTCACTTTAATTTACCGAGCTTCTATTTCTCTCACAGGGCTTCCTGTTCTCTCGAGACCAGGTCTATAGTGCTTATTCCTGGTGCTGGGCGATCAAGACAGATTGGGGATTCTGCTGGTGTACCATGCACCCTTCTGCCCATCAGACTTCCTGCCTGAGCTGATGGGGATTGTCTTGGACCTGGTGTTGAAGAGCCCCAGGATGTTGGTCCTGGGGGACTTCAATCTTCATGCTGAGACTGTTCTGACCGGGGCAGCTCAGGACTTCATGGCCTCCATGACAGCCATGGGGCTGTCTCAGCATGTCATAGGCCCAACCCGTGAACGTGGTCACACGCTGGACCTGGTTTTCTCAACGGGGCAGGAAGAGGGTGATTTGAGGGTGAGGAATTTGTGTCTGACTCCCTTGTCATGGTCAGATTACTTCCTCATGATATTTGAGCTCAGAGCTGGCCTTTCCCTCTGTAAGGGTGTGGATCCTGTTGTGATGGTCCACCCTCAGAGCCGGATGGATTCGGATGGATTCCTGAAGGCTCTGGGGGATTTTCCAGTTGATAAAGCTGGTGCTCCTGTTGATGCTCTGGTTGAACTGTGGAATGGGGAAATGGCCAGAGCAATTGACACCATCGTCCCTAAGTGTCCTCTCCTGTCACACAGAGCCCGTCCATCCCCATGGTATACATCTGAATTACGGGCGATGAAGCGGGTTGGGAGACGACTAGAGTGTAGGTGGAGGAAATCACGGGATGAATCTGACCGAACATGCTTATGTGCTCATTATTGAGCCTATGTTGTGGCGGTGAGGGCAGCGAAGAAGAAATTCTTCTCCGCTTCCATTGCTTCCTCACAGTGCTGTCCAGCAGAGCTTTTTCGAGTGTACATGGGTTGATATGCCCTGGCCCTAAGAAAGGTCCTGTACCACCATCAATGGTCCGTTGTGACGACTTTGCCCAGCACTTCAAGGAGAAAATCGCTCAGATTCATCATGAACTGGACTCCACAAGTGATTCAGATCCCTTAGGGGAGACACCAATGACCCCTTCTGGTCAGGTATTAACGAATGAATTTCAGTTAATGCAGCATGATGGTGTGGACAAGGTGCTTGGACAAGTACGTCCTACCACCTGCTTACTCGATCCTTGCCCTTCGTTGCTGCTGACCAAAGCCAAACACGGGATTGGTTCCTGGATCCTGGGGGTTATTAACGCCTCTCTGAGGGACAGCTGGGTGCCTGCTCCTTTAAAGGAGGCAGTACTGAACAGTGGCTGTACTGAACCGGTGCCTGGCTGAGGTAATGGTCTGGATGAGGCCCAATAAACTGAAATCAATCCAGATAAGATGGAGGTTCTGTTGGTGGGTGATTCGAGCTCCTAGGTAGGTGACTTGGGCCTTGACCTGGACAGGGTTGCACTCCCTCTTAAGGGCAGTGTTCACAGCTTGGGAGTGCTCCTCGACCCGGAGCTGTCCTTGGAAGCCCAAGTGACGGCGGTGGCGAGGAGCACTTTCCTTCAGCTTCGGCTAATCCATCAGCTGTGTCCCTACCTGGAGGAAGATTGCCTAGCAACAGTAACACATGCATTGGTTACTTCCCGGTTGGACTTCTGTAATGTGCTTTACATGGGGCTGCCCTTGGAGACAGTCCGGATACTTCAGATGGAGCAAAACAGAGCTTCCAGGATTCTGTCGGGGACTGGGCATTATTCTCATGTAACCCCAGTCTTCTATCAGCTCCACTGGTTTCCCATCGAAGTCCAGGCTCAATTCAAGGTGCTGGTTATTACCTATAAAGCCCTAAACGGCTTGGGACCAGGATACCTAAAGGAACGCCTTCCTCCCTTTTTGCTCTCCCGCCCCCTGAGATCAGCAGCAGAAGCCCTCTTCTGGGAACCCTCTGTGAAAGATATTAGGAGACAGAGTACCCGGAGGAGGGCTTTCTCTGCAGTGGCACCCCATCTATGGAATGCGCTCCCCAGAGAGGTCCGCCTGGTGCCGTCGTTATTTGTTTTTCGGTGCCAGGTTAAGAGCTTTTTAGTTAATCAATATTTTAACAAGTTTTAATATTGAATTTTATTACCATATTTTAATTGCAGCCAGAGTGGGTCGTTAATTTATTTTTGTTATACTTTTATGTATTGGTATTTTATTTGTGTAAGCCGTCCTGATGCTCTTGCAAAGGACGGCATACAAACAAACAAACAAATAAATCACTGTGCAGTGTAATCACTCATTTTTCTATCACACACACCATTCCATCAGTCTGCAGCAGAGGGAGAGATGGTAAGAAAGGCAACTACATCAACTTGGTTAAAGGTGTAAGAGAGCAATCCTATACATGTCTGGATAGAAAATATCCTATAACTCCCAGCTTGCCCAAGTGGGCAATGCTAGCTTGAGAGTACTGGGAACTGTTTTCTGCTATACATCACTGGACTGTGCCCTACTATCTTTGATTTTTCCTCAGCTGTCACTAAGTGCCATTCCATCAGGCTGCAGGAGGGAGAGGATTTAGGGAGAAGGAGAAGATTCCATTGGTTCTTTTCACTGTCTATTTGTGACACTTCCTTTCTGACATTTTTTCAGGCAGTTGGCTGTTATAATCCTGTTTTAACTTCAGAACCAGTGCCTCAGCTTGGTTTTTCCTTTCTCCTTCCCCATCCCTGTTCCCTTTTTCTTTTTTCCCCATGCTTTTAGAGTGTAACCCTGAGAGGAGGGCTTGCTCTGGGGAACTTCTTTTAAAAATTCAAGATTTAAAAAAGTTTGTAGATAAATGGGTAAATAAAATGGAAGTTTGCATGGGAAATTTTGTCTAACGATAAGGCTTGTTTAGAGTTCCAGTGGGGAAGTATGGGCCAAATCCAACAAGGATCTTCAACCCTGCCAATTCCCATCCAAAAGTAGCACCCACCACTTGCAGATCAAAGATGTAGCACTTCAGGGACAACTGAAAATGAGCAGAATGATGCATTTTTGGAAAAAGACAGATCAATGGAGTTCATGTAACAGAACTCTGCCAGTGTGTTCAATTGAGAAACACCTATTTCTCCTCCAACAAACAGTAGCACCAAGTCATGGATCCCACTTGCAGAACAAAATCATCACCCAACACTTGTGCAACAATTCTTTGGGACATAAGGGAATAGACAGGGTCATAAGTGCCTCGTTGGATTCTTCTGTATGATTTTAATAAGCAGTGTTAATTTTGGATAAAATCAAATTTTATTTTTTCCTCTTTATACCTCTCAAAAAGGTCTGATGTATTTTTAGCTTTGGAAAAGCCAGGAGACACCATGAGTCATATTTGAATCGAAATCCACTTTTAAACATTGTGAAATACTGCAAGCTTAATTACCATGGATAAATGTCAGTTTTATATGTATTGTAGACAAGCAAGTCTAAGACTTTGGGATATGAACAAATAATGCTTCACTGCCTTGAATGTAAAAGACCTTGGAGTAACAACACCATCTCTCCAAAGAAATGTGAAGAAGCTTATTAGGCTTGAATAATGCAAAATGCCCTCCTGCGGATCCACTGCTCATCTGACTTGAGATGCTAGCATTGCCGTCTTTCCCTTTTCTTTCAGGGTCCTCCTGGACCACCAGGTCTTCAAGGTCCCGTTGGCGCTCCTGGTATAGCTGTGAGTATCTTGCTCGTTATGCATAACAAATGAGTACTTTCTCCTGAAGTCTCATTAGTTATACCAAAACTTCAGACATAATTTATGTAGCCTAACATGGAGAAGATCTTAAAGCACATCCGCAAGGCATCTGTCTCAGTACATTCCCATGTTTACTACAGGCTTCTGTCTTAGGTCAGTGGCTTGCAGTTTCAGTCTTCCACAAGTGTGAAAATTCAAAGGCATACACAGCATCAAAATATGGGGATAACGCCCTGGACAATGTTACTTCCAAGAGATGTTAATGAACGCATGTGGAAGCATGGTTAATATTCACAGAAAGTTGTTCGGTTTACCATCACTCAACGATTCACAGTTGAATGTCTGAATTGGCCACATTGAAAAATGATGGCATTGGCCCTGTTCGGATCGCATGGCGGCCAACATAGCCACATAGTGAGGGTGCATCTTCCAAGGCCGAATGACGTGCCCGATGTTGGTTGCAGACTTGTCCCTCCCGCTTGATCCTTCTGTAGGTATTCCATGGGGCACTTCTGGAGAGAACAGCCTTTCCCCTTCACTGCTCCCTGACACAAGCACTTTCAGACTCACCACAGCTGTTGTCCCTTATTTTTTTATTTTTTTTAGGGTGGTAGGGTGGGAGATCAGGAAAGGCAGCTGTTAAGTCACCTTTCACAATTCCCAATTTGGCAACCATAACTAGTCCCCACAAGGTGCCAGCACAATCTTAATCATTATTGCACAGAAAAATGTGCAAAATGTTTTTAGATGATCCAATTTCTCTAAATGTGACCATTTCCATAAACGCAAGGGATAGATTTCTGCCCTTGCCTGGAACATTGTCCATGGGGAGCCCCACTGCAAAAGTACAGCACACTCCATCTGGATATTGCCCCAGTTGAAGGCTGGAATCCATTTCTCCCTGCTCAGAGCAACCTATCCAAGGAAAAACAAACTGCAGGGGAAGGATCTCTTGCTGAGGGGTTTTGAAATGAAACATACCCAGTCCAATCTACCCCTGTCCCACTCAAGCCCCTCTTAAAGGGATCCTGAACTTGGACAGCCACCTGTCAAACTTGGTTTCCCTTTTAAAAGGTGTGGAGGTGAGAAGTATTAGCTTTTCCTGAATTACTCCTCTATGTGGATGAAGGCAGGTGGCAAAGGAAAATAAGAGGATTGTGCGGAGAAGGGGTCGTAAATTGCTTAAATCCCCATTTTCACACCCAGAGTGGGCAACCTCCTTGCTATCCCCCTGAAAAGAGTTTAAGAGGGTTTTGACCCTCTTCCCGAATGGTTCCTTCAGTAGTTTGTGTTGATAAATGATGGCTTGTGTTACCATGTTGTGTTGACAGCAAGAAATGACAGTCTGGGTTTGGATGACAAACAAACCCCACAACTAGGGCTATAAGCCAAACTTAAGCCACCCTGACAGACCCATCAAATGTTTCATGGCCTGATAAACCACCATAGCTTATCAACATCAGTGGTTGCTGAGCGATGCAAAATCGCTCATTGCCTAATTTGAAAAGTTCTTCCCAGGGTATTAAGTATGTAATGGCTTGTTCACAAATCACCTGATGTTGCCTTCATCAGTTAATGAACATGCATATTAAAATCAGTTCCAGGTTTGCTGATAATTGTTGCTGATGTTTGTTAGTTGAACGGCTATTGGCAACATTTAAAATGGGTTTCTTCTAGTTTAGGATTAGCATCAGTGAACTTTTTAATTTTTTGCATAGTTAAATAAAGGGTTGATGGCAAAGAAATGGCTACAGTTAGTACACTAAGTGAGTAAGCTAGTTTTAGCATGAAAGGGGTCCCCCAACCTTTCCTTTGGATTACTTGGAAGACCTGATCAATGAACCCACAAAATAGGGTTTTGATGGGTGTTTTTTTTTTTTAATATAGTGCAGGTATAACAAACTAAAGTCCAATCTGATGGATGTTTAGACAGGAAAAGCCCTGTAAGTCTCAGCTTTTCTTGGACAACATGGTTGGAGGACTCTTTTTGTCTAAAAGACATAGGATCGCACCTTAATTGATTCTCCTTTCAGGTCATTTTCTGAGCAATAAAATGTACCACTTTTCTGGGGAGTATTGAAAGATGGTGCAGTACTGTGGAATTCATGTATTTTCCCTGCTCTGAAACCGAAACAGTATTGTCCCCTTCCTTGACAATGCATCAGCTGTGATACTGTTGTGTGGAATGGGCCCTGTTGAATACTATCTATGATGTTGCTGTGGCAAGCAACCAAACACCCACACCATTTTATGACCTCTTTAAAAATGTCTGTTTCGCAAGCTAGTAACTTTTATGGACTTATTTGCAAGGATGGAATAAAGGTTGCAATCTTCCACACTGTTTGGCTGCTTAAATGCAACTGAAGTCAATGGGATTTTTATGTGGCCTACAAAATTGCCATCAAAATATGTGCTGGATGTCTGCACCCCACCCAGCCACTTTCTTGGGCCAGATCCTTCTACAGACTAACACAGTTTAAAAGTTAGAAAGCTTATGTTCTCTTAACATAAATATTCCTAAATTAGAATTAACCAGCTTCTGCCAACTCCTAGCACAGTAGCTGCATAATCAATAAAGTACATAACAAAATCTAATTTGGTAACTTTATTATGCCTGGGCCACTTATTTTAATTGTGTCTGGAGAACATAAGTCTCAGTTCACTGTAATTGTTGAATGAATGAGTCAGAGTATGTTCACACAATGTACCTCTCTTTTTATCATGCAGAATCTTCTCCCAACAGCACTTAATTAATTTCAGCACCACTTAATTTAGGATCAGAACATATTTGGCTTTAGCAGAAGGGGGGGGGGTTTGATCTGCACCAATAAATAAATAATAAAAGTAATAAAATCTGATGATAAATTTATTTAAAATGTTTGTGTTTTAATCCTCTAGGGGGGTGATGGTGAGCCTGGACCAAGAGGGCAGCAAGGGATGTTTGGACAGAAGGGTGATGAAGGTCCACGAGGCTTCCCTGGTCCTCCAGGACCCATTGGTCTTCAGGTATATTTTCTCATTATCTTTCACTCTCTCACAAAGCAAAGAGAATGTCCTCTTCTCTACTTTCCTCGTTACAAATGATCAGTATTTTCAGCTAAAAGTGTGCCATCATCATCAATATACCAATTTCATCTCAGTAATTAATATAAACAACCCAATAAGGATTAATATTAGCACTGTACATGAAAGGATAAAGTTTAGAAATACTGGCTAGTATGTGGTTATTTAGTTAGTTCATTGGTTGCATTCACACATGATTAACCACATTCAAAGACTAAGCATGGATTGCGTGTGGTTGCCACTGAACCATGGGTTGTTGTTGAAATGTGGGTATATTGTACTGTCTGAACACAGCCATACTAACAAGCCATAACTTGGTAGCTACAAACAACCCATGGTTGTTTATTGGGATCTATGGTTTATTTTGGTTGTGAATTCCAGCTTGTTTGTGCTTGGCAAACCATGGTTTGTTAAGTTATGGTGTTGTCTGAATACAATTGGAATGTTTCACCAAGAATATGCAGTTAATGAGATTTCAACTCAACACGTATTCAACCATTTCTTCCCTCTGTTACAACACTAAAATGCAGGAGCTCCTAGTGAAATTGATCTATACTAGATTCAGGGTCCATTCAAGCAAGTAAGTGCTTTCATACAACTCTTGATCAGATTATGGAATCCACTGCATCAAGACGAGGTGATAGTCAGTAAGCAGGAGAACATTTTAAAGAGTAAATTGAGTGCAGCATGTAAAGGGAAATCACTGGTACAGCACATGATTTGTGTGCCTGTGGAACTTGGTTCAGTCCCTGGCATCCCTACATAAGGCTGCGAAAAGCCTATGTCTGAAATGCTGAAGAGCCAGGAGAAATAATACTTCTCTAACTGGACCAAGGCAAGGAAGCTTCCTGTGTTTCAAAGTACTGGGCAGATCCATGGAGGATAAATCTGTCAAGAGCTGACGTGTTCAAGAGCAGTTCTAAATGTTCAAGAGCAGTTGACTCCAGATATCAGTTGCTAGGTATGAAAAGTGGAGTGGAGCGGATTCTTCCATGCCCTGCTTGTGGGACATCTGGCCCCTCTCCTTCTGTCCTGTTGGAGCAAATACATCTAATCTTGTGGCGCTGTGCACCTGGTGAGCATCAGCTCATAGGCTGTATAGCGAGTCAGAGCCTTCCTCCATCTAGCCCAGCATTTCTGACCCAGCCTGGCCCTTCCAGTGTTTTAGGCGGGAATCTTTCCCAGCAACACTGGTGACACTGGGCCTTTTGCATGCAAAGCAAATGCTCTGCCACTGAGCTAGGTCGCCTTCTGATGCAGCCGTCTCTCTAGGGCACTACAGCACCTGCAAAGCTGAACTCTAAAAGGCAGGATCCATCAGCCAGTCCGCTGTATAGTGTGCATGACCAACGTATGTTACAGGCTGCCACATTTGAGGTTGGGGTTTTGTGCAATGTTTGGAAACAGTTTTCAGTTTATGAATCAGCTTAAACATGTTTCTGGACAGAAAATCAAACACATTTTCCTTCCCTTCATTTATAAGTCAAGAGGCTCACTTTAAAAAAGTGATCATCTGAATGTAGTTCAACACTGCTGTGTACTAGCATTGTACGGTGACTGATGAATATTGCTCTCTCTAGGTGTTTAGAAATGTCAGTGAAGTTTAAATACAGTCTGCATTGAAAGGAGCAATATACTTCACCTTTGTATATTTTAATTTAGTGGAATGCTACATAAGGGTAACCACTCATTAGTTTAAGACTTGAACAAATGAACAACACGCTCTAGTTGAATTATGCTTCCTTGAGTTCCATTTTCCTTCAAGAGAGCTACTTCTGGGCACCAGGATGGCAGAGAAGCTGATGTAATAAGGGACTGCTGAGCAATGGAGGCACTTTTTAAGGCACTAACATAGTAGCAAGGAAAACCCTCCAAGTGCTTATCCCATTTTGTTAATGGGGTTTCGTGATAATCAGATCTTACAGGATGTATTGAAATTATAGTGTCTCAGTTTTGCCATTCAGATATGAAACAAGTAAATATGGTAAAAATGCCCTTTAACAGCTGAGTTTTAAAAAAATCCATTTATGTATCATTTATATATCACTCTTCCTTCCAAAGGAACCCAAGATTGTACACAATATAACAAAAATGCATCACTTATACATAGCCTAGAGTACAATTCTTTGCATGTTTAAATGGAAGGATGCTACTTATTCTGTTTTAAGAGAGCAATCCGGTGATCCCTGGGAAACATCCATGGACCACAGGAGTGCTTGGAAAACCCTTTACAAGTTCAGAGACAGTACTCTGCCCTCAGAAGTGGGGGTTGGAGAACTGCAACCTGCCCCCTTGCAGCTGGTGTGGACAGAACTATCTTTGCAAGACTGACCTTGGAAAGAGGCAAAAGGAGGCATTTCAGTGCAAAGGGATGGGACAGGATGGGACTCTTAGTTCAATTGAAAGCAAAACTGGCAAGGTTCCCTTTGGTTTCAGGAGTAAACATATTTTAATATAATCATTTGCAGGATCTTATTTGAAGATAGTGATTTGGTAAACTTCAACATGCTTAACCTTAAATATGCATATTTAAGTATCGTCATTAATGGTACCTTTTACAAATTTTAAAGTTCAACCTGTATGTAACTTTCCAAAGAACTGAAGGGCCTAAAGGCTAGTTTATGGCTCAATAAATCTTAATAACAAAGTGCCTGGTAGGATGCTACTATCTGTCATGATGGCAAATCGTAATTGATGAGGAACTTACATCCACAACAAGAGGTCTTTACCTTTTCTACAGTCACACCTACAAACAAGTGATTTGTAGGCAATTATTCTTCTAAGACATTTAGGTTGCAGCTGGCCTAACCCATTACAACAGTTCTATAGATATTTTTTGTCTATATTTTTGTGCAGTTCGAATCCCATCCATGCATGCAGTCCAGCTAAACATTTGAGCCCCAGACACTGCAATGGGACATTCAATCACATAAGATCATTTATTTACTTATTCATTAGATTTATGTTCTGTGCTTCCCTCAAGAAATTCAAGGCAGCATGGATAGTTCCATGTCTCCATTTCCCTCCCACAGCCATCAGGAATAAGATAGGCTGAGAGGATCGCAACTTGCCCATGGTTAACAAATAAACTTTGTTTCTGACCATGAGCAGTACTAGGTTCATCCCAATCCTGTTCACAAGTATTCAAACAGAGATGCACATTTCTGTGAGCATCCCTTCTAGAATGCTTACAGCATCCTTGGATATGGGCTTCTGTTTCTGGTTCAGGTAGACTGAGATCTACAAATACACAGGGTGGGTTGGGTTGGGATGGTTTTTCATGCAGAAGTGATTTTAAAGCCTTCCCCCAAGTCTGCCTTGCTAGGTCATGGTCAGTATATCAATACATTTATTAGATAATGAAATACTAGAGTTATGCCAATGGAGGTCATGAAATGGATGTATCTAAGTTCTTCCAAAATTAATTAACTAACAGTCCTGTAACCATGTTAAATCAAAGCACTACCTTTTAAGTCATTTGTAGTGCCACTGACTTCTGTGCAACTCAAATCAGTGCAAATACATAGTTCCCAGTTTAACCAGCCAGTGGGTCGGACTGCATATTACCCACTTTTAAAGTACCATGTGAGATTGCAGTCAGCTGTATCATAGTAGTTGTGATGTGGAGCACAGTTTTTTAAAGTGGAAGATGTCAACAGCTGAGCATATTGGTTATTGAATGTACAAATTGGTATAAAATTTTCCTTTAGAACAGTACAACATAATGGCATGCATTTTTGCTTCTTCTAAAGATGAGAAGGTGCTCTCATTGAAGTGAGTGGCAAAACGCTCACTTAGTTTAATAGTTTGCAGCCTGAAGAGGCAGTTTACCCAGAGCTGGATTCTACATTTTACATGCTTCCCTATCATTCCTTTTTTAGACCCTTTTAACAAGTCTGTGCAAAACATCAAGGACTGTGAATTTGTGTGTGTTGTATGCTCCACTTAGAATAATTTCTGTATGTGCTAATTTTACCACAAGTCATTGAAAAGTTTAATTTATAATTTAGAACATGTTCTTGCCTCTCTGTGCATCCCGTTTTATACACTTGGAGGAATCACTGTAATGTAAGCCCAATTGAGGTTTCCTTCTTCTCTCCTTTGCACAAGCCAGTACTTTGAAATGAAGTACACTCCTCTCTGTTTCACATCCAGGCATACTGCCCAGTCCAGGGCCTACCCCAGAATTTTACTTCAGGGGAGGAAAATAGGGGTTTCGCTGGGGCCTGGGGTAATCTCCTGGCTGAAACAAAGCTGCATTTCTGCCAGGAGGGGCCAGCCACTTGAGATTAAACTTTTGCATAAACAGATATTTTGAAATGTTTCCAAGGTGCAACACAGTGCTTCTTGCAAGTTCACTTTCAAAAATAGCCCTGTAGATAGGTGTTATTATGTGACAGCAGAAAGACTGTAAGAATAAATTCACATAATAAAATGTGTATTCAGTGGAAAAGGCAGACAGTTTCTCCCAAATTACAGAGTGTTCAAGAAGGTGGAATATGAAGTTCTTAATATGAAGTTCTTAAGTCCTATATGAATGCTAGGACTTAGTGCTGTGCATTCAGTGATAAACACCCATTTGGTGCATTTCTAAATAATAGAGAACGCCTGCCATTACATCCTATTTAGAAACTCATAATAAGACAAGAATGCATTGACTCTGCCAGTCTACATCTTTTGTAATCAATGGGTATATCTCACAATGCATTTATTACTTTTTTCTTTAAAGTAGCATAGCCCATTAAACCTCCAAATGCTTGAGATGAAATGGACAAGTGGTACAATAGCAAAAGTGAGCTTGTCTCATTTATGCGTATTGGATAATAGAATGGTTTCCAGAGAGCACAAGGGAAAGCATGAGCCCCTCTGATTCTGGAGATCTCCTCACCTTGCTCCGTGTTTCAGCTAGCAACAGCATGAATTTTTCCCCTTCTACTATTACTTTATATTAAAGTGGCCAGTTTAAAAGTGGTCTTTTAAGAAACTTGTGTAACATGTCTGTTTTGACTCCATGCTGTATGCAGCTGGCATCCATGTGGGGCTCTAAATGGACAGGGCTGAAGTTGACCAGATACTTGTTTTCTGTGTCACCCAGAGAACTTGTGTTATGAAGCAGCTATACATATTCAGTGAAGGGATGGATGGATGGATATGAACTACTATGAGTCTCATTAAATGAGGTTTTATACATGAACTAGAGAGCAGAATGGCAATGTAAACTTTATTTTGATGAAGATACATTTAAAACTTAATTCAAAGATGTTCTTATCAGAAATTCTAGTTTAGGGTATCTATTAAGTGGAAATAATTAATTTTATATATCTGTAATGGTCCTTGTTTTTGTCACTAGGGTCTTCCTGGCCCTCCTGGTGAAAAGGGTGAAAATGGTGATGTTGGTCCAATGGTAAGTCCCATTCCTGCCACCCCCAATATTTTACTCGCACAATTAAAATATTGTACAAAAATGGGAAGCATATTTTTAGTTAATGAACAGGCCCATGTTGCCATCTAGGCACTACAAGATTCAATGCAGGTATTTGCGCATCCATTAAATTTGTGGGTCCCTTTGCCATATATTGGAAGCACTTAGCTAGCTCTGAAAACCAGAATCCAGATGGACTTGTGCTAACATTCATGGCTGCAACCCTGATTCATTTAATGATATATTTATATTTCTCTCATACAGGGTCCCCCTGGTCCCCCTGGTCCAAGAGGCCCGCAGGGTCCCAATGGAGCTGATGTAAGAAATATGTTCTTCTAATAGTTCTTGCATTCATCATCATCATCGAAATAAGTAACATGTGGGTTAACATAAACATTCTTCTCCTCTTAGGGTCCTCAAGGTCCCCCAGGTTCAGTTGGTTCTGTTGGAGGTGTTGGTGAGAAGGTAAGCAAGCAAGCAAGAAATACTGTTCCTGGGATGCTGAAGTTCCAATATATGCAAATGGTTTTAATTTCGTTGTGCTTTATGGTATGCCATGGGGAGATATATGTATGTATGTATATATGTAACTATCTTTCATGGTTGGAGCAAACATTTTGGAAATAAATAGCAGAGTCTGTTGAAGGCTTAGAATCCAAAGTGAAAGCACGACTTCTGAAACCCAAGCTTTCTCCCAACATTTCATATCTAGAGTCAGAACAGACTATGCAATAGTTTTATTTTGCATGTTGCTTTCAATTGGATGAATAGCATACTGTTCACATAGCCCTCTTTCTTGAACTGCATCATTTCATTTGCAGATGTAGGATAAACACCAAGCTTTATCCTACAACACTGCTGAAGACCAAGCAGTTCAAAAAGCTGACATATAAGTAGTCCAGTAAGATGCTAAGAGACAGAGCATACATTCATTGTCCAGAGTTGCCCTCTATCTTTATACCAGCCTTCAGAATCCTCCTCACCTGTTTCTCACTCTTAGACAAGAACATCTCACCATTAAAACACAAATTTACTGTATTACAGAATATGGTCCAGATAGGTAGCAATATTAGCCTGTTAAAGCAAAATAGCCGCAAAATGTATAGCATCTTAAAGAGTGGAGTATGGTGTTATGCTCCATATTCCCTAACCTGGCTCTCCAGATGAGTTAAATTACATACCCCTGGTTAAGGGTGATGGGAGCTGTAGTCCAACAGATGTGGAGGGTACCAGGTTGGGGAAAGTTGCTATAAGCATTTACCTGAGTGTGAGGTACAAGCCAAAGCATAAGTTTGCAATGTAACAAAAGTATTATGGTATAAGCTTTGCTAGACGAGTGTTCCCTTCATCAGATGTTTATGCCATAATAAATTTGTTAGTCTTTCAGGTGCTACAAAACTCTTGGCTGTTGTTATTTTTATACAAAATAGCATAAGAATTCACTCCCAGTGTTACTGTGAGGCTGACACTGCAATAGTAATAGTTGCTGGAATTATGCTCTAAGGAGAGTCTTTGTCAAGAATATGAGCTCCTCTCTCAGAGTTTTGGTCGATTTATGATACTGCATTCGATTTATAGTAGTCACTGGCTTAAAAGCTCAGTGAATATTTCACCAAAATGTTGACTCTTCCTACACTGATCTTCTTATTTGGTATATTTTACTATTCCCTCTACCAGATTAAGATGATTAGCTGTCAAGGAAGATGGTTTTTATCCAATTATATCTAAGAAAAGACACATTTATGTATTATAATTTATTTTGTTGGTTTTTTCAGTTTAATAGAATCACAGTTATACACAATTTTAGCGTACTGAGCAAATATAAAAAACAAGACTTTTGGGAAGAGGAAACACTGTACGTGTACTAGTCTGTGTTTCTTAAACCTACAGGCAGTGTACTAAGCTCTGGATTAACACATGTATTAGATTTACCTTTTCTTGTCATTGGTGGGAGAAATCGAGCAGAAGCAGACTGTGTTAAAATACTATTACGCCCTCAGCAAGTTGGGTTTTTACAGAGTTCAGCTCTCCCAAAGTCAATGGACCTTTCAAAACCTTTCTTCACTCAGTTCTCACTGGTAGATGTTTGCTTATCCAAGGACTTTAGATTGCAATGAATAGATGGTAAGCATTTCAAATCACCATCTGGGTCACAGAAATGCATGCTGATGAAAAAAAAGTGGGTGGGGACATTGCCTTTTGGAGGCACTGATAAGGCAAAATTAAACCTGAGAACCAGCCACTCAAAATGCACCATTGCAAATTGTATCTAAATCAGCATATTCGAAATGGTCAGATTCAGCATCTCTAACACTTTTGACAAAATGCAAATGCCTTGGATTAAGTTTGAATCTCACTTTCCCCCTCTGAATTCTACTCTTCCTATTACAGTAATGTCCTAAAGAATTCTTTATGGAAGTGAATGCTGTCAGAAAAACAGAGTGATTTTCTGTTTTTCTGAATTTTAAAATTGCAAAGTCATGGGGATTAGCAAATTGGAATGATACCTTTCAAGTTAATTTCAAACCAAATATAAGTTCAAAATCCCCCCTGTGTGTATATGTATTATTTGAGTAGACTGGCTCTATATTGACATATGGTCCCAAATTATTATGTAAATAGTAATTATGGAATTGAAAGAGGCTGGGAGAAAGACATATCCTGGTCAGGAATAATTGATTCTGTTGAAAATGATTGAATAAAAACATAAATTACTAAAATTAGCATGACATGCTTCTGCAGGAATCGCTACTTATCCCTCACTGTTGGGAGCTATGTTTCCTTCTTTTGTACTCTTTCAAAGCAGCAGACCATTCTTTGCAAAAGCTGTTTATTCCAAATGTACATCCAGCAAACTATAGCCAGTGAAGAAAGAGACTCTGATCATATACAAAGTGGTTCGTTGAACCCAAACTGGGAACTATTTCTGAAAACCCCCATTTTGAGAAATCCTGGAACCCACCCCTCAAGGAGTGCCCTTCCGGAGACAGACAAGCTCCTCTGTTTGGATAGCCCATCTCTCCTGATGCCTTGTCATGGGATCAAGGATTGTAGCAAGCTCCTGAGGCTCCTGTGTCTTGCCCCCTCCCAGCTCTTGGCTGTTCTGAGGGTCTGTCTGAACACCTGGGGACAACAGCCTTGAGTCAAGCTCTTCACCAGCATCTCTACATATGGGGCCCTCATTCCCCAAGCCTTCTGCTCCCCATCTGAAGAGTACACCAAGAACAACTGTCCCTTTCATTCCCAATAACCATTCATAAGCAGAAATACTTTTAACTGTAGTGTTTGCATTGCATAGGAATGCCAATGTACAAGAAAACAAGATATTCTAAAGGGCCTTCCATCTACCTTTGTTTCCATGATTTAGCACTTTGCTAAGGAGCCAAGGCCCTCTTGAACTTTCCCTTTCCCTCCTCACAGCTGAAGCCCTATCTCAATTATTTTACCTTTAAGGACGATGAGTCCTTCCCATATCCTTCTTTGGTACATTACACATCTCTTATCCCTCCAGCTGCAGATCTGTCATACTCGTAGCTCTGCATTCAGAAACACTGACTGAAGTCACAGGTCAGTCGACATCATCTGGATTTGTCCTGGACTGCTTGTTAATCATTCCCAGGACGGAGGCATTCTGGGTCTTAGAGCCCCAGGTGGTTTTCTTCCTTGATCAAAAGAATATGCAGCTGCTTATTTTGGACATTTCTCTTTTCCGTCCTCTTTCTTTAAATAAGCAATTAAGTAAATAACCTGCAATTCACCTTACCATATCAGGGCTTTCCTTTCCTCTTTCAGCATTTTAATGCTTTGATTCACTTCTGTTGACATCCTACACTTAATGTTGGTTCTTCATCCCTATTGCCCTTCCCCTACAGGTTTTCTTCAAGCAAAAGCTTCCCTCTAGTAGTCAAAAGAAATCATACTCCTTATCAGTTTATCCAAACTATCCTCTTAATAGAATCAGCCTCGATGTTTCATCCTTTTTCTCCCTGTGTTTCCCCAAAAATAAGACCGGGTCTTATATTAATTTTTGCTGCAAAAAGATGCAATAGGGTTTATTTTTAGGTGATGTCTTATTTTTCATGTACAACAATCTACATTTATTCATGTACAAAAATCTATTCAAATACCGTCATGTTGTCTTCTTCTGGAACATCGTCATAACTCTCCAAACCCCGAATTGTGTTGCAACGGATGTACTAAATGCGACCTTCTGGCTGACAATCTTAACTGGGGCTTATTTTTGGTGTAGGGCTTATATTATGAGCATCCTGAAAAATCATGCTAGGGCTTATATTCTGGTTAGGTCTTATTTTCGGGCAAACAGGGTACTTATTTAATAAATCACTGGTCAGCTGAGAAATGTGGCAAGCACTACAAATGAAACTTCACCTTGGTTTACTGGAAGAGGCTTAGATTTTTCCCCCCTCCTTTGAAGAGAAATTCATTGTGGGTTAATTAAACATCATGGTGCTACGCATAAGAATGCTAAACCTTGCAGCCAAACTATCTGGCAGGCCTTTCTTAAAAAATACTTTGAACCCACATTTTCACAAGCATTTTCTGTGGATATCTAGAAACCCAAATTAATTGTGAGAAAAACTGGAGGAGGGAAAGTAGAGCTTACCCAGCACTACAAACGAATAAAAAAGGAACCTTTCATTAAAACGGTTGTGCAATTGGCCTAGCATAGGATTTTGCAACAATCCTAGTAATTTTTCTGTCTGAACTTCTACAGAATTCAGAGTTCAGAAAATTTTCCAGCCTCCTAGGAACAGTATGGTATCTTTCACAATAAGATCACATTCTCCATCTCATCCCATCTCTTTCCACTGATTTTGTAGAAGTTTGTTTTGCCTCAAAGTAACATTCTTCTTCAGACCATGTTCATCATCCTAGATAACACCATTCTCAGTCCATTGGAAGGAGTGAAGGAATGTTTTGGCATTCTTGCTTCCTCCACCATTGACTTCACAAGCAACATTGGATCACATTAGCAACTGTGTGGCTGCATGAGAAGGAGATATTCAGTCATTGAAATGAGTGTTTGAAGTCCTTTTTTATGTATGAGCTAAGGCCAAACATTTTTTGTTATGTTTTGCTCTAGTTAATGCATGTATTTTTAACTACCCAGTTGTTTCCCTCTGCCATGCATGCAGTTGTATAGACCAAAGCGATCAAAGGCAACTGCTGTAAAATCGCACTGTGTAATGCTGAATGATTAATGCCTCTGGCCTCTTCAGAATAGCAAGAACTCTAAAGAGTCTCTATTACATCCAAGCACACACCGCTTAAAACCCAACTTCTCCCCAAAGTGGACCCTTTTAGAGCAGCATTTGGAATTAAGCAATGGGGGCGTGGGACCAGGGAGAAAGGAAGAATTAGCAGAAAAAGCTCCTGGCTACATATTGTACTGGAGTGGGGAAGGAACAGGGAAAAGGAATGGTAGCCATACATGACATACAGGAATGGCTAAACTGGTGGTACTCTGGCTTAAGTCTAACTTTATGAAGCCTAGGGTTTGTGGGGCCCATTTCTAAAAGGAAATTTTAGAGGGCGCTTTAAGGGCAGGGCCCATCATTCATTAGCAAAGCGTGTGCTTTTCCGATAGAAGACTTTAGATTCAGTCCCTGGCATCTTCAGCTAAAAATTATCTTTCAGTAACAGGGATTAAAAAGCCTTCCACCTGGCAGCTGGAGAGTCACTGCTAATTGAAATGGACAATACCAGGGTTTATTTATTTATTTATTTATTTTTCAATTTATATTCTGCCTTTTTCCTACAAAGGGCTCAAGGCAGCTTACATCTCCTCCTCCATCTTATCCCCAGAACAACAACCCTGTGAGGTAGGTTGGGCTGAGAGTCTGTGACTGGCCCAAAGTCACCCAGTTGGCTCCATGGCTGAGTTCATGTGCCAAAGGCCTGACTCTGAATAAGGTAGCTTTATATGTTGGTATTATTTATGCATTTATTTAATGGTTTTATATCCCACCCTTCACAATGCCTCAGGACATTTGCTTAGCACCTGAAGTTCTGTGATCTGGATGGATCCACATTGAAAACCTTGACCCAGTCACCGCTGGTTATTCTCCCTGAGGCGTGCATTAGGTGTTTCTGAGTCCTTACTCATACTCACTTACATGACTTCAAGATCCTCCGCTTTCCCTTCTGTTTTTTCGGAGCACTTCCCCAGTTCTTTGGGAAGGGAAGAAACCAGCTGTTGAATTGCAGGGGGGGGAAATGGTGCTGTATCCCCCTAGTGTATTTGTGCTATCCCACAATAGCACAGTTCCACCTACAGGCTGCATTGAAGAAAAGCAGGAAAAGACTAGCTCTTCGGGTAGTGCACAGATCTCAGTTCTGTGATGAAACCAAAAGCAGATACAGAAGTTAGAAGCATAATACATGCACCCTGTAGAAAAGCCCAGAATCCACAGAATAATTCCAGTCTTAGAGGCATAGCTGATCCTTACTTGCAAGTAGTGTCAGAAGATGAAATGAGACTCTGCCCATTTGCACTGCCATTCGATACCACAGAATCTCTAGTGCCCACTTGAGAAAAAGCTTGGCTAGAGCTCTACGTGGATGCTGCTTCCGTGGCAATTCACTCTCCCGATTACTGTGTAGGTCTACCCTGACCAAGCAGCATGTTGCACTGAGTACACAAAATGTAAACCAGGCTTCTGAATATCTTGCAACTTTGTCTGGTTCAGTGTCTCTTAAGAGTGCACATGAAAATAATAATATATTGAGTGATACCAAACACATTTCACTGCTGCTTGATTGCCACATAGAAACTGTTTGGAGTCCTATTTTATAAAGGCCATGAAGTCCAGTACTCATGGACATTTTATAGAGTGGATGTGTTTCCTTAGGAGCTGGCTTCGCTTTGATGCTCCATATAATGTTTGCTGGCTTGCTTTTCCTTATGAGACTGACAGGGAACCATACCAAGCAGGATAAGATTAAAAGAAGGGGATTTATAGGCATGCAGAGGCATGAAGCCTGTGGTAGAATCCTGAGTTGCTTTTTGAAAATCCCCACTAGACCCATCACAGGCACGTGAAATGCCTTCCATGCAACCTAAATCAGATACAATTTTATATTTTACACCCTCTGTTCAAATCTACCGCTGAATATGAAAGTGCATCCATTTAGGTAAACATAAATCATAAAAATGCATACACATTTTTCGTTTGGACTTGAAAACTAAAGCACAAACTGATGCAGAAGTGGCAGCCATGTGGAAAAATAATGAGAACTTGGCAGAATTGAACACCGATTCATCTATTCCTAACCATAGTTCAGCGACAGACCACCTGCCGAGGCCTCGTTGAGCACGTAGCCACCAATGGCCCCTGCCACTTCCCTGCATTGGTCACTTGCCCCCTCCCCCACTGCTCCCCACTGCCTTCCCCCTCCTGTCATGTTCTCCTGTCACTGCTTACATCCTCTCTTGTATTACTTCCACACTCTCTCAATTCATCTGTCTCTTCCACAGCTCATTACCTCCCTCCTCGCTCCTTTCTGCCACCAACCTTTTCCATTCTCTCCCTGACATCTGTTACTGGCTCTGATATGGTCCTTCCTCAAATCCATGCACTGTGGGAACTGGGGAAAATCCCTGTGCTGCATTCCATCCCCTGGAGCAGCTATCTCTCCTCTAAAGTAAATTGTTATCCTCTGCTTAGCTGGATCTAACAGAGCTCAGGCAGCTGCTCCAGACTAGGCCAGTCCCAGAAGTACTCTCATAGCTAGATGAACACATAGTATGATCTGCTAGAAGGCAGCTTTCTATGTTCCTAAACTTTCATCGACTGCTGGGAGACCTTGTAATTTGCAAACTGCACAGAGCAGCATGAACAAATAACCTGGAGGAATGTCTGAGCCATGCCTTGCAGCATCTGAATTCATCCCAACCTGAGTGGTGCAGGTAGAACCAAATCAGTCTACAACTCCCAGGGGACGGTGGGATAATGTGCATATCATCTGCAGAATGCACATTATAAGTAAGGGGGGGAAAGCTCAGAATACAGAGTTCTTTCCTCCAAAAGCTTGCCAAGAAAGGCACAAATGCCAAACCATTTCCAAGCCAAGCAAAGGGGAGCTCATCTATCACTCCTCATAATTGGAATGATATGTTTAAGTGTTGTGTGGTTCTCCGTCTGGGCTCAAGAGAAGAGTAAATTAACGTAACCATTTCTTTAATACTGTGCAAACACTGCCTTTGCTCAGATATGTTTTTTAATGTATGTCTTGCAAGCCATCTGGTTTACTAAAGAGCTCTCATCATCAATAAATAGCAATGTATTTGCTTTTGAGACCTGCAGTGAAGAATTTATTATTTGCTAGCGTATTATTTCATTTTTTGTCACTATGTTTGTTTATTATTCTTTCCACAGTTTGAATAACTCAATCATTTTCAGTTAAATTAAATCACTTTGAAGTTGCTTTCCATTAGCATTTTCTAATTTTGGGGGATTTAATTCAGACCAGAAAAAAAACTGTTTGATAAGACTACAGATAGTGATGTACTGTGACTCTTTCTCCAACAAGACATCCATGTATAATAAGGCATTAATTTCATCCTGGATTCTCATAGGGTGAACCTGGAGAAGCTGGTAACCCTGGACCTCCTGGAGAAGCTGGCACAGGTGTAAGTATTGCTCTTTTTAAAAGTATTTGCAAAGTGGTTATACAGGAAGCTCTTAGTTGCATAACTTTTAGGAGGTGTCCTTTGTCTCCAGACAGTAAATAGAAAAGGTAGCAAGAGTGGATCCTTGTTAATGTTAGCACTGTCATCCCCACAACTTGTTAGTGATGAAATGCAGCCTGATTGGCTATTAGACCTAATAACCTGATAGATTATTAGGCTGGATTTATGAAAGACACAGCTGTTCAGATGGTGAGGGGAAGGTTGGGACTGTTGGTTATGTGTGTAGGTTTCATTTATCCCATTAGCTGTCCATCCCACATACAGGAATTCCTATATTTGACACCTGGCCTTTCTGTCCAATTCTCTGGTTGACTGGATCTTCATGCCTGTTGACTTGGAGAGCTGGAATGAGGTTGATCTTGTGCCCTAGTCTTGCTTTTGCTTGCCCATGCCCTTTTCCTGCAAGAACTTGGACATGCTCAAGAAGCATTTCTTCCTCTGCCCTTCAGTTCTGGGCTTGAATCCCACCAATATTCCCATGACTGCATTAGAGTCTTCATAGAGCTACAACAGATCTTGAATGCCGGCATCCAGATTCTTCCACTTTACTTCAGTGGAAATGGTTTCATCCTTCATCATAAGGTGTTTTCCACATTTTTCACTGTTCTCCCCTAACTTCTTGCTGTTAAAAAGTATGTCAGAAACTAGGCAATAGCAGCTAATTTCTGAATCTGGGTGCAGACAAGAAACTTCCTAGTGCTCTACAGACATATCGGTTTTCCATATAGCTTTGTCATAATTTCTCCAACAAAAAGTGACTGTGCTCTTTTCAGAGCTCTTTAACAGATGCTTCTCTTTCTTCCTCACTATGAGACAGGGTCCAAAAGGGGAAAGAGGTGAAAAAGGTGAGGCTGGACCACCAGGGGCAGCTGGACCTCCGGGTATTAAAGGACCTCCAGGTGATGATGGACCTAAGGGGAATCCAGTAAGTTGACCTGCTCATTGTCTTTCTAAAGGCTATTGGTTCAAGATGCCTGTTTCCCAAGTTTATTCTTCTCAGCATTTCCTAGAGACTTAAACCTTATACTTATTTTCACAATCTCTCTGTATGTGTTAGTCAGAACTGTATTCTTCCATGTTACTTAGGACTTACTGTAGCTTCTCCTTGTTCTGTTTATGTAGGGCCCTGTTGGCTTCCCTGGTGACCCTGGTCCCCCTGGTGAACCTGGCCCTGCTGTAAGTATCCCACAACGCAAACCAGAGGTCCATTTCTTTTCATTGTGAAGTGAGATTCTCACTGGCTTCAGCAGATGCGGGACATGGCCTGCTGGAGGCCTTCTGGAGCTTTTTGGGAGCCTTTTCACATGAGGCGCTTAATCACTGTATGACTGTTTCATTGCACAGTCTATAAGTTCTGTGCAAACACTGTAAAATAAAAGGACTTCTTTTCTGGTTTTTCTTCTGCACAACTTATAGGTAGAGCTATGCAATGGCAGAATACCACTAATATACCAGGAGAAAGAAAGCCATGTTTCCCATTGTAATTTAATAGTTCAGCTTCTCTGCTCTTTAAAAAAAAGTGGGAAACTGTTCTGAAAAAGAATGAAGAGACACTAGAGGATCACAACATTTTCTAATGAGCCTATAAACAATCATGAGTAAGAAATCAGCTGCAACACTGTGGGTTGGGCAAAAACCAACCAGCCAAATAATCCCCTCCACCTAGGTGTAGTATTCTTGCCAGTGTTTTTCCCACGGAAGAAGAGCTGCAATATGCAGCTCTAACATTACACTGCTTGTATTTGTATCCCACCCTTCCTTTAAGGAGTGCAGCTAGCATACATGGTGTGCAGCCAAGTCTTCCCGGTTACCAGACAATTGCCCAGTTATGAAACTTCCCAGTTACCATCTATTGGATCAGATGGCTGGAACTGTGATATACAGAAACAGAAGCAGGCCTGAGCTTCCCAAGAGGTCTTTCAGCCTCTAATAGGTTTTGCCCTCTTTTTGCTTTCTGATTTTTTTTTTAAGTTTGCAGTGCCTTGCAAACACTCCAGTTGTGCAGTTAACAAGCAGCCGAACACCTTCTGCTGAAACTGGAAATTAGCTTTCATTTCGTCCTCTCCATCTGTTTATTCATCAACACTAAAGCTAGTGTTATAGAACTAATACCACATAGCTAAGAGATAGCAACTGGACCAGTGACTCCAAGGAGTCTTGGTAGCTGAGTGGGGATTGGAGCCATGGTCTTGCTGGCCCTAGGCCGACGCTCATAACTCATGCACCACACTGGGTTATCGTGTGTTGCTGGTACTGACTTAGAATTAGGCTTGCCCAAGCAGCACAGTGGGACAAATGATGCACTCCCAGTGCAGAAGCTTATCAGAGCTGGCCATGTGAGCTCCTTAAATGAGAGGCTGACTGGAAAGTATGTGCAAGTCACTCTAAGCTATTTAGATGCATATTAGCTGTCTATTGTAGTTCTTAAGGGGCTTATAGCTTCAGTTCAGGCATAGTAAGTGATGTGAATGTTGTCTGTTTCTTCCTACTTTTGTATTTTCGCTCACCTAGGGGACAGATGGAGTTTCAGGAGATAAGGGTGAAGATGGTGACCCAGGCCAACCTGTGAGTAAAGACTATGATAATATATTGGATTTGGATTGCAAAGCCTTCAGGGTCTCAATGGATGTCTATGGCAGCCTTCCCAATCAGATGCCCTCCAGGTGTTTTAGACTACAGCTCCCATCACTCTCTGCCAGTATGTCTTTTGGCCATTCTGGTTGGAGACAGTGGAAGTTATTCAACACCTCTGGAGGGACCCTACTCAGGGAAAGTTGGACTAAGCCCAGTATTCTATAAGTTTTGTACAGTAATGAGTACCTACAGTGCTTGGAATAATTGCTAGTAGGTTTTCTGAGCTGTACGCAGATTCAAAGTACATGCCTACCTTCAACTTTGAGTCTTTGCATATCCTTCTCAGATTAAAGCATTTCCTTACAAGTGAGAAAATGCATAAATTGGAGTAGGCAAGTAATAAGTACAACCATGACTTCCCCAGTGTTTTCCATAGTCAGAACGTTTGATAGGTGTCTTCCAAATTAAGCCTTGTTTTAGTTAACACAGGACTGCCTGTCTTAAGATCAACTAAAATAGGTGAAACTCAGAGCCAACTTTATGCTGTTCTGTTCAATTCCAGGCACAAAGGGTCATGTGAAAGGAAAGGATGGGATCCATCAGTTGAAATGATGCTATCAAGCTTTGCACTGCTCTGAATATTGACTTCTTGGCTGTAGAAATATATTAAAATAGACTGTGAGCAGAAAGTGATATGGAAAAGACTTACATGTTTAGATGAAGGCCAGGATTCAAAGAGCTAATCTGAGCATGGTCAGGGGGAATTGAGAACATTAAGCATGTCCAACGGGAGCGTTGGTTTTGTTTCAATCAAACAATTGAACTGTCATGCCGTATCCACACATTTCTTTTGAATGTGCCCCACTTTCAAACCGTTTGCCACATGCGGTGTCTGGATTGGCTTCTCATGAAGTCATCAATGCATTTGGAGTATTCTCCATGTTGCCTTGGTGATAAAACATATAGCAGCACTGAGCAGGGTAGAATTCAGTACAGGAGCATTCAGGGATGCTTCTGTAGAAAATATTGCAAAAGAGAAATGGATCCTGTATTTATTGCCTGATAAACTCAGGTCCCCATGAAACATGGATCTGTAATGAAAAGCCAGGACCATGAGAATAAAAGCCTTGCAAAGCTTCTTCATGGATTCTTCTTCTCTTGGTGAAGACATGTCTTGGTTCACACAATTCATTACTGCATTTACCACTGAGGAATCCAGATCAAGCATGTTTGAAAGTATCATTCTTGTAATTTGCTGTTGTTGCTGCCCAGAGGATAGAGGAAGAATCCCTGCATTATTAATATGAGTATTTTATTCTTGCAGGGGCCACCAGGTCCTTCAGGTGAAGCAGGACCCCCTGGGCCTCCTGGAAAGAGAGTAAGTCATGCTTTTTTCTTCACTTTTTTCTGGCAGTTAGCTTCCCTGTATGGATTTGGGGGAGAGAAAGGTCACCATCGGAATAGTAGAAAAAAAAGACAAGGTACACTCTGTTATTCTGTTTGGCAGTCAATACTGATGCAAGTGCTCATAAAGAAGGAGACAGTTTTCTTCCGCATTCTAAAAATTCCACCATCTGGCTGAAATCCTATACCCTTTCACCTGGGCATCGGTCTCATTGAACTCAATGGAACTTGTGAATAAATATGTATAGGATTGTGCCCTACATTTATCTGTCACTGTGTTGTGAATTTATTATTTTGCATCATTACAAGATGGGGAATACTTGGCTCAACAATGTTGCATGGGAGAAGGATCTTGGAATTGTCGTAGAACAAAAGTTGAATATGAGTCAACAATGTGATGCAGCTACATAAAGGGGAAATGCTACTTTAGGCTGCACTAATAGAAGTATCCCTTCCAAATTCCATTAAGTACTAGTTTCCCTCTCCTCGGGACTTGTTAGAACTGGAATACTGTGTCCAGTTCTGGGCACCACAGTTTAAGCGAGATGCAGACAGGATGGAAAGGTCCAGAGGAGGGCAACAGGGATGATCCAGGGACTGTGATGAGAGATTGGAAGAACTTGGTGTGTTCTGTCTCAAGAAGAGAAGACTGAGGGAAGATATGACACTAGAGGCATTCTGGATGCAACTGGCCAGATATCTGAGAGGGATGGTTTAAACTTGGAGTTTTGCAGCGACCAAGGGGTTGGACTTGATGGCCCTTTGGCCCTTCCATCTCTATTGTTCTATGATTCTGTGATAGTTAGGTATTATTTGACTGTCAACAAGCTTGTACATATTGCCACACACAGACCCCCCTCAGGGGCCAAACAGAGGTAGGGACACTTGAGGAATTATGACCTTGTACATTTTGATCTGAAATGACATGATCCGCACCTCAAACTAATGTACAGAACTTAGGTATCAGATTTCACACTTCTTGAACATTGAAAAGTAGTCCTTAGGAGTTTAGACTTACCAAATGCAAAGGTAAATGATCTATTGGGAGAAAATATACATTTCAAATATGTATTTTAGAATGGGAAGAAGAGAAGATAACATAGAATAATGTATGAACAGACTGGAATTATTGAAGGTGTGAGAAAGTGACACAAACCAGAAATAAGTCATGTTTAGGGACAAGGAAAGCAGTCTGTCAGCCATCTATATTATTTATTTTTTGTTAGATTTATATCCTACTTTTTTCTTATGACAAACTCATACTTAACAAACTTACATCATGGCAGCTTGAGGTTCATGCAAATGTATTAAGTTACAGCAAAGTGCCCCTCAGTTTTCTTCAGTGAGATGAACCTTCTTAACATTTATGATGAAATGGATACCTTTATTTCTTCCACATCCACCTTCTGGAGGAGATAAGAATAAATAAATATGATACTGTGAAAGACTCAGCTATGAGAAGCAGTTAATGAGATGCTTCTGTATGTAATTTCTGCATGAACCTTGCACACACAGAACATTTTACCAGAAATATACCATGGGGTATATTTTGTAAGAAGTGTGGTTTCCATTTACACTTACGGAAAGTGAGCATTAACTGGGGGTAGCACTGCATCAGACCAGTCCCTTGGTATGGCATTGGCCCACTTAACTTGTTCATTAGCTCACCTGAGCTATGGATCACGGAGCTGGTGATAATGAGCAATTACACTGTGTAAGAGCAGCATCAGCATTGCAGTAATGCGCACTGAGTACATTATATAATGAGTGTGTGGCAATTTTAAATTTTAAGGGGCCCTCGTGCAAATGAATTATTCAGCTCATCCTGCTCTGCCATTCCCCCACACTAATTTGAAAAAAGAAAGAATAAGGCGGTTGCTCATTAGGGTATGCTAATTCATTAAAAGTAGGGCAGAAGACTTTGATGTATTGAATCGGAACATTAATCAACTATTACTTGAGTTGATTAATCAGGGTGGGACAACTTCTAATCTGCAGCAGTGCAATCCTATGGCAGCTGGACAATCTAGACAGCCATTGGAAAAGGTAAAGCCCTGATTCTGACCTTGGAGAAGTTCTTCGTTTTTGTGGCCAACCCAGCTGGCTCTTTCTACCCTACCTACGGCTCTGGGGTTGGAAGATGGGCCCCAGTCCTTGGATTGTGTGGCCATTTTGAAGGACAGGGAGGAAAGGAAGGAGTGAGGCCTTGCTTGGATAAGAAATATCCTGACATCATCTCAGTCTATGGTATCCTCTTTGTGAACAGGGACAAAAGGCTCAAAGATCCAATTCTCCCCTCCAAGTCTTTGCAGGGGGGGAGGGGGGAGGTTGGAGGCAGCTGTTGCTTCTGTGCTCTTCCTATCTTAAAGAAGATGCCATTCATCTTCCGAGTTGAGAGGGTTCTGGTCAGCCACACTGAATCGTGTTACTTGGCTATGAGTTAAAGGCATACCTCCTTATTTGTGTAGCTGTTTGGGTTCTGGTTTGTAACTGCAAGGGGTTATGAAAACAAAAATACTGTTTATTTCTTGTAACACTGAGTATCTTATTTATTTTATTTCTACACTTTCCAATTGCTGAGGCTCTCTGGATGGTTTACAACAACACATTAAAAACACAGTATAAAATGCACCATATTAACATATCATAAAAGCTGACCATGCAAAATTTAAAACCAAATGTAAAACAAATACATTTCAATAACTTAAAGAAAAATCTTAGGACCCATTTAACAGCTAACAAGCCCCAGGAAATTAACTGAATGCCCTGCAGTAGAGAACAATCTTTACCTGGTGCTGAAAAGGTAGTAAAGTTAGCACCTGTCTGTCATTCTGTAACTAGAGGCTACCACTGAAAAGATCTTTTGTGCTGAACTTTTGTTTATTCCCTCATAAGTTATCATAAAACTGCAATATTTTAGAAAGATCCCTCTATTGGAAGTTTGGTAAAATTCAGTTACATTTAAATTTGTTTAGTTAAATGCTGATTAATTAATTAAAAACAATTTGATCTTGGAACAACAACAAAATGAACAGGATACTTTTTCTAGCTTGGTTTTGTAAGCCTGCCATTTCAGTAATAATTGAAATAATGCTCTTTTAAAAAATAAGAAATGTATTGTCTATGGCAATTGTTCCATTTGGCCTCACTCCTAAGATAACCCTACTTGGCTGTGTTGATTGGCACACACTCGAAGCACTACAGTTTGTGACCTGACAACACTTAGTTCAAAGCAAAGCCCAGATCTTGGAAAGGGTTTTGGGTCCATGTACATTCACCTCCTCTGACTTTATAAAAGGCTAAGTGTCAAATAAACTGTCCACAAGTGGAAGTCTTCTGATGCCTCACGAATGGAAATAGTTGCAGAACAAACATAATCTGTTGCAGTAATGTATTTCAGGTGGATTAAAACATCCCAAAACAGTTAAGAGAAAGCAAATTCTCATTTTAAACAAATCTCTCGAGGAAGTTTACATATTAATTACTGAAGTGGGAAGGGGGAAAGAAGAAGGATTTTGTGAACAGATTCACACATCTTTGATGGTGAAATCATCTCAGTTTCATCTGGATTAATTTTGTTTGTGTATTGTGTAGTGAGACTGCAACATATTGACCACATTTGGAGGATCACATCTTGGCTTATTAATCTGAGATATGCACAAGCCTTTTGTCCTTCCTTCACTGCACACAACCACAAAAAAGTATCACTTTCCTGATTACAAAGACTGGAATGAGGGGCTGTGTGTCTGAGCAAAGGGCTTGTTGTTTACCTTGGCTAAATAAGTTGAGAAGTGTTCATCCAAACTGAGCACCATCTCAAGAGCAAGCCTGTTGTATGGCGCAGTTTTACAGATGAGACCAGAGACCAGGTGGAATTTCGAGAGAAGAAGTTTATTTACCTGCAGGGACCACACTTGTTTGAGCAGAGTGCAGTCCAGATCGAAGGCAGGATTTTTATACTCTTTTACACAGACGGCTATGCAGGTGCTTGAATAACAGCGAACAATAGGGGAAACCCACTGAGCTACATTCGCACATTTTTTTATGCTAAAGCAAGCAAGCGAGGGTACAAGGGCGTAACGTTATGCTAGAGCGTAGCAACAAAGGCTGCTTTGTGGTCAGCCTTGCGTAGCGTGCACATTTGTTGGGGTTCTTGTTCTTACGCGAACAGGACACTCTGATCATGCTTCTTACCCGTGACGAGCCATGCCCTAGCTGCATGTTCGATTAAGAGGGGGGTTACAACAAAGCCTTGAGCTAAGAAATTGCCCATGATACACACCAGGTTGCCACTGGAGGGACATGCTGGCTTGGCTTATTTTCACCGTGAAATTACTAAGGGGATTTTAGTGTGAGGTCATGACACGATGCTGGTGTGTCAGTCAACCCTACAGAAGAAAAGGTTGCCATTGAGGATTCTCCAGAAAGACTGATTAAACCATTTCTGCTACTCTGTTGGTGTAATGGTTATCTCACAGCAAGATGGTTATAAGGATTACTTGGAAATGCAGGGTCATTGAAGCATCTTTCTCACAATATCTGTCAGAGCAAAACTCCAGTGCCTATTAATCTCATTTTTTAAAAAAAAATCATGTTTATTCTGCCCAATGGCTGAGATTCTCTGAGTGGTTAACACATGTTTAAAAACTAAAACAAAATAAAATGCATATATAAACACACCTAGCAATTGCAATTGAATCAACGCAGAAGCATAACAGTGGTACAAAGTAAAATGCAATACTAAAAATGAAGTTTAAAAGTTAAACTGTTAAAAAGATGGGAGAATAAAAAGGTCTTCATCTGGTGCTGAAAAGCATACAAAGTTGGCACCAGGTGCACCTCTCTGGGGAGCTCATTCCATCACCATGGTGGCACAACCAAAACAACTCCCCTCTTTCTGGTAGCCATCCATCTGACTTCATCTTCGGGGTTCCCAGAGAAGGACCCCTGAAGGTGATCTCAGGGTCTGGTTAG